CGTGTACAGTCTCAGTTGGTTAAAAGGGTTGAAATCACCACACGTCTGTCAGCCAGAAAAACCCATGGTGGCTGCATCCAGATTCCACCCCCCTCCCCCTCCCCCCCCCCCCCCTCCCCCCCCCCCCCGGTTATCCAAGTCGTGGGTCAACACATGCGCACGTATGCTCACGGGTTGGACAGCCGGTTCCGGATTGCCTCCATCCGGCACAGCACTTGAGGGTAGATGTAGTTTGTGTGTTGTATCTGGTACGATACTCGGTGCGATAACCCGTCCTGGATACGAACAGGGAAGGAAAGCAGTGGGTGCACCACAGAAGCTGCTCACGGGTGCGAGCGACATAGCTCAGTATCCACATCTACATGTACTTTACATCTTTGTTGCTCTTGGCTGGCTATTGACATCCTCTTTCGCCACAGAGTTGCTGTTGCTGTTGCTACTGCTGTTGCTACTGCTGTTGCTACTCTTCCGTTTTCCCTGCCATCATGGTCCTGTGTTTCCTCGTGGTAGCTAGCAGTGTGTACGTGAGTACATTCTCTGGTAGACCACTATCAGTACCCCATGTACAAACCAGTTGCTTTGAAAGTGAAAAGGTATGTTTTCGACATTTTCAAAATGAGTCAGCGGCTTGTGTGTTTTATCCATACAGGCAATTTTGGACCACCTTTTTTTGGTGAGAAATGTCCGACATTGACCCAAGAAATATTATACATAGTCACATGCATAGATTGGCCTACTCTTGTGTGGGCAAGTCTCCGGTCTTCTAATGCAACCGAAATCATGATGGAAGTATCAAACATAATTACGAGCAAAAAGTATTCTTTCTAGCCCAAAGAGTGGTATATCTGATAAAAATTAATAAAGATAGAAATAGTTACGATACTTCTCCAGACGTTTCGTTGTTCTGAACGACATAGTCAGTGGATAAAGAAAGATTCTTTATGATTCTTTATCCACTGGCGATGTCGTTCAGAACAACGAAACGTCTGGAGAAGTATCGTAACTATTTCTATCTTTATTATTTTTTATCAATTATACCACTCTTTGGTCTAGAAAGAATACTTTTTGATATTACAATGAGAGTGGATAATCCACGGCTTGTCCACCAACTCTTTTATAATTACGAGCGTCACAGTATACTCTCTCTTCCTTCTTAACACAGACAGACAGACAGACACACACACACACACACACACACACACACACAAACACACAGAGGCACACACTGACACACACACATACACACACACACACACACACACCACACACACATGCACACATGACACACATACACCCCCCCCCCCACACACACACACATACAGGCACAAACTGACACACACACACACACACACACAAACACACACACACACACACACACACACACACACACACACACACACACACACACACACACACACACACACACACACACACACACACACACACACACACACACACACACACACACACACACACACACACACACACACACACACACACACACACACACACACACACACACACACACACACACACACACACACACACACACACACACACACACACACACACACACACACACACACACACACACACACACACACACACACACACACACACACACACACACACACACACACACACACACACACACACACTACTACTACTACTACTATGATACAGCTACCCTAAACGGGTCACGCCGCCCTCCACCCAAGCATGAGCACTATGAGGGGCAGTGGCAAATAAATAGAATCAGCTAGCAGAACTGGCAAAACAGATGAAACAATGGAGCAGAACGGACGACTGCTGTACTGTAACAACAACCTGACAGCTACAGTGCCAACGACTGAAAATGAACAGGAAGGAAAAAAAAATTCAAAATTTCACGTCACGAAAAAACACTGTCCACGAAAGAATCCACCAAGCAAAAGGAGTGTGGGCATCCGAAATCCCACCAGGACTCCACTAGCAGTTCTTCCACGTTGACGATGTAAGCGGCAGGGCAAGGCCTCACAAATCCGACAGACTTCCACAACGCTTGACCAGTGCACTCATGACGACGAAAGATTGAAGTTTCAATTCCCACCATTCCGCCATTGGGACCTTCCTCTCCGCACTCGCTCGTCCACTCCACTGAAAACAACGAGTTGTTCCAGCACTCCACCAGCCAATCCGCAATTCCCACCACTGCATTCTTCGAGCTTGGATTCTTCACAGCACTCGAGGGACAGCTACTCCACTGCGAGTGGTGGACCACGGCCGACGCAGCAGTGACAATATCAAAGTAAATTGTCCTGCAAGCTACATCGCGATTCCGCGCTCCAATCATGCAGCACTACCTTGGCAGTGTGCGAGGGTGCTCCAGGGTCGACTCTGGCTACGCCAGAGTCGCCCTGGGCAGGCAGAAAACTTGGGAGAAAGCCAAGAACACGGAGCTCAGAAAGTGTGACCTGCTCCCAAGGAGCACAAACACACACACACACACACACACACACACACACACACACACACACACACACACACACACACACACACACACACACACACACACACACATATGCCTGTACAATACAAGTCATTATATGGCAATAATAAAGTACCCCGGTACACTAGTGGCATCATGGCAATAAAGTACCCCGGTACACTAGTGGCATCATGGCAATAAAGTACCCCGGTACACTAGTGGCATCATGGCAATAAAGTACCCCGGTACACTAGTGGCATCATGGCAATAAAGTACCCCGGTACACTAGTGGCATCATGGCAATAAAGTACCCCGGTACACTAGTGGCATCATGGCAATAAAGTACCCCGGTACACTAGTGGCATCATGGCAATAAAGTACCCCGGTACACTAGTGGCATCATGGCAATAAAGTACCCCGGTACACTAGTGGCATCATGGCAATAAAGTACCCCGGTACACTAGTGGCATCATGGCAATAAAGTACCCCGGTACACTAGTGGCATCATGGCAATAAAGTACCCCGGTACACTAGTGGCATCATGGCAGCAAGCAAACTAGCTGAGTTGTGAACTACATGTAGCTGTCCTGTCCATAGAGAATGAATAATTATTATTGAATACACCTGAGCAATCCGGGCTGTATTCCCCTGAATGAAGCTTAGCACATTAGCTCCCTCCCCCCCCCCCCCCTTGGTCACAAGGGCAAACGAGGCTGTGTTTTCAACACTCACCGGTATCTGGTACATGCCAGGTCCCAGCTCCAGCATGGGGATGTGTGGTACTTCTGAGAATAGGTGACTCTCACAGCGATGCTATACGCTACTATCTGCCTGTGTGCCGTGGTAGAAGAAACACATGCAGCAGTCAATTGTTGTCGCAACAGCATCACAGAGAAGAACACACCGTATGACAAACACAACATACACACACCACACACACACACACACACACACACACACACACACACACACACACACACACACACACACACACACACACACACATACACACACACATACACACACACACACACACACACTAAAACACTAAAACACTAAAACACTAAAACACACACTAAAACACATGAACAGAAGCACAATGAATGAATGAATGGATGGCCTTATCCAAAAACTGAGTACATTACATCACTGAGGAGTCAATAGCACATTTCTAAGAAACTATGTACAATTGACTGTACATGATTCTCATCTCTGGAATCAACCACATGGGACCACAATGGCACAGAGTTCTCCGTTGGTCATATCTGCACTGCCAATATTCTCAGCGGATTCAATGATCTTTCACCATGGAACCTTTGTGCCAGAGATGTCAAGAAACAAGGATCCACAAACGGACCACGGACACCACGGCTATAGGTAGGCTAGTACTAGTGCGAGATATCCTCCTCTAAATACTGATTGTCTAGTCCGTTCCACTCTGCTCTTCACCAAATTGGGCTCCACCCAAACTCTGTCTTTTCGTTGGAACTGTATCCGACTGCGAATGAAACACGACAGAGTAGACCTACCGGTATTGCATTTCAGAGTCCGGCTTATGCCAAGTTATGGACACTGATTCTATTGACTACCTAGCACACAGGTATGAGCGATAATCGTTTCTCACGTTTTCTTTGTGCTGCAGACGTTCACTCCGCCACTGACTAGCGACTGTGCCGTGCAATGATTCACAGCCAAACCCAGCACGGCGATGAGCAACAGTAGAAGCAGCAACGGGCAATTATGTCGGCGGCGGCAACTTCGAGAGTAGAGGGACTCCATTCTGGACTTTGAGGTGTGGGAAGCCTGTGATCGTTGTGGCCGGTACGGCACTTCCACCTAGATCTACCTCCACAGGCTCCAGTACGGCAGTACTCCCAGTAGTACTGTACCGGCTCCTCTTCGTGCTGGACTGACCGGCCGTCGACTGACCACCAGCAATAGGTGTAGGTATAATAGCACTCTCGTCCGGACGGCGGAGAGGCTCTGGTGAGAAATCGACAAGTGTGTAGCACTTCTCGTCTTGGTATCTGGTTCACCATTGACCTACAAAATTCTTCCTGTTTGCACTAACTGCATGGAAGATGGAACGAGGTCAAGCTTAGGTGTGAGATTGACGTGTGGTGGTGGTGGAGAAAAAACTGGCACTTTCATTGGTGCCTCTAGCGCCACGCACGGACGCGGAAATATTATGCGGACGCATTGGTCTAGCAGCTACCCCGACCGTCTCGTAGATCTACTTCCTGTGTGGTAGATGTAGATATCTACCCAGCAGCGTGGACTGAGGCCGTATACAATGGTATAGCGTCAAGGATATACCTACATGTAGGTAGATCTAGACTACATGATTATACATGTGAACATGGCTATTGTGAATACACGAATGCTCAGTCCAAGACCACACACAGACTATTCGTAATCATGTCATGATTCGAAACCACCAGCGCGTGGAGTTGGCAATAATGGGAGTTCCCTAGTTTGCCATCAAAACTGGCAAATGACTGAGTCTGTACAACATGGTAGATGTCTACATGGTACCGTATAATTATGGTACAATGACAGCTCGGTGGCCATGTACCATTTTGTGTCAGATTTATTTGCCAGATTTGAGACAGAATTCGTTTGAATTTCACCTCACTAACCCACAAAAATCCGGAGATCGATAACTTTTAAATTGACGTAAATTTAAAATGTCTGGCCTTGCAGTACTAGTAATCGTAACGTAGTATGTTGGAGAACGTGATACAGCATACTGGTACTTGTGCCCTTGACGATACATAATACATACCACCCACTCTCATGCTTTCATATCTCCACACTATTTGCACTGCACTGCACTACATGCGGCAGCCTGTTTTTGGCGATGCTGTTGAGTGTTGTACTTGTAGCTGCACTACATACAAGCATTGCCATGATTGTATCTCTGGCTGCAATGATTATGTACAGACAACCCTGATAACAACACTTTCCTGATCATATCATGGCCAATCGAGGGTTTGACTTAGGAGGCAAATACCGTGTTGAAAACTGTTAGATAGTTACAACGTCGTAGTGCCGATATTACTTCGAAGCAGTGGTACAGTACTACTACTACTACTACTACTACTACTACTACTACTACTACTACTACTACTACTACTACTACTACTACTACTACTACTACTACTACTACTACTACTACTACTACTACTACTACTGACCAAACCACTTTTACGGGCAAAAAAAATACCATGGTAAGCACACAAGTGATGGAAAAGAGTGAGTAAGAAAGAAAGAGAGAAAGAAAGAGAGAATGCACTAGTTGTAACAGTCCAACTAACTTCAGTAGTCTTTCTTGGAATAAGCAATGATCCTTGCCATAATGCATTCTTATATACATGAACAAGCAATGATGGACATAACACCTAACAGCAGCAGCGTGATAATAGCAGGTGATAAGTGTATCCTATTCCTAGTGTTAGTAGTAACAGTGAATCTGTTACACCATTCCCCCCTCTCAACTGTCAGAACAGTACCAATTCGAAGGAACAGTTATGGTAACTAATGATCATGCATGGATATGTGGAATGCATGGTAGCCGAAAACAACACTGATGAACTCAAGATCCAGTGCATGTCCTCTGCAAATAACGCCTGGCTGGCAGGGAAGCACTATCCTAATCATGCAGAATGCTACTTTTCTATTGCAACACGTAGGAACTAGCAATACAACTGTGGCTGCCAATTAAATAGCAATTTATGAAAAACGGTCTAGGTAGGTTTTCAGCGGAATAATAGCGTTTCCTGCTTCATCCATCAAGTATTCCTCCGGCTCCCAGGTGGCATCTCGGTAGCCCTTCCATTTCACTAGGTACTGCGTGCGCCGTCCTCTCTTCTTGTGCGACAACACCTTTTCGACAATGTACCGCGTATGGCCATCCGCATCGGTTAGGGGTGGAGGTGCCGGCTGAGTACGGCCCGGTATCTCATTGCCATGGTACAGCTTGAGGGCAGCAATATTGAACACTGGATGGGCCCGAATGATTCTTGGAAGAGCTAATCTGTACGCATTCGGGGCCACTTTCTTCTGCACCTTGAACGGCCCATACCACTTGAGCATTAATTTGTGTGAAGGCCTGTCTCGTTCCTCGGGCGTCAGCAGGAAGTCCCTGAAGACCAACACCTCATCCCCCTCCTTCAGGGCGTCCTCCACCCGTCCTCGATCCGCATACAATGATTGCCGGGCCTGCGCCGCCACGATGGCATCCTGTGCCTCACGTAGTGCCTCTACGCGGCCATCCAGCCATGACAGCGGACCATTCGTGTCCATGCCAGCTCCAGCTTTCTGCTTCGTCAATAAGCTCGAGGGAGTAACTGGATGGCATCCATGGTTGAGGAAAAATGGCGTGTTACCTGTTGACGCTTGATCGGCATTGTTGATCGCAAACTCACATAGCGATAGGAGTTCATCCCAATTGTTTTGCCTATGGTTGACGAAAGCTCTTAGCGTATCCTCAATGACACGGTTCACACGCTCAGTCATGCCATCGGTCTGCGGGTGGTTGGCCGTGCTCATTTTTAGCTCCACGCCAAGAATACTGAAAACCTCCTTGAAGAACGCCGACGTGAATCGCGGATCTCGATCACAAACTATCGTTTTGCTCAAGCCATGGGCAGCAAACACATGATCTACGTACAATCGGGCTGCCTCCTTAGAGTCAACATGAACAGTCGTCGGGATCAGGTGCACATACTTCGACAGACGGTCCACAAAGGTTAGAATGGCGCTATGTCCTCGGCAGGTCAGCGGCAGTGCCATGATGAAATCCATGCTGATGTCTGTCCAGGGCTGTTCGGGGACTGGAAGGGACTGCAACAGTCCTGCCTTGGTCTCGCTACCCTTTACGCGTTGGCACCGGTCGCAAGATTTAACGAAGTCCTTCACATGACTTCTCATGCCTGGCCAATAGAAGTATCTGCTCAGCTTCAGGTAGGTCCTGTCTCTCCCCGGATGGCCGGCCGTCAGGCAATCATGATTCTGTTTGAGCAGTTGCAGCCGTACCGGACCGCGAGGAATGCAGAGGCGAGCATCGCCCGATGTGACTAGGTACAGCCTCCGGTCCACACTGTTCCAGACGTATCGCTCATGCATGGCGTCCTCGCTGCAAGCCATCAAGCGCTTGATTACTGGCGAAAGCTCTGGGTCACTATCATACCCTGCTGAGATCTGATTCGCAATTCCTTGATTCACATCCAGAGAGAACTCGATTCCATTCAGTTCCAAGTCTGGTCGACGTGACAACGGGTCTGCTATGTTACACTTCCCTGGCTTGTGATGTACCGTGTAGTCATAGTCGGCCAGGAATTCAATCCATCGAGCCTCTCTCTTGGTTAAGTTTGGTTTGGTCCTGAGGTAGACAACTCCCATGTTGTCGGTGTAGAGTTGAAAGTGGCGAAATAGGTAGACTCGCCAGCACTGCAGGGCGTACACTACAGCCAAAGTTTCTCGCTCGGCGGCCGTGTAATTCCGTTCGGCAGAAGACAGCTTTCGGCTCACGTAAGCCACAGGATGCCAGGACTGGTCCTCTGCTTGCTGCGTTAAGACTCCTGCCACAGCAAAGTCACTTGCGTCAGTCTCAACGCGGAAATCCTGACTGACGTTTGCTAGTCGCAACACTGGTGCATCCAGCAGAGCAGACTTCAATCGCTCAAATGCCTCCTGTCGAGTCTGATTCCACTCGAAGCGCACATGTTTCCCTGTCAGTTCCTCCAGGGGTTTGGAGATGGCCGAGAAATGGTTAATGAACCTTCGAAAGTAATTAGCGAATCCCAGAAACTGTCTTACGTGCGTGACCGTCGTCGGGACAGGCCAGTTATGCACGGCCTTGATCTTCTCTGGATCTGGAGAAATGCATTGGCCGTCTATCCGGTGCCCAAGAAACAGAACGTCTGTCCGGCCGAATTCACATTTAGACGGTTTGCAATATAGCTCATTCCTCCTGAGGGCGTTTAAGATGGTTCTGACATTATCGAGGTGCTCCTCCCATGATTTGCTGAACATGAGGATATCGTCTAGAAACACCACAACGAATTTACGCAGGTATGGCTGGAGGACACTGTTCATCAAGGTTTGGAATGTTGCCGGGGCATTTGTTAGGCCGAAACCCATCACTGTGAACTGAAAGTGACCGAATGGGGTATTTATTGCTGTCTTCGGAATATCTGTTTCTTCTATTCGAATCTGATTGTAACCGGACCTCAGATCTAGCTTGGTGAAATACGCACTGCCTTGGACGGTATCAAAGAGGTCGTCAATATTCGGTAGGCATGCCTTGTTCTTAATGGTTATGCGGTTTAGCTCACGCCAGTCGCATACCATTCGAAGTGTTCCATCCGCTTTCTTAACGAAGAACACAGGGGCTCCGTATGGGGATTTGCTGGGCTGGATGAATCCTCTACGGAGCAGCTCGGTGAGCTGAGCTTGAAGCTCATCCATCTCTGGTTTTGGTAAACGATATGCTGCACGAGATGGCGGTTTAGCTCCTTCTTCCGTTTTTATCTCGTGATCTGCGCCTCTTCTGGGTGGTAGCTTGTTTGGAAGCTCATCGGGAAAGACGTCCCCGAACTCCTTCAGCAGGTCCTTGACATCCTTCTGATCCTCCCTACCCGGACTATCCACCGTCTGTGGCTCGTCCGGATCTGCTGTCACATACGCTAGGATTCCTTCTGCGCCACCTCTCATTGCATGCCTAGCCTGCTTCCCTGAGATGAGGAACGTCTCGATCGGTGGGTTGGATTTGTCCGTGCCATCACTTTCACTCGGTTGACAGATGATGGATCCACCCTCCAGCTTGATTTCATTGGTACGAAAATTGATCTGTGGGTTCGTCCGGGTCAGCCATGGTTTGCCGAGGATCACGTCATACCGCGTCATAGGGAATACTAGGAACTGTTGGTGCTCGCTTAAGTCGCCGACTACGGTCTTTAAGCTGTCCGTTTTCGTAATAGGCTGTGAGCGGACCGATCCATCAGCAAGTGTGACGTTCAGGACGTCGCTACCGGTTGTTGTGGAGATGTTGTGCTTCTTGACAAAGTAAGTTGAAATGAAGTCGTGGGTTGACCCAGAATCCAGTAGCATGGTAACGCGACGTCCATTTATCTTGCCCTGGACGCGCATTAGGTCGTGTTCGTTGTCGGCGGAAATGCTCCCTGTGCTGGCGGTGACTTCATTAGGCCGGCCAACAGTATCAGGTGACGAATGCTTGACAGGCGAGGCTTGAATTTCGGTCTCCTCGAGGCGTGGTTCCTCATTTGCTAAGGGGCTGAATTTGTTCTGAACTTTGATTCGTGGCCTATTCCTGGGTGCTCTCGTGTTCGCCAGTAGTCGCACTCCCTTCCTTACTGGCGTCCATCGTTTAAAGAAGGCTTGCTTGTGGCGTTCCTCCCTCCTTCTGGACAGAATCTGGCAATATGGCCGGGTTTCCTGCAGGTGAAACACAGCCTTGAACGACCCTCTGGCTCCCTGGTTTCTCTCCCACCGGATGGTGTTGGTTGGCTTGACCAGGGTCCAGGCTGGCGCCTCTGATGCCCTGGTGCGCGCACTGCCTTGGCGTAGCTTGCTTGGGCTAGCCGCATCGACTGGTCCGCTGAGACCGCAGCTCGTATGGCTTGGGCCAAATGTTGCGGATGCTCCCTAAGTACCTCACCGCTTAGGCCCTGAGCCAGCCCACGCGTGAACAAGATAGCTCTGGAGTGGTCATCAAGCTCGGGAAATTGTAAGCTAAGCCGCGAAAATTTGTTGATGTATCCGTCAAGAGTCTCATCTTGGTGAAGAGCGAATAAGTCGATGCGCGCCTGTTCCCTGTCATAAACCGGGCCGTACACTTCTCCCAGCTTGCTCTTCAGGTCTGGCCAGTCGGAAAACAGCGTGTTTGCCTCCTGAGAGGCGATAAACCAAAGACGAGCGTTGCCCTCCAGAAAACTCGCCGCGTAGCTCAAGCGCTCCTCCGCGTTGTCCAGCTGCAGGGACTTCATGGCGAGTTCGATGGCGAAGGCCCACTCCTTGAACTCTCTTGTATCTCCACGAAACACAGGCGGAGACTTAACATGGCGCATGCGTGGCCTCTCTCCGCTGGGAGCTTGAGCACGTCTTGGCGTTTGATCTGATCCATCGCACTGACCGAGTGCGATAAGGTGATTCAGACGCTTCTGAATCTCGAATATACCGTAGGCGACTAATGCGGCCACTGCGCATAGCCCGAACACGACGAAAAGAACAACCATCCTCTTGCTACCAGTGTAACAGTCCAACTAACTTCAGTAGTCATTCTTGGAATAAGCAATGATCCTTGCCATAATGCATTCTTATATACATGAACAAGCAATGATGGACATAACACCTAACAGCAGCAGCGTGATAATAGCAGGTGATAAGTGTATCCTATTCCTAGTGTTAGTAGTAACAGTGAATCTGTTACACTAGTATGTCAAGAGAAGTAATCAATTGTTAAGGTCTTTGAGCTATTGTTATATTGTCCAGATTGACGCATGGACACTGGATCTCAGCCGGCAGCCTGTCGACACTGCACCAACAACGACGAGCGGACGCGACGCTGGTAGGATGATCGGCAACCGCGAAAGCAGGTTATTGCCCACCGTACGAGGCAGAATGCCAGCCGAACACGCAATGCACTGACGATGCTTGAATACCGGATGTCTTTATTGCGCTCCGCGAGCCGACCGGCAAGTGTCGCCAGGAATCGTGAGCACTCCAGCCCCACCATCCCATTCGTGGCGAACACAAGAGGGGTGAAAGAGCCTCTCTCGACTTCAGTGACCCTGGCACCGTACTGCTGCTTCTTTTGCCGTTCATGGGCCCTGAGTTGGTTAAGGACTTCTGGACCAGACAGCACAGACGCCTTAGGGTGGGTTACCCTAACATCAAAATAAGCGTCTTGCTGCCTTGTCCAGAAGCCCCGGGCACGAATGTCCAGCCGAGCCTCATCAGTCCGGTTAGCCGTCGCATAGGGCAGATCCTCGCCAGACAGCGGCCGGAGACGTGGCTCTGTCTCGACATCGCGAACAGCTTCGGAGAGCGTCTCCGCCAGGATGTCACGCACATTATCGTGCCGGGCAGATGGATACCCGCCGGCGGGGCAGGTTAGCAAATGGTCCATCGTGGAGGCATCACCACAGACACAAGTGGACGGTAGCCCAGGGAGCTGCAGGCCATACCGTAGAGCAAGTGCATCACGGAAGTCACTGGCATTCAAGACGGTGCCGTGCGCCAGACGAGGCTCCGCCGTAAGCCAGGAAGACACACCGGCAGAGCCGGCAACGTCCATCAAAAGCTGCTGTGTGGCGGATAGATGATCGTGCAGACTGGCCAAAGATGCTTTGCCAGCCCGACGCCTTGACTGTGCAGCAGTACAATTACAATTACGTAGTATGTTTCATGAAACCGTCTAACGACGTTATCCGTGAGTTTAGATAAGGATAACACAGTTGTGCTAACCTGCCATGCTGTGATGTTGACTGTCGGCATTCCAAAGCGATTGCTGTAGCGGTATGCCCAGCCCAGTCGATGGGTGATACCAAGAGTACATAACCCAGGGTTATCTTGGTGATACCGAAAGTAGTTCAAAGACCCATTGTACATGTACATGTGATTGTAGATCTACGCTTAGCTTATGGGAATATGGATATGACTGTGGTCTTGTTGATACTGATAGTATACTGTCATTGTACTCTATACCGGTGCGTGTAAGCAGACTGGGGTTTCCCCAATTCTCGCTTCCATTCTCAGGATTTGCCACTTGTAAAGTTGTAGTTCAAAACGCCTATCAAACCAGCCGTGTTTTAATATTTTTAATATTCACATAATAGTTCGAAACGCGTTGAAAACTAAAACACAACATAAACAAACTTTCAAAGGGGTCGAGCGAAAGATCCTGGATTTTCTGGTCCAGCCAATGAATGGACCTCAGTCCTGTGACTACATAAGTGAGAGGTGAGTTACTTTTGAGGCCTTGGACCAGCGGCTTGGATTGACCGTGCTCGATACGTTGATCCCATCATCCGGGTACTAAGTCTGTATGATGTTGCCGATCATCATTCACTACTACTAGTACTACGACAGTCATGCATATAGTCATTGTACTCCTACTCTTGTTTCTTTTTCTTTTCTTTTTTTATCTACCACTAGTATGTGCACATCCCAACACAATGATGGGGGTAATGTCTCGGAATCAACATGGACTGTGCGGGCCAAGGGGGTGTACCATGGTTTTTTGGTATACTTTGAATGATACATGTAGTTGCTGTATCCTGGAATATTCACATCATTTTGTGCGCCTACATATTCGGATTATTATTATAGTCACTCCGAGAGGTTCGCATGGGCAGGCACGCAGGCAGGCAGCGTTCCAAGTACAGTGCTACGTGCAGCTGTAACTCAGAAAAGTGAAGCAACGCTCATCTGCGTCACCACCAGCTATGATAGAACGCCTAAAAAGGGAATGTGACTGGCACTGACACGCTGACACTGACACCTGTCGAACACTTGCCAAGTCTTGGTCACTGCGCTGTGTAGTATAGTCCGTGTGGTAGTCTGTCTACGAGGAAGGTATTTTTGCTGCTCCCTGGTCTGCAATGATTATGTCTGCTACTGCACGGTCGGTGGATGGCCTGTATACCGGGTGTACCGGTACCATGTATTGTTGTAGATCTACAGATCGCTTTTGGAGACTTCATGCTAGGGCTGCAGTGCCGGTCTTCCCCACATGGGTCATATGCTACAGTTATGCTGGCATTATCCGCCGGTGCCTAGAAATGGTGGATGTGGTGGTCTTGTGCTAGCTGGCAGTTGAATAACTGAGGTTGGTGACCTGATTTGTGCGAATCTGGATAGCGCGTTAGCACTGCCCTCTGCCCTTCACAGAGTCAGACGTGGCCTGCTTTTTCAAATCTGTGAATCCACAGCGCGTACACAAAGGCGGAAAGTGGGAGTATCAGTATTTCCTGCGTTATCCTTATCGAATATCCTTATGTGATTCCATTTCTCGCCTTCACCATAATGCATAACCCACACAGTCTGAGGGGCATCTATTTTACATCTTTGTTTATTCGTGTAAAACCAAACACAACAACGGCAAGAGGAAGGTTCCGGCAAGATCAGTGTGATTAGGTAGCCTACGATTAGAAACTCGATAGCTACACCGGACTACTATTACTACTATTACTAGTACTATGCTCCCTCCTTGCCGTGCCGGTTGAAGATCTCTGCTTCAACTCTGAATCATACTCTGCAATGCCCATGTGAAGATGATCAATGAATGATGTTTCACAGGTCACAGCTGGCCTGACCCCTTCTCAAAATATTCTGACGCTCTGACATTGACAGCTCGGCAGAAACTGTCAAACTAGGGAACTCCCAAATTATAGCAAAATTCCCCGCGTTGCTGGTTTCGAATCATGTCTACGATCGATTACGAAGAGTCTGTGGTCTTGGAGCATTGCCATTACCATTGGTGATTCACAATAACCATGTAGAACTACCGTTATACACAATCGTCAACGTGGCACATTGACGTACAGCCATCCAAGCTGCTGTGTACTATGCAGGAAGTAGACGATCGGGGGTAGCTGCTAGACCGATGGGTCTGCATAATATTGCCGCGATGGTGCGTGCGGGGGCGCTAGTGACACCTGTTGAGGTGCCAGTTTTTTTCTCGTCCACAACCTGCTCACGGCGATCTCACTTCTAAACTTGACTTCGTTCTATCTACCATGCAGTTGGTGCAAACAGGAAGAGTTTTGTAGATCAGTGGTGAAGCAGACACCAGATTATAGATACCAAGTGCTACTACACACTTGTCCAGTCCTCATCAGAGCTTCTCCGCCGTCCGGACGAGAGGGTTACGATCGTCCTTACAACAGAACTTTGACCTGGCAGACCTAGTGCCAGTGATTAGGCAATTAGTCGAGGACTCGGGGGGCGGTCAGTTCAGCAGGAAGAGGAGCCGGCGGTAGATCTACGCGAAGTGCAGTAGCGGCCACAGCGGTCTCAGGCTTCCCGCACCTCAACGTCCAGAATGGAGTCCCTCTACTCTCGTAGTTGCTGCCGCGGACATTGCCCGTTGCTGACTCTTCTGTTGCTCATCACCGTGCTGGGTTTGGCTGTGAATCATTGCACGGCACAGTCGCTAGTCAGTGGCGGAGTGAACGTCTGCAGCACAACGAGAACGTGAGAGACGATCATCGCTCATACCTGTGTGCTAGTTAGTCAATAGAATCAGTGTCCATAACTTGGCATAAGCCGGGCTCTGAAATGCAATACCGGTAGATCTACTCTGTAGTGTTTCATTCACAGTCGGATACAGTGCCGACGAAAGATGGGGTTTTGGTGGAGCCCAATTTGGTCGGAGAGCAGAGTTGAACGGACTAGACAATCAGTATTTAGAGCAGGCTATCTCGCACTAGTACTAGACTACTTATAGGTATTGCAGTGGTGTCGGTGGTCCGTTTGTGGATCCTTGTTTCTTGACATCTCTGGCACCAAAGTGCCATAGTGAAAGATCATTGAATCCGCTGAGATTATTGGCCATGTAGATATGCCACCAACGGAGAACTCTGTGCCATTGTGGTCCCATGTGGTTGATTCCAGAGATGAGAATCATGTACAGTCAATTGTACATAGTTACTTAGAAATGTGCTATTGACTCTTCAGTGATGTAATGTACTCAGTTTTTGGATAAGGCCGTGCATTCATTCATTGTGCTCCTGTTCATGTGTTTTAGTGTATGTGTGTGTGTGTGTGTGTGTGTGTGTGTGTGTGTGTGTGTGTGTGTGTGTGTGTGTGTGTGTGTGTGTGTGTTTGTCCTTTGGTGTGTGCTTCTCTGTGATGCTGTTGTGACTACAATTGACTACTACTTCTACTACTACTACTACTACGGCACACAGGCAGGTAGTAGCCTATAGGGTGGCTGTGACAGTCACCTATTCTCAGAAGTACTTCACATCCCCATGCTGGAGCTGGGACTTGAAGTGCACCAGATACCGGTGAGTGTTGAAAACACAGCCTCGTTTGCTCATGCGACCAGGGGGTGTGTGGGGGAGGGGGGGGGGGGAGCTAATGTGCTAAGCCTCATTCAGGACAGTACGGCCCGTATCGCTCAGGTACATTGATTATCTATGGACAGGACAGCCAGTTCACAACTCGGCTAGTTTGCTTGCTGCCATGATGGCACTAGTATACTAGTACTCAATCTGCGGACAGCAGCATGCTGTTTCGTTCCGAGTTTGTGAACTCATCAGCGCAGCACAGAGAAAATGAGGCCGAACCTGATAGGAATGCAAAAAAATTCCAAAGCCAGATTTAAATCAGGCCCGAACGTACCTTGCCAGAGTGCTCAAACGGACGAGTCAGTGAGCTCTGCGTAATGCAAACAGCAAAAGCACTCAGTGACCCCACATGAGAATACAATTATAATGATTTGCACTGTACAAGCATATGTGTGTATGTGTGTGCATTTGTGGGTGGGTGCATTTGTGTGTGGGGGGGGGGGGGCGAGTATGTGTGTAAGCGTGTGCCTGTTTGTGTGTGTGTGTGTGTGTGTAAGAAAAAAGAGAGAGTATACGTTCGTAATTATGTGTGATACTTCCATCATGATTTTGATTTCATTAGAAGACCGGAGATTTGCCCACACAAGAGTAGGCCAAGCTATGCATGTGACTTTGTATCATATTTCTTGGGTCAATGTCGGACATTTCTCACCAAAAAAGTGGTCCAAAATTGCCGGTATTCGGAAACATACCGAGCACTCCTTTTGAAAAATGTCGAAAACGTATACCATTAAAGGCTTTTCACTCACAGAGCAACTGGTTTGTACATGTGGTACTAGTAGTGGTCTACCGGAGAATGTACTCATGTACACACTCCTAGCTACCACGAGAGAATGTACTCACGTACACACTGCTAGCTACCACGAGGAAACACAGGACCATGATGGCAGGGAAAACGGAAGAGTAGCAACAGCAACAGCAACTCTGTGGCGAAAGAGGATGTCAATAGCCAGCCAAGAGCAACAGAGATGTAAAGTACATGTAGATGTGGATACTGAGCTATGTCGCTTGCACCCATGAGCAGCTTCTGTGGTGCACCCACTGCTTTCCTTCCCTGTTCGTATCTAGGACGGGTTATCGCACCGAGTATCGTACCAGATACAACACACAAACTACATCTATCCTGAAGTGCTGTGCCGGATGGAGGCAATCCGGAACCGGCTGTCCAACCCGTGAGCATCTGTGTGTGTGTGTGTGTGTGTGTGTGTGTGTGTGTGTGTGTGTGTGTGTGTGTGTGTGTGTGTGTGTGTGTGTGTGTGTGTGTGTGTGTGTGTGTGTGTGTGCATGTATGGACCCGCTACTTGGATAATGGGGGGGGGGGGGATCTGGTTGCAGCTACTGCGGATTATTCTGTTTGACGTGACGTGTGGTGATTTCAAACTTTGTAACCATCTGAGACTGTACACGTATTCTGCATGCCACTGAACACCTGTTATACCCCAAGTCATGATCGCCGAAGTCGCATCAACCTCTTCTTCAATACCTGATATAAAGAGGAAATACATGTTAGACCATCATAATATTATGTACTAACATGTATTGCATGCAGAATTATTATCTTCATACTATATGTTCAGTTGCGCTAGGTGAAATCCAACACAACTGTCGTGTGTTGAACTGAGGACAAACCTGGCACCCTGGACCAGCTCCGATCGCATCAATGTATTTGTACATGATTACCCCCTGCAGCATTTGTACCACTTCCAGGGCGCCATGGGCAGTGCAAGTTAAGTGCATCATTATGCACTCTGGGTTGTATTTCACCTAGCACAATAATTATCATCTGGCTGCCGGGTGTGAGGTGGCAGCACTGCTATGCTCCTGCAATCAACTGTATCTATCGCTGTTTGTTTATGTGCCGGGCAATCATGCAGCAATCTGCACTTTTTCCTGCTTGAACGGTGGAGTCTGCTCCAAACCTGATGTCTGCTGGTGTCCAGCTGGTTTCTTCACCAAGAACTGTGGACTGAGTGAGTGGCATTCCAAAGTGTGTGTGTGTGTGTGTGTGTGTGTGTGTGTGTGTGTGTGTGTGTGTGTGTGTGTGTGTGTGTCTCCGTGTGGTGTAGACCAGGTGTGCATTGGTGGTCGATTCACATGGCTTCGCCAGTTGTGTGGATTAGACAGTTATCTGGCGCAAGTCTTGATCTGTCTCATTCAGATCTTGTTCGCTATCGTTGCTATAAGAGAAAATCTGTGGGTGCTCATCCAGTGCATTTGCAGATTTGCGTGCTTCTCCTGCGACGGGCGTATACATGGTACATGGTGTGTGTGTGTGTGTGTGTGTGTGTGTGTGTGTGTGTGTGTGTGTGTGTGTGTGTGTGTGTGTGTTCTCCTCGGTGGTTACCAACAGCCAGTGCATGCGGAGTATGTGGTGTGATGTGTGTGCGGGAAAAAAATGAAAAGACCAAAAATAAGGATTCACTGGCCAGAAAAAGTCACTTCAAATAGCTGTATGGTGTAGACCAGGCTGAATAGTGACGGTCAATTCTTCAGCCTTCCAAGCTGTTGAATGGTGCAATCCCAGCACAAGTTGCTATGGCTTCTGCCGCAGCATTGCTATCATCGCCTCTGGCGATGGGCGTCAAAAGGTCAAAGGTGTGTGTGTGTGTGTGTGTGTGTATGTTTGTGTATGTATGTATATGTGTGTGTGTGTGTGTGTGTGTGTGTGTGTGTGTGTGTGTGTGTGTGTGTGTGTGTGTGTGTGTTTATGTTTATGTGCGCATGCATGTGTGCTTTCAGTTTTAGTGGGTCTAGGAAATTGAATGCAGTGTTCATCTCTTCAAGTAAACACAATCTTATGCTGTATAAGAAGATAATTTGTAATCGTAGCCTTTGTTTGAAGAGATCTGTGACCCTTTCTTTGAACTCAGTTGTGTGAGACTAAAAGAAATGATAAAAGTAATGATACATCTGCACCGTACTTCTTGCCTAGTACAGTGCATTATGCATGTGGCTGCCTTTTAGCTAGAGACTATTTATTAAGTTAGTTAGATTTAGGAAGCTAAGAGATGCTGCCGATCGATTCTTATTGCGTTGCAGAGTCCCCCCCCCCCCCCCCCCCCACGGACAAAACAGTGTGGGATGCTGGTTTATGATCTCTTCTGTGCGTGGACTCAGGGTGCTCACTGTGGCAGTATGGCACTGGCTGTGCAAGCACATGCCCATGTGTGAAGACGCAAGCAACATCCTGCGACAATGTGTCGGGGAAATGCAAGTGTAAAGCTGGCTACATCGGCAAAAAGTAAGCGGGTCTCACATACTTACCTAGTCCCTATTTCCATTCTTCATCCCAGGAAGAGTTGCCTCTTGGTCTGGTGATTTCGCCTCTCCTTTCTCAACGGTGTGTGTGTGTGTGTGTGTCTTACCTGGTTTTTCAGCTGCCAAACACAATGTGGAACCAGCAATTATGGAGTTAATTGCCAAGGAATATGTAACTGCAAGAATGGAGCAACATGCGACTTTGTGACTGGACAATGCAAGTGTGCACTGGGCTACCGTGGAACTGAGTAAGAAATCAAAGACTTTTAAGGAGTCTTTGAATTAAAAGTACTTGCTACCTAAATAATGACTTAATCTGAGAAATGTTGTTCTGATCTATATGCAGATCGAATAACACGATCGGCTATATCACAGCTGCTTTACCAATCTACCCACTGAAGCTGAAGTTCAATTTCCTTGAGCTTGAACGAGAGGCTATGCTTTCAATGTATGCTCGTACAGTTAAACCTGTAACTAACACTGGACCATCCCGTGGGGTCAAAATGGGGTCATTAGTTACAGGCGGTCTCTAGTCGGTCTCTAGTAGTGGTCTGTAGTGGGAGGCTTGGCACTGTGTGACAAAACATGTAAAAAATAAATTACAGTTCGCTTGAGACCGTTTCCTCCATGACTCGTGAATGCCGCCTCCAGGCTAGCCATTTTCATTGTCGTCCTACAGAGCATTGTTGTTCAAAGATGGGAATGTGACATGGATGTGCGTTTGGTTTAGGGTTTGGCACCGATCATGATCATGATGATAGTCTAGACTTGTATATGTACATGCTGGCCTCAAGCGAAGCCTACGGTCCCTGGCTTGAGTTCTGGTGGTGAAAGTCAATGTTTTTCTTCAGACTTTTCCCTTTTGAACTCCCTCAACTAATGGATACTTGTACATGTATATTGTTATTGTGCTTCTGCAGCTGTGGTCAGAAGTGCCGTCCAGGCACGTACGGCGATGGTTGTGCTGGTGTGTGCGCCTGCAAGAACGGTGCGACATGCAACTATGTCACTGGCAAGTGTGCATGCACGGCCGGCTGGACTGGAGTCGAGTAAGTTTGCTTGTGTGGCTAGCCTGCCTTGGGTATGTTCACGTATATGATTGTATACATGTCCACCTCACCTATTGCACCCGCATGTGTGTACGTGTGTGTACGTGTATATCCACCTAGCCTAGTGTACCCACATGTGTGCATATGTTGTTAGTTTGACAGCATGTACACACATGCTATCAAACTAACAACATGTGTGAACTATAACAACTGGTTTATCTAATACTAGTACTGTACTAGTGTTGGGTTATCTAATACCACTGTGTGTGTGTGTGTGTGTGTGTGTGTGTGTGTGTGTGTGTGTGTGTGTGTGTGTGTGTGTGTGTGTGTGTGTGTGTGTGTGTGTGTGTGTGTGTGTGTGTGTGTACATCTATATCGCCCTTGCCTAGTGTACCCGCATGAGTGCACATGTATATCCATCTTGCCTAATGTTGTCCGAATGTGTACGTGTTGGCAGCCTGCTTGCCAAGCTGCGGGTTCCTGCCCACACAAATTCTTTTTCGTCCAAGACGACTGAGCTGTTAACTGATTTATCCTACATGTACATGATGTATGTGGTCAGGACGCCAGAAGGAAGGAAGCTGTCTGGTGGAGCATGCCTCTTAGTGTACTTACACAGGTACAAGGTCAATGTATTCTGATGGTATAACTCTGTGCGCGCGCATGTGCGTGTGTACGTGTATGTATGTGTGTGTGTGTGTGTGTGTGTGTGTGTGTGTGTGTGTGTGTGTGTGTGTGTGTGTGTGTGTATGCATGTACATGTGCATGCGTGTATGTCTATATGTGCGGTTGTACATGTGTGCTTGTATGCGATGATTGACGACTTCTGCTTGCACAGTTGTTCGGCAGCCTGCCCGACTGGCATGTGGGGTGTGGGGTGTGCCCAGACCTGCACATGTCTCAACAATGCAGCATGCACTGCAAGCACTGGAGCCTGTGTGTGCACACCTGGTTTCATGGGAGCAAGGTCAGTGGTGTATGCAGATCTTTTCTTTTTATCTTTTTTTTTACAAAATAACCACACACCATTTGATGGCACAAAGCAGAAAGGCAGCAATGGGACATATGGAATGGTAGGTGTGGGGGACAGGCATGGGCAGCCGCTAATTTGCCGACCATAGGGTCGCGGCTTCATTGCAACCCGAGCGCTCCACAGTCTTGCATACAGCCGGCTTTTTACTTGAGTCGTTCTACAATGCAGTTTGCATAGCCTGGGGTTCAATCGTGTCGGAACGTGTTGCACAGTAGTCACAAGTTGGGCCCAAACTTATTGCCTGAATTTGACATTGGTGATGATTCTATTTGCATGATGCTGTAGTGCATGGGCCAATGTGGTGGTAGGAATGCTCGTATAATTGTTTATGAAATTGATCATACACGGTGTGCTTAGCAATGGCTTGTCTTTGCTATTGTTGTGATGAGTACAGATGTGAGACACCATGCCCGGCAGACAAGTATGGCAGTTACTGCCGATACAACTGCACCTGCGTAAACAACGGTACTTGCAACTCCATTAACGGACTCTGCACATGCCTGACGGGATACGTGGGCGCGAGGTAGGTGACGTGAAAGCCTCTGCTAAGAAAGAAACCCTTAGTGGAAATCTACATTCCGTTTTCTTCAAGCCGCTTTGCACTTTCTTTTTTTTAAGCATCTGAAATTGTGCAGAGATGAAACTGTACATGAGAGAAGAATCAAGATGTAGGATTTCGAAGAAAAAAAAGATGGCTGTGAAGTAATTAAAAAAACGTACGGATGTTTGGTATAAGCCTGGATACTGCCAGTCACTTAGCTGGCATAAAATAAAATTTAAAAAAAATTTCACGGTTCGCGTGAGACTCGGCTGGAAGCCGAGTTTTCCGCATCCGCCATGGGAACGCCACCACTCTCTAGGATCAAAGGCGCAAATGCAGCGCCTAAATGGTGGGAGGTGAGTAGATCAGACCCACCACCAAGTGGTCAAAGACCGAAATCCCATTAGCTGCATCCATGTTACCCTCGTGCCAGGCCACGAGTTCCCAATTAACTGTGGGTCGCAGCACGGCTGGCATGACGAAGGGATATCCTGCTAGGGCTTGGTGGCCTTCCTGAGTATGGTGGTCAGCTACATGCCATGGGACTGAATGCAGGGTAAACAGCTAAGTAATAGTTGGCATGTAGTGTCCATTCCAATGTTCCAGTAGGACTAGCCTAGTGACACTTCCAGAGTGATGTCAGAGACCAGACTGTACAGAATCATGATGCAGCTGCTTTCATTCCTGTTTTGGAAATCACATATGCTCCTCGGCTTCCCAGTTCGTGGTTTCTTCTGTTCCACGTACCGGAATGCCAGTACAAGATCCATGAGCTTTGCCTTCCTTTCTTTGCTGTTCCATTGCATCGTACTCCTCTAGCTGTGAGCTTAAGTGTCCTCCTGGGACATTTGGGCATGGGTGTACATCGTCATGTAATTGTCAGAACGGAACTTGTCACCATCAAGACGGATCATGTCGGTGCTTTGCTGGGTACACCGGCCACAGGTGAGTGCATGATAAATTTCTGAATGTAGATTGATGGTCAAGTGCTATGTATGCATGTGTTTGTAGAACAGCCTGAGATATCCATTAAGTGAATAAGACCTTGACCCCCCCCCCCCAACACACACGTGTAGTCGTGCACACACACACACACACACACACACACACACACACACACACACACACACACACACACACACACACACACACACACACGCAGTGCTCAACATGCATGTATGCTGGGAAGTGTGCAGCAGTGGCACTATGTGTCAGAATAACGGTCTAAGTCACATACACGTTATTGTTGCTGCGCTTACTTACTGATGATCACCATGATGTGCAAGCAAACTGAGAGCAGCAATGGTCAGGTGCAGCGTGCACCCGCAATGGTCAATTTGTGTCCGCATTTCCGTTGAAAAACAAACAAACAAAACAAACAAACACAAAGATCAAAAAGTGAGTAGAGCCAGCCCCTTTTCCAGGAGGGGGGGGGGGTGCCATGAGAGTGAGTAGAGAAGGGGGGGGGGGGTGCGACCCTTCCCCCATGTGACTAGAACCTTGGAAATTACATGTAGTGTTTGTCTCACAAACAAGGGACAGAAATACATGTAGTATTGTACATGTGATGTGATGTGCAACTCAGTGCAATGCAATGTGTATTTGAAATCAGTCTTGTAAACTGATATAAGTACCGATGCCTGTGGTTCTGCATACGGTCATGTGATTTCTATTCGTCTGCTGACGGTGTGCTTCTCAGCTGCGCCATACCATGCAAAGACGGTCTGTTTGGTGCCTACTGCACGCAGACGTGCAAGTGCCGGAATGGAGCAACGTGCCTCCCGACCGATGGAACGTGCCTGTGTGCTCCCGGCTACAGGGGACCAACGTAAGCACTTTGGGTTGTCACAGAACCCTACAGGAAGTTGTGGAAAACTGCACGTACTTGTTGAACTGTCGCTGCTGGGATGGCGACTACACCATAGCTTAGTGGAAGAGCATCTCTGGCCTCGTGGGAAGGTCCCTGGTTCGAGTCCCGGTGGTGACAGTCAATTTTTTCTTCAGACTTTTCCCGTTTGCACATTTCCCTCAAATTTAGGAATATTACTTGTATACAGGTAAACCTTATGCACAAATTAGAACCTGTTGAACATCCAATGCGCTATAGTTGTGCATATGCATGGGAAAACTTGGTGTTGGAGATCTATCCCGCAAGCTTTGCCATTACCCCACAGAGCTCTCTTGTGCAATCCGAATGCGCCTTTCTGCTTGTCCAGATGCGCGGACAAGTGCAAAGTAGGAACGTACGGCGCAGATTGTCAGTCAACGTGCACCTGTCAGAACAACGGGTTATGTAATCATGTCGACGGCACCTGTACATGTACCGCCGGGTACAATGATACAGAGTAAGTCAACACTGCTCTGATGTCTGTGTAGTCAATACTGCTCTGTTGTCTGTATAGTCAACACTGCTCTGTTGTCTGTATAGTCAACACTGCTCTGTTGTCTGTATGGTCAACACTGCTCTGCTGTCTGTATGGTCAACACTGCTCTGCTGTCTTTGTGGACCCTGATTTACTTCCACTTCATTGCATGAAGAAAAAACAGAATGCTACTCACGCAGGGCCTACTTTTGACACAAGTTGACGCCAAGACGTTATAGCATACTCTCTTTCCACATCTTGTTACGAGTTGCCTGCATGCATTAGAAAGTGTGCTCTACACAACAGAAAAGTGGAGATGAACAATACCACACATACTCCACGGAGTTACGTTCTAGTAGAGGTGCACTACCCCTCTCAGTTCTTGTATATCCTATCCGAATTGTGTTTAGAACTTCATGTATATCCTATCCGAATCATGTGTGTTTAGAACTTCATAATAGTGTTTGTTCTCTCCCTCATTTTGCTGCAGCTGTTCCCAGCAATGTCCCGATGGCACCTATGGTCAGCTGTGTGCGAATGACTGCAACTGCACCTATGCTACCAACTGCAGTCATGTTGATGGCACGTGTACATGTTACACAGGTATGGACACTGATACTGTGACGTACTGTGTATGTACATGGTATAGCCGGCTTAGTTTTCCTAATGATTGCACAGAGCATGAAACTCAGAATCGAGGCTTAGTGATCCACTGTTGTACTGTGTAGTGTACACTGCTCTACTTTCATAGTCTCCAAGCTATCTCAGTCAGCACTCTGGGCACAGCCTTCTATAGTAGTTATAGAGGCTTAAAAGTATAACACCTGGGACAGGTGACAGAATGCCATAGTGTGTGATTGCTTTTGCTCGAAGAATTACAGTATCAGACTGTCGAATGATCGGACTGTTGAATGATCGCCACTGCCCATTGGCTTGGACGGTTCTTTTTCAAGCACTTGCACACTCTTGGAGTTCTTCCCGGCATTGATCAGCAACGTCAGTACAATGTTCCCTTTGCAGGGTGTGTTTGCGTAGTGTGCCTTTCTCAGTATTTTCTTTCCCAAGTGGATACTGAAGGGGAATTAGAGATTCACCAACAGTAGCTTGTAGTTTGCATCTAAATCTGACTCAGTCCTGAGTTTAACTTCAACCGTTCCTTGTGATTTCTTGTACGTTTCAGGCTGGACTGGGGTGGATTGCAGTCAGCAATGTGCCAGTGGATCATACGGTACAGACTGTGCAAACACGTGTCAATGTCGTAATGGAGCGGCATGCAGTCATGTTGATGGTAGTTGTAACTGTACTGCTGGATACACTGGAGTCACGTGCAGTCAAGCATGCCCGACTGGTTACCATGGCATCAACTGTTCCATGTCATGTGATTGTCGTAATGGTGCTCACTGTAACAAGGTTGATGGAACGTGTACATGCAAGCCTGGATGGAGAGGTGAGAAAAAGCTCCCACAGCTGCCAAGAGATACCGAAGTTGACACGATAGAATTCTTTCCAATTAATACCCAACCTGCAACACACCCAGTCCTTGGCTACATCGCGCAAGTTAATTTTATCCAAATGTTCACCCCGGAAGGCAAGAAGCCTCGTTCTGTTTTAATGGTTGTATCCAGCTTAATGGGAATCAGGACAGCTCCTTTTTTGTCATTATGTGTCAAGACTCAAGAGCCTAATGACCACGCGATGCACTCTCAATGCAGGGGCGTCGGACACGGTACGGTCACTACGGTATTGACCGTACCACATTTTGTCCCAGGTACCCCCGTGAATAAATAAAAAACACTGATCTGGACTCTAAATTTCCAAAAATTTTGGCTCAGCCATCCTTCTCCCACGAGTAAACCGTACTTCAGATGGCTGACCGTACCACACTATAATGCCTTCCGACGCCCCTGCAATGAGATGTGCATTCTGCACCAGGCACAAACTGTACGCAATAAATCAAGAGCGCTTCACTTGCAGGTACCGTTCTCGGCAAAGGGACAAGAAGAGCGTGTTCTGCTCTGTTTGGAAATGTGCACGGCACGTGTTTGACTGCATGAATTTGACCTGGCTCTCTCTCTTCCTTGACGGTGTACCCTACTCTGCACTGCTATGCATGACAGCGTGCATTGATCTGCTAGCCGGCTTGTTCACTTCTCTAGTTTTCTTTTCCGTGTACCGTCAATCCATTATGCAGGTGTGTCGTGTAATGACCCCTGTCTGAAGGGTACATTTGGCCAAGACTGTGCCAACACATGCCCTTGCCAGAACGGTGGCAGCTGTGACAAGGTGGACGGCACGTGCCAGTGCACCAGTGGTTGGACGGGTCCGGTGTGCGCCAACTATTGTGTTGCAGGTGAGAAGTTTGCGAGTGGTGGTGGAAGCATGCCGGGCATGCTTATCCGCGTGTAGTTACCTGCATGGTTCTTTGAATCTTTGTTTGCGGAGATGCGGTGTGGTCTTTATGGACATATCTGTGGGGTCTTTACAGACATACTGTGTGGACTTAGGCTGCATGAGTATGTTGCCTACACTTGTCCATATAGCCTTCCGGGATAATGTTCCTTGGTGTGTATGCTTGGCCAAGTGCTTACAATCATGATTTGTACAGCCGGTCATGTATTTCCTCTGTCTTGCGACAGAACCGCAAAGGTCCGGCCGGGTTCAAGCCCACTGACTTTCAGAAAAAAAGAAAACTGTTTTTTTGCGCACATCCTTTCTGGGGCCCCGTAAGCAAGTGGGATGGACTGAAACAAGAGTTGGTATTAGTATCTCTTCCCCCTCCCTCTCCACGTCCCTTCACACAACACCATTGGTAGGGCTTAGGCTCACTGCAGTTACATGTATATCATATGGGGAGTTGGTCTCAAGTTACAGTTACTCACATGCCATCACTTTCCCGCACAAACAGTGCAGGAATAGATTGAGACTGATACTCCGTTAGCCAGAACGAGAATTTCCAATGCAGGTTACCTTGCTACAATAGTCCTACGCCATGGTGAAGACCTTCTGTGCTCTTGCTACCCAGTACCTGTTTTCAAGCACATGTTACCTTCATACCTATCCTGTGCAAAGGTTTCCATGGTCCAGACTGCAGCCGGAGATGTTCTTGCAAGACGGACGTTTCAACGTGTGACCGTTTCACTGGCAAGTGCACTTGCACAGCTCCTGGCTACACGGGGAAATCCTGCAATGAGACGTGTAGTAATGTGAGTACTATAGTACAGCTTGTGATGTGAGTACTTTAGTACAGCGTGTGATGTGAGTACTTTAGTGCAGTGTGTAATGTGAGTTTGAATGGAGGTTACCAGACATGCAAGACAAGTTTGCTGATTTTCTGCTATGACATGCACGATGGATACACATTGGTGACTAGTGCCAATCTGTTTAGTATGCAGGTGGGGATGAATGCGGCGGAGCACTGTGACGGGATAATAGTGAAGTAGGCTTCTCCCCCTGGCCCCCCGCCACACAACAACGCAAACTCTTGATTGTATCTTCAATACTTATATTATACCAAGAAATGACGAGGGCGCAGGAGGAGAGAGACAAACTTGGAGACGACAAAAAGGACAACGGGAAGACTCCCGGGAAAAGACTCGGAGGATCAACAAAGAACAAGCAGTAATAAACCGAGGACAAATCGTGACGACCAATTAGGGACTAATACGTACAGAACACATGACCAAGACCAAGACAACCAGACCACGGACGAATCACACACGACTCTCATTCCCAGACCAAACTAGCACTGCGCATGTACAGCATTCACTTGACAGTTACTCTCACACAGACGGAAGCACATCCTCACTCTCTGACAACGCGTACTCTTGCATGCACCACATACCATAAACGTCACACATCACACCATACTCGCGCGTACACCTAGACCATAATGACATCAGACATTGGACTCCACAAGAAGAGAACCAAATACAACGACATGCGTAAATCATAGTCGTAATACAAATTCGTAACAATAGCATTGTAGTTACTGGTGTACAGTGAACTGCTGTGACTTGCACCCCGGTGTTAAGAGCTACACTAGTCTTGATAAGTACAAGCATTTTTTTAGACATATCTTTCCTCCAAATGTAAGCAGGTTTCGACAGGAAAGACCTTGGATACTAAGTCCCGATTTCCCCCATGGTGGGGAGGGGGAGAACTCATACTTTTTTTAGACTTCTACAGTGCACAAGTCATCATGTTTTTATTTGAGCTACCCACATGCACTGTGTAGTGGTACGCTGCACCAGTTAGTGACTGGCCATTGGCATCATGTCAGTTAGTGACTGGCCATTGGCATCATGTCAGTTAGTGACTGGTCATTGGCATCATGTCGAGCGGGTAGGTGGAGGTGCATGAGGATGGGGATGGTGTGGGCAGTGGGCGGGGGCGGGTGTTGCAAGTATATATCATGATAACTAAAAAAACAACAAGCTGTACTGACAATACCCTTGCGCTTCTGTTCAATCCTGCAGACGTGGGGCTATGACTGTGTGAATGACTGTGAGTGTGTACGTGCCAACAGTGTCACCTGTGATGCTACCAACGGAGACTGCAAGTGCAGCCCCCAGTATCACGGTAAGTGGCTTGCTGGCATCAATACTTCTTACTTCCCCATCATCCTTTCTTGCACCGCACATCTCTTTTTAAAGAGGTGCGGTGTTTGGAATAGAAGTGTTCAAAAGAAGAATCAGGACTGGCATTCCACCAGTGGACTTCAATACCGCATTCGCTGTTCCTAAGTGGCTAGCAACCATCATGCATATCTCTCTCTCTCTCCCTCTCTCTCTCTCTCTCTCTCTCTCTCTCTCTCTCTCTCTCTCTCTCTCTCTCTCTCTCTCTCCCTCCTTCCAGGAAGTACCTGTGGTAGCAAATGCCCGGATGGCAGTTGGTCGGTTGAGGAAGAGTGTGACGGTCGGTGTGACTGTGACAATGATGGAAGCTGTCACTCAGTCACTGGTGCCTGCCAGTGCGGGCCTGGATGGACTGGACCCAAGTGTAGCAACAGTAAGCTTGACGGCCGTGCTCTTGTCCTTTCTAGAATATCTGAGTGCACGTACAACTCAAACCCGCAATGTGGAAAAGGAGGAACTAGAGTTCCCTATACGTATACCAGGACTGCTGTGAAAAGCATTACATTGTTTTCTCTCGTCACTCTCCTCCTCACAGAGTGTCCTGGTGGTCTGTACGGAGCAGGATGTCTTGGCAAGTGTCCGGTATGCAGTGGAAACAACGTGCAAGAGAACTGTGATCATGTCAGTGGCAACTGTAATTGTGTACTCGGCTACTCATTGGAGTCACGGTGTGCTGAAGGTGAGAAACACCACGCTCATACATTCAGACGTCGCGTATCCAGTCCTAATCACCCGGTTCTCTCACCACTTGAACTGCTCGAGCATGGGTTTAGCAATTGTACAGTGAACAATACTGAGTGTAGTGAAACATGTTCTCCGCACGGTTCTCTAGTCTCAACACCTATCCGGACATTTTCATTTTTTCAAACAAATACATGTATAAATGGACTCGGATGGAGAGCCAAGGACTGATGTATACAAAACGAAAATGGATCAAGGAACCACAAGTTACGCTATAATGATTGCTTAAAGGCCCTGTAGTGATAGTGGACATAATAGCGTAACTTGTAGTTCCTTGGTCCATTTTTCTTTTGTATAAATCAAATAGATGTATAAAGTTTCTGTTTTCTGATGATGGCTTAGTGCGTGAACGGACTCGGAGTAAAAACACTTTCTCTGTCCTCCTATTGTTTGTATAAAGTTTCAATAGTTGTTTACTGTTCATTTCTTTATTACCCGCCTACAGACTTTCGATCTTATATGATCGGAAGCCTGCAGGCCAGTAACCAACTACAGTGGCACATGGGAAATATGCACCGGTATTTGCACACTTTTGCTCGGCAGTAGGAGGGTGAGTTTGTTTGTTTGTGCATGTGTGTGCATATATATATAATATATGTGTGTGTGTGTTTGTATGTATGTGCGCGCGCGTGTGTGTGTGTGTGTGTGTGTGTGTGTGTGTGTGTGTGTGTATGTGTGTATGCATGTTTGTGTGCATGTGTGTGTGTGTGTGTATGCATGTGTGTGTGTGTGTGTGTGTGTGTGTGTGTGTGTGTGTGTACGTACCATGTTCTTCGTCGGCTTAGCCTGTAAGGATGGCTGGTATGGTGTCAACTGCCAGTTCCAGTGCGATTACTGTGATGCGGAGAATAGTGCTGGACCTTGCAACAAAATGACTGGCATCTGCAACTGCAATCCTGGATTCGCATCGAAATTCTGCAACATGACAGCAGGTTGGTTCAAACCGTCACCTTAACAGCTATTTTGAGAATTCGGTGTAAATATTGATAACATTCCCTAGTGGCATGCATTGCATCTCTTGTGTCTAGCCTTGGGAACTGTAGCCGCAGACAGTATGGTTCAATCAAGTCACTGAGAGTGCACTGATTTATTGCACGGTGGATTTCACGGTGGATGTGCTCCATCAAACTGCTGTTTTCACTGGGTGGTGCTAAGATTTCATTCACCTGTCTGCCTGTAGGTTGGTCTGACCATCTGCCTGCCTGTCTGTTTGTCTGTTTGCATGTCTGTCTGTCTGTCCATTTGTCTGTCTGTCTGCCTGTCCGTCTTTCCGCGCGTCCATATGTGCAACCATACGCGCATCCGTCTATGGGTCCATACGTGTGTGTGTCTGTCTGTCTTTCCCCTCACAGAGGAGTATGATGCACTGCTGGAAGAGCAGCGGAGGAAGGATGGAGACAACCCTGAGCCACAACCCAGCAGCAGCAGCAACACTAACCTAGCAGTTGGTATAACAGTCGGTGCTGCAGCTTTTCTTCTCATTGTTATAATCGCAATGGTTATAGTGTTGAAGCGTCGTAGTAAACAGGATGAAACGTCGTACGGTCAAGCAAACAATGCCCCAGAGGTCTTCTACCGTAAGCAGTCAGGTCTGGACAATCCAGAGTATCATGCTGTCCTGGCGAGGGGCGCAACAGCGCAAACCAGTGAAGACACTTCCTCAATGAAGGATAGTCCAATGTACAACCAGCAGCTTTACGACGTGGCTTCCGATCCGACTGGCCTTCAGGTGGCTGCTGCTGCTGCAGCTGCTGGCACATCAACAAACCTATACCATCAGCCGGCTGCTGCTGCTGGTGTGAGCCGGAAGCCTTTTGCAGGTGTGTCAATCAACAACGATGCCGCTGAGGGGCCAGAGTACAGCGTTGCCACTGGCCATGCAATCCACACACAGGAACAGCTCAACATTTATGATAATCCTCAGCTGGTAGGTTCGATGGGCCAGAGCAAATCCGAACCGCAGACAGGAGGTCTGTTTCAAGCCATGAACCGGGACACCATTATCCACAACAACATGGCACCCAGCTCTGCCACCGACGCGTATGACAATCCCAACGAACCGCCGAGTGCCGTGCCGGGTGCACAGCATAACTATGGCGACAACACATACGCCACTGCCGACCATGGTGCTGCCGTGGCAACCGGCGAGATGACATCGAATTCCAGTGATCTTGGCTACACCGTGATGGGCAGGCAAGCATAGGCCTGACAACTAACTTAGTAACACAATGAACATGTGCCACTGCATGCTAGTTTCTTGTTGTCATTATCATCATCACCAGGGATGAATTTATCCGGTATCGCATCGCAGTTTGCTACGCAAAATCGATCTACTGCTACTCAAAAATGTCAGTGACACGCAGAAAACTGCCATACATACATGTACAGGCTACTACTATTCATGCTTTTTGTAGCTTACGCCACAATTGAGATTTTGCATAGGAAAAACTGCTATGCAAAAACATGGCAGTAAATTCATCCCTGATCACCATCGTCGCATTGCTGTTTCCATTGTGGCGTTTTGTGCTTGCTAAGCATACCGATGTGTGCTTGAGTATTTTGACCTTTCTGATTGGAATTTTCACCGGCATTTATATTTTATGGCAATGAGCTTTTGCATCCGTTGGAATTGTTATACCTTTTTTTGTCACATGGTGTGTTAGTTGTTGATGAGCACAGCAGAGCCTGCACATCGACTTGAACTCACCCCAAGCCATTTGAAACAATCATAGCATCCGTTCGACGAAATAGTGGTAGCAACCTCGACGATGATAAGGAAGTTGGTTCCGGTATGGGGTGCAATCAACTTCCTCAGTATTCTTTCATTAATGTTGCGGTTGGTTGAGATACAGGTGAATATACATGTACGTTGAAGTATCCGGAGTTTGGCAGAGCTTGTGTTGCCTTTAGAACATCACAACACGAGTAATGCATGTCAATGCTGTACATGCATGGGTACGCTGTACATCCGCTACTTTCTCGAGCATACTACTCTACTACGCTACGAGTAGTAGAGTAGTACAGTCATGTAAAAACAAGTAAAGTCCTGTATCATGTGTATGTGCCGGTACAATGTAGGCTAGGCTAGGCTAGCCATTAGCGATGATCATAATACATTAATAGTTATTATTATGAGTTCATGACGCACAATGCATAACGATAAGTACATGGTGTACAGTGCTGGCAAGTGAAATCCTACCCCCTGGGCGGCGGCGCGTTCACTTTCTAGCGGTCTTTGCGATGTGAGCGCACTGCTCAGGGGGTCGGATTTCAGTTGCCAGCACTGTAGTGTAGGTGTTTGTTTGTTTCTGATAAAAAATTCGGTCAGTATGGCTACTGTAGTACTGAGTGACAGTCTAGTCTGTATGCCTCGTCTGCGACTCTGGGGGGGGGGGGGGGTGAGACATGTGAAGCTGCCATACAGGTCACGGGTGTGAGCGTACGTACATGTACGTACATGTACATGTACGTACCTCTCGGCATCGGGAGTACATGTACTAGTAGATCTACTGCTCATTCGACCTGGAATGCTGGATCTTTTTTATTCTTATTTTTAATTTTTTATCACATTGCACATACCTACGGAAGAAGGGGAACAAACAAAGACAAAACACAAAAAACAACAATCGGTGTGTAGGCGCTACATGAGCTGCGCTGGTGACGTGCGGTGGACTCAGGCCCCCGACCAAGGGTCTCGGGATCGGCGTACACATCAAGCACCATGGGGTGGGGGGAGGAATGACGGGGAGAGAGAGAGAGAGAGAGAGAGAGAGAGAGAGAGAGAGAGAGAGAGAGAGAGAGAGAGAGAGAGAGAGAGAGAGAGAGAGAGAGAGAGAGGGAGGGAGGGAGGGAGGGAGGGAGGGAGGGAGGGAGGGAGGGAGGGAGGGAGGGAGGGAGGGAGAGAAAAAAGAGGTGGAGAGATATACCGTAAGTATAGAGAGAGAAAGAGTTCTGGGGGCATATCGCCGCATGTATCTATAATGCTGCTTGTAGAAGAGGGTCAACATAATAATTTGGATCCACTGATAGCAGGCCAGTGTGATACATGAGCATTACTAGGGCTGAAAGGAATATTCGAAATATGCACGGCGGAAAAAGAATATTCTTCGTTAACTGGTATACACCCCAATTACAAGAGAGATACTTGGTCCGACTTATTAAAATGTGCGTTTCACTTCAAACGTCAACCAAACAAATTCAAATAATATCAGGACGGAATAAACTTTCCAGCTACCTAACACTATCCTTCAGTTGTCAATTTGTGGTGTTGAAGAAGAAATGGCTCCAACTCCAACGGAGGCAGCGACTCAGGATCCTAGTCGACTCGAGCATTTTGCGTCCGAATTTTGTCGTCAGAGGACTCCTGTTGCTTCTCGCGCAACACAGAGAAGGCCTGGTGCTGAAATCAACACCCCGCTGCGATGGGGGATTTTCACGGAGTACCAAAACCTCCTGGGCGATCGTTCTCGAGTGCCTCCTGGCGGATTGAAATCGCTGCAATCGCTGTTTCCTTCGCAGAATTTCAGCAAGCGCGTCATCCAGAAACTCGTGCAGAAAGCACCAGCATCGCTCCGTCCAGTTTGCTGATCTCTCTCGCAGTCGTTCACGATGTGGCGGCCGACGAATCAAGATCACAGAAGAGATCGTCGAGAAGTTGATCGAAATAAATAACCGGCCTTGAGGTCGACTTTCAGGCGACAACCTGGCTGGAAAACTGAAGCGCAGAAAGGGGGAATTATCCGGCGGATACGGTGCGGAGTCCTCGGATCCGCGCGCGGAGCCGCGATCGCGATGCGTCACAAGATCGCCAGTTTACGGGGCCAGTGCAGTGGATTCGTGAAACAGGCAGGGAAGAGCAGGCATGGTCTGATCTGACTGCATGACATGTCGACACAGCTCAGACTCAGTACGCGCGGTACACGTTGGTCAGAAGTGATTTTTTATGCGTGGTGGTTTACTTGTTCACCTCATTTGAAGGTGTCGTGGGAGCTTCAGGCGAAAACACCTACAGCCACCATTTTGGTAGTCGTACTCCACGAGGAGGAGGCGAAATCGATCGTGTAAATCGTGCCTATGGAGTGAAAAAAGAAGCGCAGTGTAGCTTGGAGGAGATGAAAAAAATGTCGACGTTTTGCAGGTTGACGCACTTGCCGATGCGCCCTGAGACACCAGCAACGATGAAAACTAGAAGGTCAGGCCAAGAAACGACACAGTAGTTATCTATCTACCGTCTCTTGGTTGATTTGTTACTAATGTTAGTACAGGTGCTCGTTTGTACATATGCTTGAGTTTTGAAGTGAAGCGCACATTTTAATAAGTCGGACCAAGTATTTGAAAAATCATTTGTCTTGCTGATTATAATACATGGAAAGAGGCAAGCCTACTCGTATTTTGCACCAAATAAGCTTGATCGATGTCAAAAAAGCGAGTTTCTGTACATTTACGAATATTCCTATTCTACTTTAATGGTCTATGGTTGCCATGGATAAAACTAGGTATCCATGGAAATTGCATGGTTTAGAATATTCGGAATATTCTTCGTTTCGCATGTATTCGAAAAAGAATATTCGTTTGCTTCATTGAGCATTCGTTTCAGCCCTAAACATTACATCTACTGAGTGAACCGGACCCATACCTTGATCTGGTGAGTGGTGAGCGGGATTTTGCAGTCACATGTGCGACCGCATATTCGTTACTTTTGCACCCACTGACATGCATTACCACTATCTGTCCATGATTGACGCCTCTTGCACGGAAAAAGAACACAATGAATGCAATGCTCGAAAATGTAATGTTGTTGTATGTTGTTGTTTTTTAAAATTTGAATTCGCAATACCAAACGGCCAATAAGCCCAATTACATGGAAGCGAATAAAAGAATGCTAAGAATGAGGCATTTTGGTGAATATTATTTCAAGTGGAAATACTGATTCCGGGAGGTACTACAAATAGGTACAATGAACATCTGAAAAGGCCATGATACTGTCGTTTACCATGCTGCAAGCAGCTACATGTGGAATGTAAAACAACAAGAAAGACGTTGTATCTCATGTACTGGACAAACAGAGCTAACAGGAAAAGACCGCTCGTTAAAATGCCTATACATACTGTCCAATGCAACGTGAATTGGTGCATTTGAGTTTACTGCGTTTATTGTTACTTAGTATTATTATTCTCATGATCCGTCCCGAATGGAACTCACGACGGCTGAATTGCCGGACTGTGAGTATGTGTGTGTGTGTGTGTGTGTGTGTATGTGTGTGTGTGTGTGTGTGTGTGAGAGAGTGGGAAAACAAACATAATTTTAAATGAAAAACGTACTGCGTTTGGGGCAGGGTAATACTGGACGTGTGTCTTTGTCTTGCAAAAACCTAGGTACGGCAGCCAACAGGATGTCGCTGCATTCGTACAACGTGCCATTGCCTTTGCCAGGTGTCTGAGGCTTGATGAACTTATTATGATAGGCTACGTGCACCCGCCAGCAGGTCTCGGGAGATTTACCTGGCCTTGTCGGAAGTGTCTAGTCTAGTCTGTCTTTGCTTCTTATTTTCTCATCATGAAAGGACATGGAAAACGTGTGAACAATAATGATTGCATCATGCATTAGGATGCATATCACTTATCAGCGCATCAACATCTAAATCTACATGACGTTGTATCCCGGTAATCATATCTTCGACACCAGGTTAGAGCCTGGCCTGAGTGGTATCGTAGACAGTGTTATCCCAGTGAGTGCACATGGCTGGGTGAGTTTGGCCTTCAAAAGAAAACACTCAGTCGGTCATGGATTCGTGGATCGTTCAACCGTTTTACTTCAGACACATTGAATCAGATTGTTAGGCCTCAATCCAGTGGACTACTTTTTGAAGTACTTGTAGCTAGCCTATAATTATTATGGCCATAGTAGTAGTAGGAGTAGTAGTAACATTAAATTATTATTTTGATAGGCCTGCACACGTTGCTGTCTTGTTACAGAGAACCCTAAGTGCTCTTTACAGAGCGAAACAAAAGCGGATAGATGCCATAGTCATCTCTATTGGATGTCCTATAGACTAGTATACACGCCTCCAAAGACTTTACTAGGATCCAATCAAGCCGCAAGCTGACTCACCAGACGAAACATAGAGTTTCACGTGCGAAGTATGATTGATTTAGCAGATGTGGTACAGGTAGCTGCCAGGCGCAGAAGCCAGGAAGTGTCGCTTGCCGAAGTGTCAACAACTGTCTCCGCCTGGCCGCAAGGAGTGGTTTTTCTGGATGGGCAGATTATGGGTGTTGCCAAATATTACAATGAGGCTTTCCTTGCCAGACTTACATCACACATATACTAATAGGTAGGGAAGATACATGTAGGTAGGGCAGATTTAATTGTAATTGCCGATATTCGCCTGAGAAGGCCATCTACGGAATGTAACGATGCCCTGCAGCGTACGTTTAAATTAACACACCCAGTTTTGGCCGTCTTGACAGTGGATACAGCTATAGTACCTGAAGGTTCTGTACCAAAAAAAAGTGATGTCAAGAGGAGAAAAAAACGTTCTGTAGCCCGAAGGCATTAATATAATGCAGGCATCTAGGGAAATCATACATACCGGTACAACAGAGCTAGGACGGATCACCTTGATCTGCTTCTGGTCACTGACGCCTTGTTGCTAGTGCTTTCCGACCAGTCTGGGCCACAAAGGCATCGTTATGACGTAGATCCCCCGGGGTGATTGGTGGCCTTCCACGACACCAGTCTGCACGAAACTCGCACGACTAGCACAGGGTCAAGAGTCTTGAATAAAGAATCAACTTAGGCCAAAGTTAGGGATTATCTTCCGTGATATGTATGAGTACGAAGTCAATATTAGATATAATTATCACAACAAACCAAAGCATGTGTTCAATGAACTTCAATCCCTAAAAAGGAGTCAAATATAGGCAGTCAATATACCGGTACTAGTACTTGAAGTAACCCTAAGGAATGAAATATGCAGGAATATTTGACTGATTAGGTATGGCAACAATCAGTGTAAGTCAACACTAAGAGAGTGATAAAAGGGTATATCCGTATTGTACATGCAGAAACATGGCATTAAATTCCAGGGGTGTACTTTATCTACTTGAAGAGACAGGTACAATGAGGATGCGCCAGTGACGGGCGTCTTCACTACCGAGATGAAACACCCGTTCGAAGGTACACAGAAAGTCGGCGCCGAAACCTTGTGGGGGTTGTGAACTTGTGATACAAATCGACTCATCCTATTCCGAGCCTTGTTGCCTTTTTGCGGTGTGAGAAAATACCCACTGGATGAACATGCATGCATGAACTCTTGCCGGACAATGCGCTGACCAGTACCGTGGTGAATATTTGAAGTGGGAACGTGCGGTGTCTGATCACTGGTTATAACTTATATAAGTTATGGTGCCATCCTAGTCAATGCCTAGGCCACTGGCACTGGCATACGTGTAGTAACAATTATTCTTCATGTTGACACTGAAGCCGCCAGCGTATGGTGTAGCACACACTGGCTTCAGTGCCAACATGAACCTACAAAACCCAGACAAGAACATGTCGAGATCTGCTCATCCCGTTCCCTGTCGAGTTCCATGGTGTCGAAACCCAATGACTAGCCAGCCAGATAGCTAAACCAGCAGCAGAGCAGGGTGACATCGTTGGTCATCAATGGTTCCGGTACAGCCTAGGGTCATATTTTGTGTTCCCCATGGTGGGGGTCCATGCTGTGAGTGTGCGCTTGTTGCCTGCTGAAATCAGGATGATCCGTAGCAGATGTTGTATGCGTCGTCGTAAGTCCTCTCTCTCTCTCTATCTCTCTCTACACGTCAACATGCTTGCCGAGGTAGTGGTTTCCAACTAACTTGAAGTTGAGCACGGTGTAGCCATACCGGCCTTCAACATCTCCAGACCAGAACGGCACGCGGGCATGGTATTGCTGGCACACGACGGTAAACGGTAAATCTACAAAAGGAAGGCCACGAGACAGTCCGGGCCTATTGTCACCTCACCAGTCAACCCCAGCTTTACTCTGCCCACATCTCTGTCGGCATCTCTGGTTTGTATCCGTGGTTTGAAGAATACAGTGGTTGTCGCCAGCAGCTAGGCTACAAGGGTCGGATAAAGTTTCGAGAAGGACCACATAATGATGGGCCCGATGCTTTTCCGCAGCACGGGTACATCATCCCGTCTTGGTGCTCTGCGACAGCTTGTGCTCGTAGTAGTCATGGTGCTGGTCAATACCCTGCATTCTCCCGTTCTGGGACAGCGGCTGCAGAGAGGCGGTAGAAATGTGTGCTCCAAAACGAGAAGGTAATCATGCTATCAAATTATTACTACTAGTATTGTATTTGTATTTGTATTGTATTTATTTAAAAGGATTCTCCAAAAGCAAATGGATGCTTATCACGGAAGTCTCCCACATAAATATCGCAAGAAAAATGGGGAAATGGGGAGAGGAGAGTGGAAGATGAAGCATGGGAAGAAGGGAAACAAGTACCTAAATATCGAGGTATAAAAGCAGGAAAGAAATCGACGAGGGAAGAAATCACCTCTGCAGATAATAGCGGGACATTTAGATGAAAAAACCCCAGCAAGGATTAATTTCAAGGAAAAAAAATTCTCAAACGGAAAAGTTCGGAATTCCAGTCAGAGAATATCTATGCTGAGAGTAATGAGCCTTTAGAGCAATGCGAAAATTGACAGAGGACTGAACGCAGCGGATGTGTTCTGGAAGTTTGTTCCATTCCACAGATAAACTGAAGAGAGGGGATTTAAGGAAATGGGCGCCAGAACGAGGTAAAACTATAGAGGACGGGTGACGACAACTAAGGGATACATTGAATTTGAAACGAATTAGCAAAGACGGAAACTGGTAAAAGACATGATGAAAATACAGCAAGGACAGAATCTGACGACGCCACTTCAGGGATGACCAGTCACAAGTACGATTAAGAATCTGCTTCGGGGTTTCCCACTCAGGAGGGTGCCGGGTCTTACAAAGCAGATATGAACGAGCAGCAACGGCTTGCAGTCGGTCTAACGTAAGCGAATCTGAATGGGATACGGCGAATGACCAGACAGGGACTGCGTATTCTAACAGTGGTCGTACGTAACACTTGTAGAGCAAATTCACGGTTGAAGCAGAAAGGAAATGGGCCATATGGCGCAACAGAAAAACACGACTGCGAAACTTATGGGTGATAGATTTTATATGGTCAGAAAAATTTAGTGAAGGAGTGATAGTCACGCCGAGATGACAGTGGCTATCACCTTTCTGAATAGGCACACCGTTCATTGTCAAGGGGGATGACGGGCCTGGGGCTAATGCATATTTTTGAAAGGGTAGGTGGACGCATTTACTGGTGTTAAACGTCATGGCAGTAGCTGATGACCATTGACAACACTTATCAATGTCAGTCTGGAGCAATGCATGATGGATAGGAAGTGAGGTGTTTGCTGGAGAAACAAGAATTAAATTAGAGTCATCAGCAAAAAGGGATAGGGTACTAGAAGCAGGGGCATCAGGAAAGGAGTTGATGCACAGGTTAAAAAGAAGCGGGCCGAGATGGGAACCTTGGGGTACGCCAGCGGTGATGGGCAAAGGGTCAGAAAGAGTTTGGCCAATGCGAACGCAAATACTACGATCACTGATAAAGTCCTTCACCCAAGAACAGGCAGAAAGAGAACACCAACCTGAAACAGATTGAATAACTAAATGATGACTAACTCTGTCAAAGGCCTTAGAAAAATCAAGGAACAGCTGGTCACAAGAAGACTTAGAGTCAAATGCACGCGAAACAATTGAGGTAAGCTGTACCAATTGGTCAACTGTTGACCTCTTTCGACAAAAGCCAAACTGGCTGGAACTGATACTTTTATGGCTCTCAACAAACGAGTAAAACTGACGGCTAATCATAGACTCATACAATTTGGCAACTGCATTTAACAGCGATATAGGACGGTAATTGACTGGGTGAGAAGGATTACCTTTTCCCTTGAACACAGGTACAACAACGGCAGATTTCCACTCCCTGGGCTGAGTACTGGACAGCAAGCAGCGGTTGAAAAGGGCGGAAAGAGACTGTGACGTGACCTCAGCTGTTTCACGGAGGATGCGATTGTTCAGCAGTCCAGCGGTTTTACGTTGAATGGGAAGTCTGGATAGCGTGTCAAATACGGACTGCACAGAGAATGGTTGTATGGAGAACTTCACAGTGGACGTGGGTGTTAAAATACCAGCTGAGTGCAGGTCAGGTGTTAGCAGTGGCGCCTGGCTGTAGCTCGCAAACACTTTGGCTAGGAGATTCGTCTTTTCCGTATTACTCGTGGCTGGGTAGGCTTGGTTGTCATGGTAGAGGTCAGGGATAACCGGAGACGGGCGATTCACATTACAAAGGATCTTTGCTTTGCGCCACCATGTACGAGTTCCATGATGCTGAGCCATGTCTCTCGCCATCCTCTCGTGATAATGGCGTTTCGCCTTCCGGAGCAAGGAAGTAAGACACGTGAGAGTCTATACGCTATCCAACTATCTGTAGATCCGAGAGGTTTGGCCTTGGCGAAGAGGCGATCCCGAAGCCGCCTCTGACGATGGTGAACAGCAGAGTACCAAGGCTTGTTTGATGGAAATGTGCTTCTCCGGACAACGGGAACAAACAACGATACAGAGTCTTCCAGCGCTGTGCGCCACAATGACCAGGCCTCATCAACTGTTTGCGCATTTTGGACGGCATCTAGCAAGGGTAGATGCCACACGTGGTTGTTAAATGCTTGCCAGTCCGTGTGGGCAAAGTCGAGCCAGGTGTTTTGTGCAGAAGATATTTGGGCTGTGGAGCCTGCTGATCGGTTGTGGACGACATCGAAAACTACAGGACAGTGATCAGATACCGGTGGGAGGATGGTGAGATGGGAGACTGCTATTGGAGCATTAGTGATAACTAGGTCGAGTAGTGATGAACTCTTACCACTTGCGGAGTAGCGGGTAGGCTGTTGATCCACAAGTTGCGATAAGCCCAGATCATCCAGGGTGTCATACATGCATGTACCAGCAGGTGTATCAGGATCGGATGCTAGCCAATTCGAGAGGCGAGCGTTAAAGTCGCCAATGACAAATATGGAAGCTTGAGGACAAGATATTGATTGAATGCAGGTCCGGAGTGCGCTGCAGAACTGATCAGGTGGCTGCCAAGGAGGACGGTAACAACAGAACACAAACGTGGAGTTGGGGCGATGCTCTAGTTCTATGCACACAATTTCAATGGTTGGATCAGCAGGCTGAAGATCTGGACGATGTTTGGTAGCATGGGAAATGGAAGGGTGGAGGAGGAATGCCACTCCACCTCCACGTCGCACGGTATTGTTGTGACGGTCATGCCGGATAATTTTGTATTCAGCTGACGGTGTTAATATTGAACTTGTGATATCAGGAGTCAACCAGGTTTCAGTTATGCCCAAGATATCTAGTTGAGATGTGCAGAATAAGTTTTTAATCTCATCAGCCCGCTTCAGCCAGCTGCATGCGTTAACTGTGCAGATCCTGATACTCGACGGAGACTTCATATCAGGAATACAAGGTGAAAAATTGAAAGTCAAAGGGGGCGGTTGGAATGGTGGAGCAAGAGGGTTCAGTGCGGTCACTTGCGATTGTCGGCCGGGAGAGAACGGGGCTGCATTTGGGTTAAGAGTAAAAGCGTGTGGTGATGTGGGAAAAAAGATGGGTGCGTGTGGATTCAACATCACAGTTTATGATTTCTTGGGGAGGGGTGGGTTCTTGAACTTCCATTCTCGTGCTGTTACATGCTCGGGCCAGAACTCGTTTTCCAGAACATTTCTTTCGTCATGCTCAGCAACTGTCAGATGTGCGTACAACGTGCCGTACACTGTTCTGGAGGGGATCAGTCTACAGCCAGTAACTTCCACATTCTTCTTTCTACAGTACGCAACAAGATCATCAGCACTGCAGTTGATATTGATGCCCCCAACGAATACAACTCTGCGTGCTATTTTCTTACCTCCACGCAGATCTGCGGGCTTCCTGTGGCGGTTGGCGGCTTCACGTACGATCGACCAGTCGTACTTGGTACTGACAGGCTTGTCAGTAGTACGACTGGCGTTGCTTGTTCGTGGTGCAGAGAGGGTACGACTAGCGTACGTCTCGCCCGGAGCTGCGGATTCAAGCCCTGTTGGTGCAGATGCGGGTACTGGTACACCCGTGGCGGGAATGTTTGTAGCTGCTCGGTACGAGTACTCATCCTGGAGGCTGTCGAGGGCGCGATTAGAGACATCGATGGGCTGGTGGTGTTGTGTCAGGGCGCGAAGCTCCTCCCTGAGTTCTGCAATGGCGGCATCTTTTCCTTTCTCCTTTTCTAGAAAGATTTTTCGTAGGTCGGAAACTTCTGCTACCAGGTTTCGGACCGTCTCCATCAGGTCAACCATCATCTTCGTTAGCGCAGTAGCATCAGTACTGGTACATTCACATCCTCCTGCCTGCTTTGTGACCCTGTGTGTGTCGATCTGATCGTCCAGTGGTTGCAACTTTCCCCTCAGGGCGCCTACCAATTGCACTCGGCTCAGGCCGGCCCATTTGACGTTATTGGCCTTTGCCAGTGACTCCAAGCCTTCACTATCCAAAATTCCGAAGTCAATGGACGCCATGCTCCCGGTTGGGGGAGCAAGACGTCAGCCGTAAAAAACTCGCAACCACACTCGTCAACGAGAATGTGGCCAGGCAAATGTACAATCATGTGTACAGTGTAGCATTAGTGTAGTAGTAGATCTATTATTGACGTATTGACGTATTGTTGTAGACTGTAGCTTGCATGTAAACTAATTACTTGTACTACTCTTGGTAGTGTAGGCTGAAGGCCATCACATGCAGCTCTTCCAGTGCCAATCCGACGAAACTCATCGAAAGAGCTGGAGCAGTGGAGGCTATGGTCGTCTAAAAGTGTTCACGGAATCTTGATCCTACCGCACCGCTGCATTGCCATTGAATATTGGCATTGGGGCACCAGTGGTACATTGTAGCTTGTCTTGTGAAGTTAGTTAGTTGTGTTCGCTTGTGTAGATCTACAGGATTGTACGTGTGGATGGATTTCTACACTCCTCAGGCTGACCGCAAACATCACCTGGCCGGCTTGGTAATGGTAGACAAAGATTTGGCCATGTGGGGTCTGCCTGCCAGAGTTCATGATACAGCCAGGCCAGGTCTGTTGCGGCATGCATAAAGATCAAAGTTCAAACGCTGTGACGGACATGACGACAGTGCACCAGCCCACACCCACGCACGGGTTACTGAGACGGTGCAAACTGCAAACCTCACTCCTCAGCGCTAGCGCGAGATGTCACTATCTACTATCCACCGTAACTAAAAAATCTCCACGACGGCTAGCGGCTGTTTGTTACTTGAAGTGTCTGTGACTGTGAAAGCAAGACAGTTAGTAATAGTTAGCTGTCACAGTGTGAATACTATGAAGTTCGAAATAACTTCGCGGGGCCGTCAAGAAAAGCGAGGTCAGGATGTTGGTTTATCATGGCACACCACGTAGATACGGATATGTTCTTGGACAAGCCTCACCATCCGTGCATTTTTGCCAGTTTGGCTGCACAAGACGACTGCAATTTTCCCCCTTGCCGTCCTTTCTTTTTCCGAAAGTACTAGTACCGGTAGTGTTGACTGTTGGTTGCTTTTACGATAGTCCAGTCTGGTCTGGGTTGTACGGTTGTACGTCGTTGTACTGCTATGTTTCTTCAAAAAAAAAAATAATAATAATTTGGCGGCAACATGATCGTAGACGTGAAGCGTATTTGTGTACAACCTGGCCTGAAGTATGTTCAATTTCCTATGTTTCTTCTGCAGTGTTGTGAAGACGAGGACGGTGGCATACGTGCACACACACAGCAGTGGATACACTACATCTTGCGGCTTTTGGGGCTGGTCTCGATGTACCAGATACAGGTGAGAACCTCTTCGGATTAGTGTTTTGGAAAAGCGACGGAGGCACTGTGCGCTAGTACAGACAGTAGAATCTACACTAGCTCGTATTGAATGTCAAAATGCGAAGTACCGGTACAAGCCCGTTAGTAATGGTATGGACGTTCTTTCTCACACCTCAGCTCACATCAGCCACAACTAGCGCAGGGTTGCAAGACGTTTATTTCAAATATTCAGCCAACGAGAAGCGTACACTTTAGCGTTTCGGAAGTTTCGATGGATGCTGAACACTGGGTTCGACAATCGAAACTGTTGTCGAACTACATGACATGTACTTTGCAAAAGTGGACGACGATGGAATAGGCCGAGAAGTCGAACAATTAGAACGCTATTTTCGACTTCTTGTATGTCACGCGAGCATGTATGCTTTCAGCCATAACAACCTGCTAGCACAGTGACACAAACGCTTCCACTGCTGGTCGGCCCCCACCCCTCCCCCCCCCCCCCTCCCCCGGCTAGGTCTTTTTGAAATATGGTATGCTAAACAACAGGGGTGCGCGGATTATGCCCGTGTGCACCCAATATTATATTTTTTGTCATTTCCTGTAGAAATTTGAAAGTATTCTCCATAAACATCGAAGATTTTCTCCAGAATTCGAAATCTATCCAAGAAACCAGCACGAATCGCGTGCGCTTTAGTATGCAAAATGGACGGGCAGGCACATGATCACTAATTTGCACTGCATGCAGGATCTACAGATCTACACAGCTACACAGCTACAACTACAGCTGTACTCAGGCTGCACACGTGTGCGTGGAGGCTATCGCTAGGCTGTCACCGACATAATTCACAGAATTCCCCCCCCAAACTTCTTCTGAAGGTTAATGGATCTGGCAAAAATCGATAGAATTCCCCTAAAATTCCCAAATTTTTCTAAAATTTAATGATAGTACTCCCCAAAATCCCAGGAATAATCCACACACCGTACTGTAACAGTATTGATTGAATCAATAATAAGACAACCAAACTAAGCTAACGAAGTGCGCTATCCGCGGCTTCTTCGGTCTGCCACCGTGGTCGCGCACGAGCCCGATCTTTGAACAGCTCCGCCTCACCACCCTGGAGGACATGTTTAACATTAAGCTCCTCATCTTTGTCCATCGTTGTCTGTTCTCCCGAGCTAGCTCCCTCTTCACCAGCTTCTTCGTGAGAGTTACTGGTGACCGCACTCGGGGAGCAGCACATCACCTCGTTCGAGTACCATTTTGGCCCGGTCCTGCGGGTCGAGCGACCATGCAGTTCATCGGTGCAGTCCTGTGGAACCAGCTCCCGCCTGATCTCCGTTCCGAGCCCAGCCACCTTCAGTTCTGTGCCCTGCTAAAAGCGCATCATGGCTCCGTTTAAATGCTTTCGGCTAGTGTGTTTCTGTGGTATAGCGGACTGAAGAATAGTAAACGTGTTTTGCAATATATGTATGAAGCTATTTTGTATATAGTATGTTCCCATTCCGTTTTTGCTTTGGTGTAGCCCTGAGGTTGATTGCTTATTTATTTCTACCCTTCCTCTCTCCATACTTCTGCCCCCCCCCCTCTCTCTCATTCCTTCTGTCGTCCACATGTATCAAAGGAGGCGAAATCGCCTGTTTGTGGTGCGACGTTAAATAAACTTCTACAACAACAAGCTAAGCAGTGAACTATATTGGAGCAACATAGCGCAGCTTCCAATCAGCAAGAGCAGTGAAAGCTTAGCACATAGATAAAAAAAGAGTGCGTGTTGACGAATAATGTGCTAGGTGTCAGTCAGTGTAGAAGTAAGGTGGTAGATATGGCACATACATGTACTTGTAGTGATGTAGCAGGGCATGGAGAGGAAACCTGTTACACCTACTAAACAATCACGAAGACTCGAATTTTGACTGCCTTTTCTGCAAAATATTCGACTTCGTGAACAGTTGAACATTTGAATGCTAAAAAGCTCCGATAAGCACTCGTATGTATGCCGGTATGTCCCAGTACAAACTTTCAACCATGAGTCTGCGTATCTCTCCCTGTATATAGGGTGCATTTGACTATGCTCTCCCCGAACAAGAAGAGCAAACTGGCCGAACGGCGTTGGGCAAAGCGAGTGACAATGATCACTGGGGGTCACTTTTTCAATTCATTGCAGATCACTGCATCATTGCATGTGCCTGATGTGGCCCCGTGCGGTTGAGGTGAACCCAGCCTAGATAGGAGTTTGGCGAGAGACCTGAGTATTTTATGTACTGCATCAAACAGAACCTATCCATATTTGGGAAACAAAAAGTCACGTTGCACTGGCTACTCCGCCTTAGGGCCTGGTAAAATCTGAGTTGGATCAGGCAAGTCAAGTTAGTCGGCGCAAGTCAACACAAACAGATGGGCCCAAATATCGTACACACAGTACGTAGTACGTAGCACGGAACCGGTTACTTACCAAGTAGACCGTCAGAACAGCAGGGGCAATGTCTCCATTCAGTCAGTGCTGATCTTGTCACGTGTGAACACTTCATGGTATTTTTTTTGCATACAGGACCGGCTACCAGCGATCCCCACGAACGGTCTATGAGACGGGCGTTGAGTACTACCTCGGCTGCTGTGATGGTTGGAGACAGTCGGGACGGGACTGTCCAACACGTAAGCGGCCTTGCTTCAATTACACATGCTTAGTTATATACCGGTAACTAACTACTCAATTACACATGCTTAGTTATATATATATACCGGTAACTAACATAGCTGCTTAGTTAACTAACTACTTGGATAAGTACTGCTTGGTTAATTACCTGGCCAGTGCATTCGCAGACCAGATTCCACGTCCTCGCCCAGAGTGAAGCATGGAATTGGATATTTCCAGAACGTTGGAGCTGGAATTGTGTTATGTTTCTACTTTCGGAGAGAATTGGAAGTGTATGAAGGGACACCAGGCACGAGAGCGAGTACTCTGCGCAGTACCTCCTCCAAACACTTCTTCAACTATACTGCTATTCTATTGGATGTGCAGTTTGTACGTCCTTCTTGGTGCAATCATAGCCACCAGTGTGTTCATGCCACAGTGACACTTGTGACTGAGTAAGGCAAGACTGAGCATATGCACATGCAGAGTGCGTAATTCTCTCGATACTATAGTGAATGTAGTGCTGAGATGAACCCAGCCTAGATTATCATCCAGACTTTTGTTACCCTGAGGCTACTCCCATTGAGAGTGTCAAAAGAAGGAGACACCCAGTTGAAACTCACTTACACGCGGGCCTGGTGCAGTACAACAATGCCGACAACGGCCTAAAGGCGTAGTAGCTAAGCAGCAATCAGACTATGCTCTGCACGTTCCACAGCATTTCATGCGTGCATGATTGGGACATGCACACAAGTTTTTTTTTATCACTTATAACACGTTAGAGGTGATGTCCACCTATGTTTGTCTATGATCTGTGGGCACTCTGGATTTAGCGATTTGTCCGAATCAATGCCACCATGGCTCATGCATCCGTCCCAACGTGTGCAAGTGCAGAGCTGGATATCACACAAGCAACTGCGCTGCAGGTAGGGCGGGTGGCTTTGTGAACGCTTTGTTTAGTGAAGAAATTCATGAGTAGTGAATAGTCCACATCCACTATGTTTGTCACTTTCACCATTTCAGATTTTACAGATTTTAGCTGCAGCTGTCAGTTCTGTTGCAAGCCCTTTCCTTCTTCATTGCCTCCAGCGTTAAGCTACTTCACATGTTAGTACAGGTGAAATCCTGATAATTCGAATCTCAAAATGCCAGGAAAAAACTTCTAATTATCCGGACATTCTAATTATCCAAACATGAACCCACAACTCAATATGTTTGTCAAAATGCTCGCACGGTCAGGCAGAGTTGCGCTATGGACCTTAGACACAACTTTTACGGACACTGAACTGACCGGCACAGCCTGCTCATGCAAACTGAACTGACCAGTACAGTGTACAGTGAACTTCGAATTACACTTTGCTAACTTCGAATTAAGGAGCGGTGAGGCGTCCTGCAGCTTCATAACTCGAAGAGAATTGGTGAGCACACATGCTCATTCCCTGGGCACTGCAAATTCACAACTCATTTCATTTTACAGAATCATTCTCAACGTTTCGGCAAATTGCCATCATCAGGATGCAATATGAAGCGGAAGTCTGCCAAGGAGCAGTTATATACACTAATTTGGTGTTCTTAGGTGTTGATTTGTGTTGAAAAATACATCGGAGAGACGGATCGCACACTGGAGACGAGACTGGAGGAACACAACGGTGAAGCTCGTAGGCGCACTGTGGATAAGCCATGGGGTGACCACATGCGAGCTAAGCATGCAGGGATCAACCTAGGTGTCGGGGACAGCATCTTCTCGGCAGTGTCTGTGGTTGCAAGAGCCAGTGACAGGGCAAGCCGCAAATTGCGAGAGGCAGTGGAGATCAGAAACGAAGGCCCAGAGATCAACACCAGTGCTGGATGGTCATTACTCTAAAACAGTCACACCACACTGGCTATCTAGGTGACAGTATTTTCTGGAAAACACTGACATGGTCACATTTGTGTATTGCTTGCGAGAAACCTGTTCAGACATTTCTCAAGTTATCTGGTGACATCTGCACTGTGCTAACTTATTACCAACACCCAGCATATGAGTCAGTGAAAACTTGTGATCTTTCACTAGTTTTAGACATGTCATATTTCTAGCACTGAGGTAACATGTGTAGTCATAGAAATATTATCAACACCTAAGTTGAATGGTTTTTCACCCTGAAGATGGGCCATGCCCGAAAATTTGGTGCATTCCATTTGTATCTAATATCATTATTATTATTTTTCTTGGAAGTGAAGTGAACTTATGCAGCGAAGAGACCGTAGTTGGAGAGTTTGAAGTGAGGTACCCTGTAATGTGTGAGTGGCTGCAATGGAGTCTGCGAGTGCTTAGAAAAAAAACAAAAACAAAAAAACACCTAAGAACACCAAATTAGTGTATATAACTGCTCCTTGGCAGACTTCCGCTTCATATTGCATCCTGATGATGGCAATTTGCCGAAACGTTGAAAATGATTCTGTAAAATGAAATGAGTTGTGAATTTGCAGTGCCCAGGGAATGAGCATATGTGCTCACCAATTCTCTTTAACTTCGAATTATCAGCACAAATCCCACACATTTTCTATGTAAGTGGAATCTGGGGGTATTCTAATTAACCGGACATGTCCAGTTCGAGGTTCGAATTATCAGAATTTTTTTATGTGGGAATCGTATTGATAGAAATCGGTCCTGGAAAAACTTCTAATTAAGCGGTATGTTCGAATTGAGCCATATTTGAATTATCAGGTTTCACCTGTATAATTGAATGGGCTGAGTGAAATGTATACCGGTTCACTCATCTGCTCAGTGGAACAGTGATCTCTGCGATCATACGTTGAGTGAATTAGTTGCTATCCTTTCCATACACTCCTCCCCGACACCCAATACCCAGCCGCAAAAAATCCCACCTGTAACCTGGATTGCAAGGCAAAGTACCTTGTCAGGGTCCAAAGTCTGTACCATGATATTTCTTTGTTGTCTTTGCCCAGCATGCCCGGCGTGGAAGTACGGCAGTGGGTGCACGTCAACATGCGGCTGTGTTCGTGCCCAGGCACAGTCATGTGACAGGGCCACTGGTGCCTGCACATGCAGACCTGGATATGTGGGAAGAAAGTAAGAACCTGCATATGAATCATGGTGGTACGGGGGACATTCCGACTGGCCACATAGCATACATATGCGTGTAATACTCAATCTCCATAATTATCATGTAAAGGAAATTGTAAAAATGGAATGGAAGGTAACCACACTAGAAATGTCATCATCATCATAATTATTTTACTCTCTATGTCCCCATGCCTTTCAGGTGTGAAAGCCGCTGCCAAGCCCGCAAGTATGGAGCAGGCTGCCGGAGCACCTGTAGATGTGTGAATGGTGCCAGCTGCAACCATGTGTCAGGACACTGTACATGCAAGGATGGATATGTAGGAACAAGGTTAGTTCGCAGCTTCCACTATGCACTCACCCACATTCTCAGCACTCTTACATCAATGGGGCACTGAGAATGAAACTACCAAGACCATTTGCCACCTAGGGTTCCCTGTCACAAGGCCATGCCTGTTGGGACTCCCCTAGTCAAATACTAAATACTACTACTATACTACTGAACTCTACGGAAACCGGCTGAAGTTTTCATTAGAGAATGAAGTTCCCCTTTCAGTTGCGAATAAGGAGCGACACGCACATATCTCTTTGGCTGTGCCGTGTACCTGCATCATCGAGTGAACAGTTTGTTAATTCTTTGAATATCTCTTTGGCTGTGCCGTGTACCTGCATCATCGAGTGAACAGTTTGTTAATTCTTTGAATATCTCTTTGGCTGTGCCGTGTACCTGCATCATCGAGTGAACAGTTTGTTAATTCTTTTTTTGAAGTTGGCCACTGTAAGTGAGAGTATATACAACTGGCAAACACCTGGCAAACACCTGGCAAACACCTGGCAAACACCTGGCAAACACCTGGCAAACACCTGGCAAACACCTGGCAAACACCTGGCAAACACCTGGCAAACACCTGGCAAACACCTGGCAAACACCTGGCAAACACCTGGCAAACACCTGGCAAACACCTGGCAAACACCTGGCAAACACCTGGCAAACACCTGGCAAAGAACCTGTGTCTGTGCAATTTGCCTTCCTGTGATATTAGATGTGAGAGCAAGTGTAGACCAGGGCACTACGGTCAGAACTGCCGGCACAGATGCACATGTCAGAATGGTGCCACTTGTGACTTTGTCAGTGGGTCGTGTTCCTGTGCACCCGGCTGGATTGGCTCGCAGTAAGTTACTAACGTTAATAGTGTACAGTTGGCATCTACCGGACCAAACATGGGCCGTGGTGTCTGTGTTCGATTTGGAGCAAGTTGGTGAGCAGGGGCATCTGCAAACGGGCTTCAACGATAGCTGTGAACCGAGCCTGGACACCAATGTTCTTCCAGCTCAGCTTTCATGATTGTGTAGATCATGTCAGTACACAGTGCACAGGGCACGGTCACCTGGTAAGGAGCCCAGATGTCCTGTGTACAGTGCTGTTCCAGTGGTGTTCGATATTGCTGTATCACTGCATTCGTAGTGTACTCCAAAAAAAAACACTCGCAGTTTTGACCCGGTTTAAGATGCCCATGAAGAAGCTCAACTGCAACATTGACAAAGTGGACCAGTATGTTGTGTGAAAGTATGGTGTATGCTGCGTTTTTGTCACAGGTGCCAAACTCGTTGTCCAGCTGGAACGTTCGGAGCGGGCTGTCGGAGTGCATGTACATGTCAAAACGGTGCAAGCTGTGATCATGTGTCAGGTCGCTGTACCTGCAAGAGTGGATATGTGGGTGCAAGGTAAGTTAGTTTGTCAGCATTGCATGTAGTACTCGGAGGTTTCAGTGTGTGAGCACTCGACCCGAGCCATTTACCCATAATGTGTTCTCATGTTGCAAGGAACGATGAATGTATACTAAGTCGGAGTATACTCTATTCTCTGGACACCCATACTTGTAGTTGATCTAAGCACTCTGCGTATCTCTTTTGCAGCCATTGATCATATCACTTTGTATTGGTTCTGTGTTATAATGGCGTCTAGTTGCCAGAGCAAGTGCGGATCAGGTTTATTTGGCCAACAGTGTGGGCAGAGGTGCACGTGTCAGCATGGTGCGGCATGCAATCACATCACTGGGGCATGCTCATGCACACCTGGCTGGATTGGCGCAGAGTAAGTCAGTAGTAGATCCAATACTAGAAAAATACATGCTGTATCTATGGCGGGGCTTAACCGCGGCTGATAGGGGATTTTCAGTGTTTTCTGAATGCTGTCCAGAGTGGTGTAGTGTATCTATGGGGCTTAACCGCGGCTGATAGGGGATTTTCAGTGTTTTCTGAATGCTGTCCAGAGTGGTGTAGTTTTCAAGATGGAGAGCCGCTTTTGGTCATTGAGGCCTACCACATTATGCATTGATCATTCTTGAAGTGTACTATGAAATATTGCAAAAGCACTGCAGATCATGGAAATAGTACAGTGGTGTTATCCAATTCATTGCAAAAAATAATAATGGGGGAAGACTACCCAAGGTCACTTTCTGGATTATTCTTTCCATGACATTTGGTTTTGGTGTAGCACGACTTCATTGGACATGAATGCGTTCAAATTTTCCGCTTTAGGTTCCCAGATGATTTGATAAAACTGTGTAGAGAAAATCCAAGCTCCCTTCCTCCTCCTCCTCCTCCTCCTCCTCCTCCCCTCCTCCTCCTCCTCATCCTCCTCCTCCTCATCCTCCTCCTCCTCCTCCTCCTCCTCCTCCTCCCCTCCTCCTCCTCCTCCTCCTCCTCCTCCTCCTCCTCCGCCTCCTCCTCCTCTTCTTCCTCCTCCTCCTCCTCCTCCTCCTCATACTCCTCCTCCTCCTCCTCCTCCTCCTCTCTCTCTCTCTCTCTCTCTCTCTCTCTCCTTCCTTATGCAACACATTATTTCCACTGTGTTACACACAGCTGTGAGATCCCATGCCAGCCAGGCAAGTGGGGACAAGCTTGCCAGTCACGGTGCGAGTGCTACAATGGTGCATCTTGCTCAGCTGTCACTGGTCATTGCACCTGTACACCAGGATACACTGGGCAAGGGTAAGAGAGATGTGCTGACTCCAAGCTATGATGTGCAGAGAACGGATGTTGTACCACACTGCGCTAACATGTTCTTGACAATCATAGCTGTTTTGCGAAATGTTAAGAATCCTAGACTGGCTAGTAGCCTACTGCTTGCTCCACATGATCTATAATTTTCTTGTGCGTGAAAATCTAACATCTGATCTGATTCTTGCCATGGAATCACACCTTGACAGGTGATAAAATGAATTTAGCTTATACACGGTAATTAGGAAAGTGTTTCAGGTTGCTGAATATGCCTTTGCAACTTGACCTTGGGACACAGATGTGCCAACTTTACTCTATTTCACCCAGTGTCCTCCGTGTGGCAGCCACTACCCACACCCACCAGCCATCCACCAGTAGGACCAGTAGGGCCGTAGGGAGGTTCCGTGTGGCAGCCACTACCCACACCCACCAGCCATCCACCAGTAGGGCCGTAGGGAGGTTCCGTGTGGCAGCCACTACCCACACCCACCAGCCATCCACCAGTAGGGCCGTAGGGAGGTTCCGTGTGGCAGCCACTACCCACACCCACCAGCCATCCACCAGTAGGGCCGTAGGGAGGTTCCGTGTGGCAGCCACTACCCACACCCACCAGCCATCCACCAGTAGGGCCGTAGGGAGGTTCCGTGTGGCAGCCACTACCCACACCCACCAGCCATCCACCAGTAGGGCCGTAGGGAGGTTCCGTGTGGCAGCCACTACCCACACCCACCAGCCATCCACCAGTAGGGCCGTAGGGAGGTTCCGTGTGGCAGCCACTACCCACACCCACCAGCCATCCACCAGTAGGGCCGTAGGGAGGTTCCGTGTGGCAGCCACTACCCACACCCACCAGCCATCCACCAGTAGGACCAGTAGGGCCGTAGGGAGGTTCCGTGTGGCAGCCACTACCCACACCCACCAGCCATCCACCAGTAGGGCCGTAGGGAGGTTCCGTGTGGCAGCCACTACCCACACCCATCAGCCATCCACCAGTAGGGCCTGTTATGAACTGCTATATTAGGTGCCTTATGACTCTTGTGTCACACTGTATGTTGCTATGCATGCTGTGTACACGCTCACCCATATGCGCGCGCCTCTGCTTTATGTGTACACCTCTCATGCTGTGCATGTGTCTAGCCACGTGCGTAGCTGCACTCCTTTCTCAGATTGCATGCCCGTCTTTCTGTACTTCAGTAGTTGAGTCGATCCTTTAGTTCAGGGTGCTTCAGTCTGGTTCTGATAACTTACTTCTAACTTCTATGTCTCTTCCAATTCTCTTGTAAATAATTCATTCCCTAATCCGAAGTGTTGCGTTAGTGCTGGCTGGTCGAACGTGGGTTCCACTACAACTGGTGCCGAAACCCGGGACGTGTGTGTTGTATTGACGAGTGCAAACCCTGCCACGCCAGCGAGATGTCGCTCAAGTTTGACAACTTCCTCCAGCCGTTCCGTGGGAACGGGGACGATTTCGGACGTTTTTGGGATAAGTTTCTGGTGCTTGCAAACATACAAGGTTGGGACACGGACGACAAGAAAGTGAAGAATTTTCCGTTGTTCCTGACGGATGACGCGTTTCTTGTATTTTCACGGATGCCGGCAAGCGATCAGAAAGACAAAGATAAAGTCTTGGCGAAAATGGGACTGTCGTTCACTCTGACGAAGGCGCAGGCGTACGCCAGATTCACCTCACGGACGATGCGCGTGGATGAGTCCCCCGACGCCTACGTTGCCGATTTGCAGCGACTGAGTACTATGGCGGGGCACAAGGCTGATGACGACAAGGACCCGATGATCATAGAGCAGCTGATCAAGGGACTGCCGGTAGAGTTTGCCCGAGAGCTAAGACTTACGATGGCGGGCAAAGAGTTGAGTGTGACGGGTTGCCTGGACGTGGTACGGGCGTTGAAGGCTGCGACCTCGGACCACTTGACACGAGTGCGTGGCGATGTTGTTGTGGCAGCTGCCACCACGGATGAGCAGGCGTGTTTCAACTGTGGCGGAGTTGGCCACATGGCGCGGCAGTGCCCGAAAGCGAAGAAATCTGGTCGCAAGAGTGGTGCTGGTAAAGGAACGCGTGGCGAGCGTACTGGCCCTCGAACCTGTTACTTCTGTGACAAGCCAGGTCACATGAAGAGTGACTGTCCGGAGCGTAAAGCCTGGCAAGAGCGGAAATCGTCTGGAGCAGCAACGGCTGCAGACAGTGGCTCCCTGGCGAGGGGTGCGTGTTTGTGCACTGTAGCCGAGGCTACTAGAGCTTCACTGCCCAGAATCTACGTTGACGTGCGAGGCGTGGTAGGCAGCGAATGGGCACGTGCTAGAGCAGCAGTGGACACTTGTGCAAGTTACACAATGGTTACGGTTGAGTTCCTCAAACTTCACAAGATTCCGTTCACTGCTCAGCCACGTGTGTCTGTTGTATCCGTGGATAGTAGCAAGGTGAAGATCAGAGGAGCAGTTGATCTGGAACTGCAGCGCCAAGGGGATGGTGAACCGGTTAGTCTGCCAAGAGTGCGTGTGAATGCCTGCGTTGTCGACTCATTGACGGCTGTGGCAGCAGACCTCCTCCTCGGTGCTGACGTTATAGCTGGTGTTGGTGGCGTTCGACTCAGTTATGGCCAGGACGGCGAGGTCAATGGCGTGTGCTTTGGTCCTCAACCTAGAGATACCGGTGCAGCCGCTACTGCTGCAGCTGACGTTGAGAGCACACTCCGTCATGTGGACGTCACAGAGGACGATCGTGGTGTGACCCTGAAGGCCGAAGACGGAGAGCTCCGGTGGGACAACGACAAGCAGCATTGGACGTTGCACTGGCAGTGGCGTGATGGGCAAGCTCCTACATCTCCGATCGGCTCAGGGATCGGACAGTACGCGAGGCACAACCTGTCAGACAAGCAAGAGTCGCAGTTCTGTGACGAGATGGACGCCTGGGTCGAGAATGGCTACCTGATCGAGTACGACGAGGCTACGTACGGTCCTCCGGCGGCCATCATTCCGCTGCTCGCCAAGGACCAAGCCCACAAGGAGTCGACCCCAGTTCGTCCTTGTCTTGATTACCGTGGCTTGAATGCGGTGATAAAGTCGAACCCAGGCACTGATGCCCCAGCATGCGGTGAGAAGATCCGCAAGTGGCGACAGGTTGCAGACAGCCAGTTTGAACTTGTCGACATACGTAAGGCGTACTTGCAGGTACGAGTCGACCCATCCCTCTTGCGCTACCAAGTCGTGGTGTGGCGTGGGAAGCTGTACGCCATGTCACGGATGGGTTTTGGTCTATCGATTGCACCAAAATTCATGGACATCATTGTTCGGTGGGTGACGCGACGATGGCCTGATGTGGACAACTATGTTGATGATGTCCTCACGCCAGCGGAGAAGCGCAAGGCCGTCGCTGCAGAGCTAGCACGGTATGGCTTGCCGACAAAGCCACCAGAGCATCTACCCGAGGCGCGAGTGCTTGGCCTGAAGCTATCGACGACTGCTGATGGTACCATCATGTGGGCTCGCCGCGATGGAGTCGACCTCAGCTTCCGCCAACCGCTGACGAAGCGTGGTGTATTCCAATGGACAGGTCGGCTCACAAGCCACTATCCAGTGTGCGCATGGCTTCGCCCAGCCTGCTCAATGTTGAAGCGGCTATCAAGTGCAGTGGACAGATGGGACACGCCGGTTCCACCTAGCGTTCTTCAGTGTGCTGACGAAGTTGCTGAGCAGCTGTCCGCTCAAGACCCCGTCCGTGGTGTGTGGCATGCATCAGCCGAGTTCGATGGAGATTGGGCTGTGTTCTGCGATGCCTCGGATCTGGCAGTCGGTGTGGTCCTCCAGCTGAACGGCCAAGTCATCGAAGACGGTACATGGCTGCGGGACACAGCCGATAAGAAGCACATCAATGTGGCGGAGCTAGATGCTGCGGTGCGTGGACTGTCGCTTGCAGCGCAATGGCACCTGCAGACGGTACGACTCGTCACCGACTCAAAGACAGTGTACGGCTGGCTGAAGCAGGTCCTCGACAATGTGCGCCGAGTGAAAGTTGGTGGGCTGCACAAGATACTGGTTGAGCGGCGACTGGAAGTGATTGCTGACCTCGTCCAAACGGTCGGCCTCAAGGTCCGAGTGGAGTGGGTGCCGACTGACCAGAACCCGGCCGATGAGCTCACCCGTGTCCCGAGGCGGTGGCCCAAGGGTACAGCCGAGCCGAGTGATGTTTGTTCTGTTTCTGTGGCAACGCACAAGCATGCTATCGGGCCCGTTACTCTCAGTGAGATAAAGGATGCGCAGCAAGCCGATACCGAGATATCACAGCTGCTGGATGAGCTGAAGTCGGGAACCCCCCTGTCGTCGAAGCTGTACAGACCGGTCCGTGATCAGCTGTTGGACCATGACGGTGTGCTGATGCGTTCAGTAAAGCTGCCACTCGACGGTGTCGTGCAAGTGCCAGTCATACCACCTGAGCTTGAAGACCAAGTACTGAAAGCATCTCACAAGACCTCTGGCCATGCCACCTGGACGACAATGCATGACTCACTGCGCAAGCGCTGCTATATGCCGCTGATGGCCGAGAAATGCCAGAGTGTTGTCCAAGCGTGTGTGCCTTGCTCTGCAGCTAACCCGGCACGGGGACCGACTGTTGAGCCAACGCGTCCAGACGTACCAGGACGACCATGGGAGGTCATACAGATCGACACGTTGGAGCTTGGCCAGAGTGGAGCGCACCACTGCTGCCTGGTATGCGTCGACATGTTCACCAAGTGGGCGGAGGTACAGCCACTACGTCGACACGATGCAGCGAGCGTAGCAGCTGCACTGACCAAGATCTGCTGCCGGTGGGGCCCGCCGTCTGTCATTCGCATGGACAACGGCACTGAGTTCCGGAACGCGGTCGTAGCAGCCCTCCTGGAACAGTTTGGTGTGGTGGTGAAAACGGGTGCAGTTCGACATCCTCAATCACAAGGAGGGGTTGAACGGCTCAACCGTACAATCATCGGTCTCCTGCGTAAGGCGCTCGAGGAAACCAGTGACTGGACGTCTGAGCTGGAGTTGGTTCTGTTCTACTACAATGGACGTCGCCATGCTACAACCGGAATATCGCCAAGGCTGGCCATCACGGGCTGGGAAGGGCGCGATCTAGTAATTGATCACGACCCGACAGCATACAGCGCCAGTGAATGGGTAGACCGACTCGCCGGGCGCGCTGCTCGAATTCGAGACCTTGTTGAGTCGCTACTGTCCTCGAATGACTCTGTGTCAGGCGGTCCAACAGAGTCACCATACCGTGTCGATGATCCGGTGATGCTACGTCGCCCAGAGCGGAGTCAGAAGCTCATGACGCCATATGAGAGTGGATGGACGGTGCTGAAGATAGTCTCGCCATCGACCCTGGTGATCCAGCATGCTGACGGCAGAGAGAAGGTCGTGAACGTTGATATCGTGAAGCCTGGACACGCCCAGCAGGTAGATGGAACACTAGATGATGGTAACCATGATGCTGCCGAAGATCGCCCAGAGCCAGCTGCCTGTGATAATGTGGTGAGCATCGAGTTTGCGGCTGACATGCCGACTCAGCGCTACGATCTCCGAGGCCCTGGTAATCGACGACAGCCAGCTAGATACAGTGGATGATCAATGGCACCTAGGGGAGTGGTGTTATGAACTGCTATATTAGGTGCCTTATGACTCTTGTGTCACACTGTATGTTGCTATGCATGCTGTGTACACGCTCACCCATATGCGCGCGCCTCTGCTTTATGTGTACACCTCTCATGCTGTGCATGTGTCTAGCCACGTGCGTAGCTGCACTCCTTTCTCAGATTGCATGCCCGTCTTTCTGTACTTCAGTAGTTGAGTCGATCCTTTAGTTCAGGGTGCTTCAGTCTGGTTCTGATAACTTACTTCTAACTTCTATGTCTCTTCCAATTCTCTTGTAAATAATTCATTCCCTAATCCGAAGTGTTGCGTTAGTGCTGGCTGGTCGAACGTGGGTTCCACTACAGGCCGTAGGGAGGTTCCGTGTGGCAGCCACTACCCACACCCACCAGCCATCCACCAGTAGGGCCGTAGGGAGGTTCCGTGTGGCAGCCACTACCCACACCCACCAGCCATCCACCAGTAGGGCAGTAGGGCAGTAGGGCCGTAGGGAGGTTCCGTGCAAATTTCGCGAATGTGCTACTGGAAACCATAGCGACATGTACATGTACATGCATCAGCTTTTCAGGTTTGCCTAAACTGGAACACTCCTGTAGAGATCTCTGGCCAATGATCCGCCCCTGATATGTGCTGAAAAGCCACTATGCATTTGCCAGTAAGCTATGGGATATTTCATGTCGAACACTTCATTAGGCTGACCAACAGTCTGGTATGTCTTGCCTATCACATAATGATAATGTGCATGTCCTTGCATTGCCGCTACGATTTACATTATGTGCACATTTAGACCTGACAAGACCACGTGGCGCAGGCACTTGCAAACGCCCTCACAGATAGTTCACCTGCAGTGACACACCATGATGCAACTCAACAATTGATTCTCCTCTAATGAGGTTCTGTTATCTTGGGAACGAAACAAGTCACTATTCAGGAGTGTTGACTTGCGATTGTGGAGTGTAAACAACTGTTGCTTGTGAACTGTATGAGCTGGCGCCTGTGAGTGACATGTGGTCCTGTCAGGTCAATATGGACACGTCTACTGAGTCATGCATGCAGGGGCAAACAAGTGAAGACGGCATCCACAGAACTACCCTATTCCCCGGAGGATAAGCCGCACTTTAAACACAAGTGTAATTCGCCCAAAAAACGTTGATGTTGCTTTAATATACTACGATGGTCACTGAACTAATGGTGGTAAATGGTAGACATGTACAGTGCAGGCAACTGAAATCCGACCCCCTGAGTTCACATCGCAAAGACCCAACAAGGGATAGTAAAACTACGAAATAGAGATTGCTAGAATGTGAGCGCATCGCTCGGGGTCTGATTTCAGTTGTCAGCACTGTAGATGTCTGTAGTTTTGTGCCAAAATATCTGAATATCTAGGTGCGGCTTATACTCCAGTGTGCCCTGTACTCCAGTGTGCCTTGTACTCCAGTGTGCCCTGTACTCCAGTGTGCCCTGTACTCCAGTGTGCCCTGTACTCCAGCGTGCCCTGTACTCCAGCGTGCCCTGTACTCCAGCGTGCCCTGTACTCCAGCGTGCCCTGTACTCCAGCGTGCCCTGTACTCCAGCGTGCCCTGTACTCCAGCGTGCCCTGTACTCCAGCGTGCCCTGTACTCCAGCGTGCCCTGTACTCCAGCGCGCCCTGTACTCCAGCGCGCCCTGTACTCCAGCGCGCCCTGTACTCCAGCGCGCCCTGTACTCCAGCGCGCCCTGTACTCCAGCGCGCCCTGTACTCCAGCGCGCCCTGTACTCCAGCGCGCCCTGTACTCCAGCGCGCCCTGTACTCCAGCGCGCCCTGTACTCCAGCGGGCCCTGTACTCCAGCGCGCCCTGTACTCCAGCGCGCCCTGTACTCCAGCGCGCCCTGTACTCCAGCGCGCCCTGTACTCCAGCGCGCCCTGTACTCCAGCGCGCCCTGTACTCCAGCGCGCCCTGTACTCCAGCGGGCCCTGTACTCCAGCGCGCCCTGTACTCCAGCGCGCCCTGTACTCCAGCGCGCCCTGTACTCCAGCGCGCCCTGTACTCCAGCGGGCCCTGTACTCCAGCGCGCCCTGTACTCCAGCGCGCCCTGTACTCCAGCGCGCCCTGTACTCCAGCGCGCCCTGTACTCCAGCGCGCCCTGTACTCCAGCGCGCCCTGTACTCCAGCGCGCCCTGTACTCCAGCGCGCCCTGTACTCCAGCGCGCCCTGTACTCCAGCGCGCCCTGTACTCCAGCGCGCCCTGTACTCCAGCGCGCCCTGTACTCCAGCGCGCCCTGTACTCCAGCGCGCCCTGTACTCCAGCGCGCCCTGTACTCCAGCGCGCCCTGTACTCCAGCGCGCCCTGTACTCCAGCGTGCCCTGTACTCCAGCGTGCCCTGTACTCCAGTGTGCCCTGTACTCCGATCAATACAATAGATACTATAACTTCGTGGGTGGTGTTGCTCATTGACATTGTGGTCGGTGTGTATTTCCACATTGTTTCTTTAGGTGTTCGAACAAGTGCCCGGGCGGTACATTTGGTGCCGCTTGCAAGGGAGAGTGCACGTGTCTGAACAATGGGCTGTGCCATCATGTCTCTGGTACCTGCACCTGCGCTGCTGGCTATACAGGACACACGTGAGTCACTAGTGGACTTCGTTGGAGGTACTAAACAAGACAAGGGGTCAATTCATTGGCAAACACTCCTGGAATGCCTATGCCACGTATAGAGCAGAGTGCGTTCTCGGAGACCGTTTCATGCCTGGGTTAACATCAGGAAGTACTGCTTACCAAAATTAATACTTATTTTGGTTTCTGTCTGACATGCCCTGTGGTCTTCATATTCCTTACTGTGCACACAGCTGTGGGAGAAGATGTCCTGCTGATACGTATGGTCAGGAATGTGTACACAACTGTACGTGCAAGAACAATGCAACATGTGATCATGTGACTGGACATTGTCACTGTACTCCGGGATATATTGATGTGGAGTGAGTAAGGTTGATGATTGTGTGCATTGTGTTATGGGGGCACTACATCTACATTGTAGGGAAGTCAAGAACAACCTGAGAAGATATGGTAGCTTCTTTGGTTGGAACACATCGGTAATGTTAGGTCTTCAGGGTGACCGGTTCCTGTGTATATGTGTATATGAGCCGCGATGATGTTGGGGTGGGGATGGGAGGAGTGTGTGTGAGTGGGAGGGGGGGGGGGGGGTGGAACGCCTTATCTTAACTACAATAGAGAGTCTAGCACGTACTGATTCAGCACATGCAAATGGAAAGTGAAATGTGAATCTATGTGGGTCTTACCCTCAAGGCTGTCTGTTCCTTTCACTTCAGGGCAAGGCTGATTTATGTATGTTTGAAACCAGCATCACTGCAGGGCCACATTTATTGTCAATACAATGTATGTGGCCACACAGTGGAGAGAGAGAGAGAGAGAGAGAGAGAGAGAGTCGGAGAGAGAGAGAGAGAGAGAGAGAGAGAGAGAGTCGGAGAGAGAGTCGGAGAGAGAGTCGGAGAGAGAGTCGGAGAGAGAGAGAGAGAGAGAGAGAGAGAGTCGGAGAGAGAGAGAGAGAGAGAGAGAGAGAGAGAGAGTCGGAGAGAGAGAGAGAGTCGGAGAGAGAGAGAGAGAGTCGGAGAGAGAGAGAGAGTCGGAGAGAGAGAGAGAGAGTCGGAGAGAGAGAGAGAGAGAGAGTCGGAGAGAGAGAGTCGGAGAGAGAGAGAGAGAGTCGGAGAGAGAGAGAGAGAGTCGGAGAGAGAGAGAGAGAGAGGGTTGGAGAGAGAGAGAGTCGGAGAGAGAGAGAGTCGGAGAGAGAGAGAGAGTCGGAGAGAGAGAGAGAGAGAGAGAGAGAGAGAGAGAGAGTCGGAGAGAGAGAGAGAGAGAGAGAGAGAGAGAGAGAGTCGGAGAGAGAGAGAGAGAGAGAGTCGGAGAGAGAGAGTCGGAGAGAGAGAGAGAGAGAGAGAGAGAGAGAGAGAGAGTCGGAGAGAGAGAGTCGGAGAGAGAGAGAGAGAGAGAGAGAGAGAGAGAGAGAGAGAGTCGGAGAGAGAGAGAGAGTCGGAGAGAGAGAGAGAGAGAGAGTCGGAGAGAGAGAGTCGGAGAGAGAGAGAGAGAGAGAGAGAGAGAGTCGGAGAGAGAGAGAGAGAGTCGGAGAGAGAGAGAGAGAGAGAGAGAGTCGGAGAGAGAGAGTCGGAGAGAGAGAGAGAGAGAGTCGGAGAGAGAGAGAGAGTCGGAGAGAGAGAGAGAGAGAGTCGGAGAGAGAGAGAGTCGGAGAGAGAGAGAGTCGGAGAGAGAGAGTCGGAGAGAGAGAGAGAGAGAGAGAGAGAGAGTCGGAGAGAGAGAGAGAGAGAGAGTCGGAGAGAGAGAGAGAGAGAGAGTCGGAGAGAGAGAGAGAGAGAGAGAGAGTCGGAGAGAGAGAGAGAGTTATGTTCTGTCTCCAAGTTTCACTCTAAATCACAATCATCAGGCACGATGAAGGTTGTCTTTGGACGTCTTGTGTCTTTTGTCCATTGCAGCTGTGCTCAAAAATGTACATATGGATATTATGGACAAGACTGCGTGAAGCAATGTCTCTGTCAGAATGCAGCTGTGTGTGACCATGTAACTGGAAGTTGTTCATGTCAATCCGGATGGACTGGCGCAACGTGAGGAGACTTTTACGACTGCCATTGGCAGTAAATTGTGACCACATATTCTTACCAGAACAATGCACCATGTTACCGTGTGTGTGTGTGTGTGTGTGTGTGTGTGTGTGTGTGTGTGTGCGTGTGTGTGTCTGTGTCTGTGTGTCTGTATGTCTTTGTGCGCATACCCATGTGTATGCATTAACTGCTAAGAGAGATATGGATATCCTTATAACTTAAAATAATTGTTACAAGAATCATACCATGTCTATGTGGCTCTAGTGCATTGGAAGATGTATATGTGGGAGGGGGTGGGGTGGAAAGGGGAGACTATTGGTGTGGTTATACCCGATTTCTTGTTTTGCTTGCATTGTTGTCCGTTCAGCTGTGATGAAGCATGTTCCTCGGGGAAGTGGGGTCCATACTGCCGCATGGCATGTGAATGTCTCAACAATGCATCCTGTCTACCTGATACAGGCCAATGCATGTGTACACCAGGTTACATCGGAGTGAGGTAAGCATTGGAAGCTATGCTTGTACGAGTACCGTGATAGCCATTGCATCATGTCAATGTGTCCAGTTCAGAAGAGTTCATACTTGATTGGCACATGATGAGTGTCTGTGTGTTTATCTGACCTTGCTGTAAAAGAGTTATGTTTGTGATCCGGTTCAGCTATTGATGTTAAACATTCGCATGTCCTGCTATTGGCCGCGTGTTATTCTACTTTGATCTTTGGCAAAATAGTGTGTGTTTACTAAGACTGTTATTTGCACCAAGTGGAAAAGATACGTCTCCTCTTGTTTTAGAAGCGGTGAGGCCTCCTGCAGTTTCATACAGAATTACAGATGGAGCGGACTCGCTCCCTTCTATTTACACTGCAACGTTCGAACACATTTTCGTAGTTAAAACAACTTTCGGCATATGGCCCTCATCAGGTTTGCAATGATATGCACTCTACAAAGGAGCAGCAAATATACTGTGCTGTGCTGTGTTTGCGCCAAATGTGTCAGCTACAAAGGTGGCGAAAGGGATTGGTGATATATTAATATCCAGATACGATATATTCACAGTAGTGCCCAGCCAGCATTAGTGTTTACTTGCGGCCGCAAGTTGCGGATTTCAAAAGCTTCTCGCAGTTTTCTACTTGCTCTGTCGCCTGCCCTTGCCAGGACTGACACAGCCGAGAACACACTATCCGCAGCAGCTATACTCTCGCCAGAATGTTTGTCGCGCACGTGGTCACCCCATGGCTTATCGAGAGTGCGACGGCGTGCCTCGCCATTGTGCTCCCGAATTCTTGTTTCCAAGGAGCGTTCCGTCTCCCCTACATACGTTTCCCGGCACCATTTGCATTGCAATTCGTAGACTACATTCTTTGTCATACATACTCGTTCGCCTCCAGACTGACAGGTAATGCAAGGCCCTAGTGGACGTCCTCTTCGTCTTTTTTCAGTAATGTTGGGCTCGTTTACGCACTTGGGTGGTAACAGCGCCGAACGGCACAGTTGACGCCTGAGGCTGCCCGAGTGCTCGTATACGACACGTACCGGCAACTTGTATTTCCGTATTGCTTTGTTCACATGGTGGTGTACTTCATCGGACTTGAACGGTAGTTTAAGGAAGGCAAAGCGGGGATTACCGCGTCGTCTACGCCCCTCCGACCTGTTGTCTCTGCTTGTGACAGTCCAGTCACAGGAATTTCGGTGGTTCTCAAACGCATATTGCATCAACTGCTTGCATTTGTCCCATCGCACCTCATCAACACCAAAGACGCGCTAGACAATATCCGCACCATATACCCTGGCCTTAAAGCACCTGCTGGAACGATTCTGGCTACGATGGATGTGGTGGGTTTGTATCCCAGCATACCGATCGAAGAGGGCGTGAATGCCGTTAGTGACGTGCTAGAGCAACACTATAACAGAGTTGATATGCTCGGGCTGAGCGTGACCCAAGTCGGGACACTACTGAAGTTTGTTCTGAGTCATAACTACTTCAGATTTGGCAGACAGATCTACCACCAGCTAGATGGGGTTGCTATGGGGAACAACCTGGCACCTCCATTTGCCATCCTGTTTATGCACACCATTGAGACACGACTTCTTCAGGACTCACCCTTCCAACCTATTCTGTTCAGACGATACATCGACGATATCATCCTATGGACACATGGTAGGCAGCGCCTTCTGGAGCTCATAGAAAGATTCAACGCCAGCCACGAACGTATCAAATTCACGCATGAATTAAGTTGTGACAGTGGCTGCATAGACTACATGGACGTAACGATCGCGGTTGGGCAAACCGGAGAGCTGTCATTCAAATTGTTCCAGAAGGTATGCAGAAGTGGCCTACTGGTGGATTATTCATCGGCAGTTCCTCACCACATCAAGTTAGCCGTCGCTCAATCTCAATTCCTAAGGGCACAGCGACTATCGTCTAACCCCATGATGCAAGCCGAGAGCGAACAAAAAATACACAAACAACTGCGCATAAATAACTACCCAGACAGTATCATATCGGAAGCAAGGGAAGCTGCCAGGAAACCTCGGCGTAGACGACGCGGTAATCCCCGCTCTGCCTTCCTTAAACTACCGTTCAAGTCCGATGAAGTACACCACCATGTGAACAAAGCAATACGGAAATACAAGTTGCCGGTACGTGTCGTATACGAGCACTCGGGCAGCCTCAGGCGTCAACTGTGCCGTTCGGCGCTGTTACCACCCAAGTGCGTAAACGAGCCCAACATTACTGAAAAAAGACGAAGAGGACGTCCACTAGGGCCTTGCATTACCTGTCAGTCTGGAGGCGAACGAGTATGTATGACAAAGAATGTAGTCTACGAATTGCAATGCAAATGGTGCCGGGAAACGTATGTAGGGGAGACGGAACGCTCCTTGGAAACAAGAATTCGGGAGCACAATGGCGAGGCACGCCGTCGCACTCTCGATAAGCCATGGGGTGACCACGTGCGCGACAAACATTCTGGCGAGAGTATAGCTGCTGCGGATAGTGTGTTCTCGGCTGTGTCAGTCCTGGCAAGGGCAGGCGACAGAGCGAGCAGAAAACTGCGAGAAGCTGTTGAAATCCGCAACTTGCGGCCGCAAGTAAACACTAATGCTGGCTGGGCACTACTGTGAATATATCGTATCTGGATATTAATATATCACCAATCCCTTTCGCCACCTTTGTAGCTGACACATTTGGCGCAAACACAGCACAGCACAGTGTATTTGCTGCTCCTTTGTAGAGTGCACATCATTGCAAACCTGATGAGGGCTATATGCCGAAACGTTATTTTAACTACGAAAATGTGTTCGAACGTTGCAGTGTAAATAGAAGGGAGCGAGTCCGCTCCATCTGTAATTCCTCTTGTTTTACCCAGAAAAGATTGGCCACTCATCACCCGCATTGTAATTTTAAAACCCCTGTGTATAAACATATTCAAACATACCATCATGCATACACACACGCACGGGCACGTGCGCGCGCACACATGCACACCACACACAAACACACACACACACACACACACACACACACACACACACTCTGATGCTTTTTCACCCATGTTACCAACAGGTGTGCAGAGACATGTGCAGCAGGTTACTACGGCAGCAACTGCTCATTCCTGTGTCGGTGTCAAAATGATGGCGCGTGTGAGGCGCGGGATGGACAGTGTCACTGTAAACACGGTTACATTGGAGAAAGGTATGCTGATCCGTACTCAGTAAACATAGCCGCTTGTTTGCTGTATATACGTACTAGTTTGTACACAACGGAAGCTCTAGTGGCAAGGTAGAGGACACATTGCAAACAAGAGTACATAAGCCAGTGAGCGGAGCTCTGCATGAATTTTGGGGAAGCCGAAATTGTCGTTCACATCCTTTTGGATTAGTCACCACAACTGCAATTTGAGACCAAGAGTCTTGTGCTGCATCATAGGGCTTAAAGTGCTACGTCACAGCATAGCAACAATTTCAAAAATTCAAAAACTGGATCCACTTGGGTCCAGTTTTTGTATGGATCCAAGCACATTTCAAGCCGTCTTACTCACAGCAAGGTGATGTAGCCAGTGAAACTGACTGATTTGGCTACTGGGGGCGGGGTTACAACTGGTGGCGAAGTAAAAGTCACCCCTGCATGCGACATGTGTGGGTTGCTATGCACCCACATACTGAGGCAATAGCAAAGTCACACCTTAGTGGATCCAAAATAGAAATCTGACGTCAACTTACTACTCCCTGGCCGTTTTTGACGTCATCACTTTCAAGCCCTATTACGACCTTTGGCATCAGTTCTAGTGAAGTTCTTGTCGGCCATTTTCGGTGGACTCTAGCAACGGAATATGTTTTCGGTGTGCCCTCTACGTTGCCACCTGACCTGTCTAAAAGTGACATATTCTGCTGAGTTGTGTTGGTGCTATGTGTAGTTTCTCCAATCGTTCTCCAATCCCTTCCCACCCTGTGACCCTGTGACCCTGTACATCTGGTCACTATCCACTTGCTTATGTGCTCTGCTTTTATTTAACCTCCTTTTAGGTACCTTTCCTGGATTATTTATACTTCTACTCTCATATTGCAATACTAGTATGTGCAATGGATTCTTTTACTTTGTACATCTCACCGGCGAAGTAAAATAAATAGCAAAAACAACAACAACCGGATGTCGTCTTTCTGCCAGTTAAGCTTGTTCTGTTTTCCGATATTGCTGAAGCTAACCCAATCCATTACAAATCAGTAGTGTTCCTTCTGCTGCTTTGACTATGCAGATGTGGTGTCAAGTGTGCACAAGGAACATACGGTGAGGCGTGCACCCACAACTGTAGCTGTGTCCATGGTGACTGTCACCATGTCAACGGTAGTTGCAGCTGTGACCTGGGCTTCACTGGTGCCATGTGAGTGAGTGTTCGGTTATGCTTTTACAGCATGGGTTTCATTTACGACAGTATGTTTGTTTAAGATGACTACTTGTAGGACATAGTGTTCACAACAGTGTCCAATGTACGTACTGGTCATAGTCTCCGGAGGAGAGAAGCATTGAGCATGTGCATGTGCCACTACATATATACTGACTTGCTTGTCATGCATGCTACATGTAGGTCTGTTTTGCATCTGACATGAGTGGCTACATGTCTATTATTACTACAGTCAACTTCGCTAATAACGACTGCGGATTTAACGACTATTCGCGAATAACGACAGAATGTCCATGCCCAGAGCAAAGTTCCATCCAACTGTATTACATATAATGAGACTTCGGGTATAACGACACTTCGCGAATAAGGACACTTTTTTGATGCCCCGCCGAATGTCGTTACTGTAGTAAGCGAAGTTGACTGTATTCCTGACATTGTGTCTCTGTGACTACTCTTTTACTTACTACTATCACACGACATGCGTTCAGATGTGCAACACCGTGTGCGGAGGGTAGCTACGGTGACTACTGCAGAGAGACGTGTCTCTGTCGCAATCAAGCAGAGTGCTTAGCCACGAATGGAACATGCCTGTGCCGCCCGGGATACATTGGAGCACTGTAAGAGATACTTGCCTAGCTGGACACAAGATGATGTTGAGAAGCGATGTCATGTACCATGAGGGTGTGCTGTCACTGTACACAAGAGGAACTAGATACTCTATAGTCTGTTTCAAAAAGATTTACAATCAGGTTTGGGTCTTAAAAAGTATGAAGATAAGGGAAATTTGGACAACAAAGTACATAGAATGGCTTGTTAGGACACGGCAAATTGTTCTGTGAAGGTTTCGGAACAATTGGACCAGCCGTTAAGGAGTTAGAATTTCGGCCAGGTTTCCGGCCTTTTCCCATGGTTTACAATTTGCCCAGGAAGCCAGTATCGAATTATTTTATCAAACCCACGATTTATCCTTTCCTTGGCCTTGTGGTTATGAATGCTGTCTGCTGACCATGAAGTTGTGAGTTCAAATCCCAACCTATCAAGTCAAACCTTTTTTCATTGTTTTGGTGATCAAGCTGGTACAAGACAAAGAAGATGGCTGCACCAAACGACTTGTTGTTGAAGCTCGCGCTTCCTGCCGAACTGACTGACACTTGACTGGCTCACGCCATGTGAACACACCCGCAACACTGCAATGGTGTGAGTGAATATGGAAGTCATCGCGCTGTAGCTTTTTGAGATTTATTTTAGTTTCAAGATCGCCAATTTATTTGAATTTAGCAGTCAACGCCGTCTTCTATCAGCGTTCACAAGCGTCTGCTTTTCTCAAAATGTCGTCGAAGTCACATGGATAGCTTTGCCAAGTCATGGCCTTGGGAATGAGTCCGTGTTGATGTCGTGTTTTCGTCACACGGTGAGTAAATTGCATCGCAGCTCAAAGAAACTATTTTGGTCACAAAACGAATTGGGACACATGCCGCTCGTCAACATTTACAACACTTTCGTTTCGACATGTCCTCTCTGACTCCATTATCGATACGAGGAAGAACTCGTTTGTTGTAAGCCAGACGTACATGACTGTATCAACGTGAGTGAGTTGTCATTTTTCCTGCTTTCGCGCGGAATATTTCTTCGAGTTCACAGTGAGTTTTTCCAGGCAGCGCTCGAGTGCTCATACGGTAAGACGCCAAACTCCGCGGGCGATCGCCAGGATTGCAAATCTTCTTGAAACGGACTGTAGATACGGGTGGATACTTGAAATCATAACTGTGCCGGGGTTATAAGGTGTTGCTGTGCATCGAACGGGCATTGTTTGCCTTGTTTATGTGGGAAGTTCTACTTCAGAGATTTGATCCATTTGAGCCTTAATATGGTCTTTCCACTTGGCCTCCAACCTGTACCACATGAGCAGTCCTCGGTTACATGACGCCGGGACAACAATGAAGTCATTCCTAAATTACATTTCTGCTGCTATTGTTTGCCATCACCGTACAGCTGTGAGGACCAGTGCCCACACAGTAGCTATGGCGATGGATGCAGGGCCAGATGTCAATGTCAGAACAACGCACTCTGTCACCATGCCAACGGGTCGTGCACTTGTACTGCGGGCTACACAGGAGAGTTGTGAGTTACTCCCAGTACAAGTATGGGTTTCACATGGATGGATGTGTGTGTGTGTGGGTGGGGGGGGGGGGGGGGAGGCTGCATCGGGCACCTGGCTTCAGTTTGAAAGGAAAAGGCAATGCAGGTAGTGGAGATAACCACAGCCCTCACTGTGCTGAGCTCATTGAGACAACCCTTTCAGCCAGACTTTACTACATGCCACCATTGCCTTTGCTGCCTTTTTACCCAACCATAAGATCACATGAACGACTAGACCTTCATGTACCTCTTGCTCCGAAGATCCTGCAACATTTTCTCTTTTATAATTATGTGATGTGATGTGATTAGGTCTACTTCAAGCCTGTAAGAAAGTCTTTACACAGTCACTGCCTAAATGTCTTTAACCTACAGCATGCTCTTCTTCTCCTATTCCTGCTTTGTCAGCTGTGCAGATTTGTGTCCGGATGGTTTCTATGGTAACAAGTGTATGGAAAGATGCAGTTGTGAGAATGGAGCAAGGTGTGATGCAGCAACAGGCTGTTGTAACTGTACTGCTGGTTGGATAGGAGATAAGTAAGAGTTTAAAGTGGTTTCCCCCGAGTTTGTGCATGGTTATTATTTTTACTGCTGTATGCTTCCGAGTTCATTGACTCCTCTAGTCAGCGCATATAGGTGCATTACAATATAAACATGCATTCTGGTACCAATCATGTGCTAGGATGTCAAGGGACATACCAGCAACCTCTCCTTATCTCAATTCCCTTCCTCCCGTCCTCACCCTCCTCCTCACCTCACCCTCCTCCTCCTCCTCCTCCTTCTCCCCTCCTCCTGCTCCTCCTCACCCTCCTCACCGGCCTCCTCACCCTCCTCTTCACCCTCCTCCTCTTCACCCTCCTCCTCTTCACCCTCCTCCTCTTCACCCTCCTCCTCCTCCTCCTCACCCTCCTCCTCCTCACCCTCCTCCTCCTCACCCTCCTCCTCATCTCTTTACTCCTACTTCTCATCTTATTTTTTCACAGTTCTCCCTGATCATCACAGCTTCTCCTTCTCTCCTTTTGTTCAGCTGTACTATGCGGTGTCCGGAAGGCACTTATGGCGCTTACTGCACACAGGTGTGCGAGTGCCTGAATGGTGCCCAATGTATGCCGGAGAATGGGACGTGCCTCTGTGCTGATGGCTACACTGGGACTGTGTAAGTACAGTGTGCTGCTTGTTCAGGTGCTACTGAGCTACAACATGTGTGATCCTCGTGTGAAGCCTGCATAATTATAACACTGATCCAAATGTATGGTCTCTGTTTGCAGTTTTTCTTGGTCCAGCTCAGATATTGTCTGTGCAAGTAGCGGGTCCGAAACTGCCTACAGTAGAGTCGCGCGTCCAAGAACGTTGTCTCCAAGGGGTTAGCCTGGGGCGTTCCTATTTTGTTGGACAATCTAGCTGAGTTCTTATAGCACGTTCTTAGAAGCAATTCGTACTGGGTCATATCTATCCCAAAAGCTGCCGGAAAACCAACACCGCCGTTCTTAACTTCAGGCTGTGGCGTTCTTAGCATTTCAGACAGTGGACGTTCTTGGGCTCAACGTTCTTTTCAGCGCGTGACTCTACTGTAATTGCTGCCAAAATGAGGGCAGGGTTGCCTACGTACATGTTCCAGTTGGCAAGCATGACTGAATGCCAAAATGAGGGCAGGGTTGCCTACGTACATGTTGCAGTTGGCAAGCAGGACAGGGTTGCCTACATACATGTTGCAGTTGGCAAACAGGACAGGGTTGCCTACATACATGTTGCAGTTGGCAAACAGGACAGGGTTGCCTACATACATGTTGCAGTTGGCAAACAGGACTGAATTTCACTTGGGCTTTGGTGCTGTTAGACTCTCAATGGGATTTAGTGTGTCCCTTTGGACGAGCAGTCTGAAATGCTGTTGAGAAAAGAATGAAGGAAGTGAATGACCAGTTCCCTTTGGACGAGCAGTCTGAAATGCTGTTGAGAAAAGAATGAAGGAAGTGAATGACCAGTTCCCTTTGGACGAGCAGTCTGAAATGCTGTTGAGAAAAGAATGAAGGAAGTGAATGACCAGTTCCCTTTGGACGAGCAGTCTGAAATGCTGTTGAGAACAGAATGAAGGAAGTGAATGACCAGTTCCCTTTGGACGAGCAGTCTGAAGTGCTGTTGAGAAAAGAATGAAGGAAGCGAATGACCAGTTCCCTTTGGACGAGCTGTCTGAAATGCTGTTGAGAAAAGGATGAAGGAAGTGAATGACGCTCTTGGGACTGTGCCTGACCATTCTATCAGAAGCAGTTCAAAGATAACCACCTGATCTGTGTTGCTGCCTTCTGTAGGTGTTCCAACAAGTGCCCGGACAAGTCATTTGGTGCTGGTTGCAAGGGAGAGTGCAAGTGTCAGAACAATGGGCTGTGTCATCACATCTCTGGTACATGTTCATGTACTGCTGGTTATACAGGAGAAATGTGAGTCACTGATACTAGTACTAGTAGTAGACCAGTTGCAGGTCTCAGAGCAGCCTTTCACATAGCTAGTTGGGATGCTGAGCAGTCTTTCACATAGCTAGTTGGGATGCTGAGCAGTCTTTCACATAGCTAGTTGGGATGCTGAGCAGTGTAGCGTTATGCAGGGAGTCAACGTGCGGGGTGGGGGGAGTGGGGAGTGGAGGAAGGCGTGGAGGGGGGGGGGGGGAGTTAAGGAAGGAGTGGGGAGTGGAGGAGGGAGTGGAGGAGGGAGTGGGGAGTGGAGGAGGGAGTGGGGAGTGGAGGAGGGAGTGGGGAGTGGAGGAGGAAGTGGGGAGTGGAGGAGGAAGTGGGGAGTGGAGGAGGGAGTGAAGGAGGGAGTGGGGAGTGGAGGAGAGAGTAGGTAGTGGAGGAGGGAGTGCATGAAGGAGTGGGGGAGGGAGTGGGGAGTGGAAGAGGGAGTGGGGAGTGGGGGAGGGAGTGGGGAGTAGAGGAGGGAGTGGGGGGAGGGAGTGGGGAGTGGAGGAAGGAGTGGGGAATGGAAGAAGGAATGGAAGAGGGAGTGGAGGAGGGAGTGGAAGAGGGAGTGGAGGAGGGAGTGGAGGAGGGAGTGGGAGTGGAGGAGGGAGTGGGGAGTGGAGGAGGGAGTAGGGAATGGAGGAGGGAGGGGGACTTCAGAGCTTTCAGGATAAAATCAGCATCATCAGCAGAATGATCTGCTTCTAGAAACATTTCCCATTCTGATCACTTCACAGTTCTGTTGTTATATTCTCATTCTGTACATTCTGTGCACGCAGCTGTGAGAGAAGATGTCCTGCTGATACGTATGGTCAGGAGTGTGTGCACAACTGTACATGCAAGAACAATGCAACATGTGATCATGTGACTGGACATTGTCACTGTACTCCGGGATATATTGATGTGGAGTGAGTGCTAGGGAATAGCTCGTAAGCACACTTCCATCGTGTATACACCAAGCAACAATGATTCAACCTTGACTCCAGGCCCGCTGGCTATCAGTATGTGCTGGGGCAGTAGTTCAGTATGCACACCAAACTGTTGTGGGATAATGAGCCCTACAATGAGTGCTTCGGCACAAAAAAAAGAGTACACGGATTGCACCTGTGTGTCGAGCTATGCTCCTACAGTGCAATGTCTTGCCAGGCAAATCTGTGTGCTGCTACAAGTCATAATTGTTGATGTGCACAGATGTTCTAGGAGGTTTATCACACAGCTGTTGAATGTCATGCAGTCTACAGTAGATACAGTTTTTCAGTGCAGTGGAAGCACAGTAAGATTCATGCTACATCCTACGAGCAAGGCCGGAACCAACATCTAGCTTGTACTGTCCTCCAATGGCAAACTCGGAATGTCAACTTAGTGCAAGATATACCTGATCCTTCTATGCCATCAAATGTGTATTTCCTCTTGTGTGTATGTGTATTGGCAACTCCAGCTGTGGTGAGAGATGTGCAAATGGATACTATGGGCAAGACTGTGCAGAGCAATGCCTCTGTCAGAATGCAGCTGTGTGCGATCACGAGACTGGAAGTTGTTCCTGCCAATCAGGATGGACCAGTACAATGTGAGAAAACGAGTTTGGCAATTATCAGCAAACATCGAACATGGATGTTTGTTTGCAATTTCCAGCTATGTTGGGTTCCTTTTTTTTTATATCATACAATCATATTCTTTGCTTCTTTTTGGCCGTTCAAGTCAGTGGAGAACACTCTCTCTATCACCAGGAACTTCTCCAAAGACGTTGGATTCAGGATTACGGGAATTCAGTGCTAGCACATGATGTTGATGCGACTTTGACCAGGGCAATCGCAGTCTATTGCTTATGTTATTGTGTAGTCAGTTATGAGCATACCCGAGGCTACGGTGAGAGGTATGGATGTGAAAACATTAGATCTCACTGCAGACTAGCATGACATAGCACTGCTATAAACACTTGCTCAGACCTCGCACACTGTGGATAAAACACTTGCTCAGACCTCGCACACTGTGCGTTGTTCTTCTTACCTGCAGCTGTGATGAGGCATGTCCCTCTGGACAGTGGGGTGCATACTGTGTGAATGACTGTGACTGTCTGAACAATGCAAGCTGTCTAGCTGACACTGGTGACTGCATCTGTACACCAGGTTGGATAGGGGACAGGTGAGTAGCGTGAAAGCACACACACACACACACACACACACACACACACACACACACACACACACACACACACACACACACACACACACACAAACACACACACATGTACATGTCCCTGCATGTGAGCAGCCGTCTTCCTACAGGACCACAGTAGGATGTGCTTACCATTTTAGTTCTTCCGCGCGGCCCTTACACTCGGAGACACGCATGCATGCACGCATGGATACACATGCACATGCACTCATGCACATTTCCACATGACACCCTAGCCAGCCAAAGCAGTTTCTTCCTTATGTTCAAAGGCTATCACGAAAGTGATCGCCGACGTCCACACGATCATAGCAGAAGTCTGTATCTCTCCTCTCCCTACCGAACAGATGTGAAGAGACTTGTCCAGCAGACTACTATGGCCACAACTGCTCCTTCCAGTGTGAATGTCAGAATGGAGGTGATTGTGATGCCCAGAATGGACAATGCTACTGCACACATGGATACGTTGGAGAAAGGTATGGGATAATAGTTATAGGGCCATTGTCGTCCATCACAAACTGTCACAATTAACGGGGAAGTATACCCTAAAATCACATGTTCACCAGTTGTAGTCTTCGGGGTGCTGAGTCGAATGGTCTTGGTCCGAGGAAGCTGAGACGCTCCTTTCCTCCTTTATTCCCAATCGATTCCGCCACTTCCACCGAAACTGGGTGACTGCGCCCTAGTAGATGGGGATTTGTATGCAAAATGTCACTAAAAGCGCCATTTCATCCTTATAAAAGCACGGATGACCGCAATTGGCCCATATGTTGTTGTATTTTGGACGCTGAGTCGACTGGTTGTGGTCCGAAAAGGCTGCGATGCAGCATTCGGCCCTTATTCCCAATTGAACACAGTTGAGTAAGCGGTCACGTGCTTGTGCGTACACCAGTCGCCTGGTCACTGTGCCTGCAGGCTATAACTAACTTTCACACCAAGGTTCAACTCTAAGGTTCAAAAGTTCAAAGGTTCAAAAGTTCAAAGGTTCAAAAGTTCAAAGGTTCAAAAGTTCAAAGGTTCAAAAGTTCAAAGGTTCAAAAGTTCAAAGGTTCAACTCTCAGGAACGCGCCCAAACAGGCTTTGTGGTTTTAGGGTATACTTTCCACATAAACAAGTCAAAAAAAAGAAGGAAGAAATTTTCAGGAACATTCCTGTTTTACGAGAAAAGATACGAGCCAAAGTTCAGTCGCTCGTACAGGGCACCGGGGTACTGATGGCGTTGTGTAATTTACTCTCATGTCATGTGTTGCTTGTCTATTTGTGTATCATATCAGATGCGGCTTTGAGTGCTTGGAGGGCACCTATGGAGAGGATTGTGCCCACAACTGTAGCTGTGTCCATGGTGACTGTCACCATGTCAACGGTAGCTGCAGCTGTGACCTGGGATTCACTGGTGCCATGTAAGTGTGTGCTCTATTGATGTTGAGTCCTGCCATGGGGCAGATACTGGGCTGGATAGACTGGGGTCGTTGCATGAGACAGTGTCGGCCTTTCTGCCACCCGCCTCACAGCATTGACAAGTAATGTAAGGCTACCTCCACGGGATGGTTGCGATCGCAGTGAAGTATAAACTCTGGCTCCTAAATGCGTCGCTGTGAACGACCTGAATGTAGCCCTGTGCCAGCACATCTCTTCAGTTGTATGCTGTAATCAACTACAATGATGAGAACTATCCAGCCCAGCTTGTCACAGAGCTGTGCTCTATTAGTGTAGGTATAGATACATTCTGCAAACGTTTCTTGCTGGCAACCTTCTTCCTTGCTGCGTTCAGATGTGCAACACCTTGTGCTGAGGGTAGCTATGGCGACTACTGCAGAGAGACGTGTCTCTGTCACAATCGAGCAAAGTGCTTAGCCACGAATGGCACATGCCTGTGCCTGCCGGGATACATCGGAATACAGTAAGAACTCAGATGTTCATGTTAAGAACTGAATCAGTGTTTGTACACCTAGGGCCTTTTTTAAACTAGTCAATGCAGCACTTGACTGCAACTGTGGGCGAGTAGTAACTGAAGAGAGTAGTTGTCAGTTGACCAGCCACCTTACGTTTAGACCTGATTGTGTTGCATGTTGCTTCCTATTCAACTTCGTGTTCGGTGATTCCTGTAATGTTCATCAAAATGCATTTCCAATTGTTGCAACCTCCACTTCAACCCGCTGAACACAAACAGTCCTAAGCAATATAGGACTTCGCGATTTCATCCATTATTTCCCAATGTATATGTTAGAGTGTGTGTATTCACATTTGCCTTTTAACTTGTGAACAGCTGTGCCGACCAATGCCTGCATGGTAGCTATGGCGATGGTTGCCACGAGGAATGCCAATGTCTGAACAATGCACAGTGCCATCATGCCGATGGGCAATGCACCTGTGCTGCAGGCTATATTGGAGAGTTGTGAGTTAGTGCACTGTGTTACTCTGTGGGTGGGTGCGTGCAAGTATGTGTGTGTGTGTGTGTGTGTGTGTGTGTATCAGGTCCTGCTGGAGAGCCGGGTCAGCCGGGTCACGCGCCCGGCTGGGGAACTGCACGACCTGGCTGAACAGATAACACCGGGTCCAGTCTGACCCGGCTGAAAAATGTCTTACTTACTCACAATGGACTCCTAAAATACCGGTATTTTACAACTCGCGGACCCCATCTGTTGCATGCAAATCTAGCGCAACCGTACACAAGCGACAGAAACTCGGCTAGGCCTATAGGGTTAGGCCCCCGTGCAATATGCCGGCATTTTTTTGAGCATTTTCGGTACAATCCGCGAACCCAGCACTTTGGGCTCGTGATGCAGCATTTTGGGGGAAACGGAGCACTTGGCCGTTGTGTATCAAAATTGAGAGAAGAAAACTTCCCAAACAAGAACGTTACTTCCGCATTCCGGTTAGCTTCTTGTTGAGTAGTTTATGAATTGTTTACCATGGCAGACTGGAGCAAGTCTCTTATTGAGTATTTTCTGACTCCCTGGTTTTGACGGCGTGTGCTGAGGATGACAAAAAGTGAGCATTTTCCGAGCATTTTCGGCAACGTTTACGAGAATTTCCCAAAAGCATTTTCGGCAAAGTTTCGGGCATATTACACCGGGGCCTAGCTAGGGTCAACTGGGGCCAACTGGTTCGAGCGCGATCTGGCCAGCGGCGAGCAGGAAGTCAGGACATTGAAAGTCGATGGGGCAGGCAGTCAAAAGCGTAACTTTGGCTATAGCTTTTGACACAGTTGCACGTTTTGAGCAGGCTTTTTTCTTTTCTTTTTGCCGGATGAATTTCTGACCCGGCTTGACCCGGCTGGCCTGCATGCGCCAGGTACACTCTGACCGGGCTGTGTTGAATGTCTAGAGCAGGCCCTGTGTATGTGTGTGTGTGTGTGTGTGTGTGTGTGTGTGTGTGCATGTGTGTGTGTGTGTGTGTGTGTGTGTGTCTGCGTGCGTGTGCGCGCGCGTGTGCGTGTGCGCGCGTGTGCGTGTACACGTAGCTCATTTTGCTTCAGTGGCGTCACATAGAGTACAATGCTGTTGATCAGTCATAGACTGATGTCATGTAGATGTAGCAGTGACTGCTTTGGTTGCTTTCCTAATATCTTTGCACTGCCATACTGGGAATGAGCTCCCGCATGTATGAGATGTTAAAAGAAATTGCTCTTGCTGTAGGCTAGTAATGACAGCTTTATCTACACGCACAGAACAGCAGTGATGGCAGCATTTCGTTGTTTGGGTATCTGACTAGCAGAAAACTCCTGGCTGCTACTATCCACTGTCTAATTCCACCAATGCTTATTACCATTTCAGTCTGGCGAGTCTATGCTTGACGGTGTAAATGCCTCAAAAAATTGCCATGACTGTTTTCTCGTCTCCTGTGCATTTCTAGCTGTGCAGATTTGTGTCCGGACGGTTTCCATGGCCAGCAATGCGCAGAGAGGTGCAGTTGTGAGAATGGAGCAAGTTGTGATGCAGTTACAGGTTTTTGTAACTGTACTTCTGGCTGGATAGGAGCTGAGTGAGTTTGACTCTTGAGACCACTGCTATTGGTTAGAGCTACTTACTCAAGTTCTTCAATACTTGGAGGCTCCACTGCAGCCAATCAATCAGGGAGTCATACACCCTGATGAAGCCCTAGCGGCGAAACTTGATTTGGAGATTAATTTAGTTGCAATTGCAGTGGAAGACTTTGGTTGTGAAGATGTTGGAAGGATGATAGAGCTACTCAATTTGTAGATAGGCCGATGTACGTGTAGCTGTGGGGTGCGCAGTACTGCTTACCAATCAGCTCCTCTTTCACTGCTGAAAGCAAGACAGGATGGCGAGGTGTGTGTGTGTGTGTGTGTTTGTGTGTGTGCTCGTGCTCATGTATGTGTCTGTGTTCTCGTGTGTGTGTGTGTGTGCTTCCATATGTGTGAACTCATGCACATCATTGTTTCAGCTGTGCTGACGAGTGCTCTGAAGGTTTCTATGGCAACCAGTGTATGGAGCGATGCAGTTGTGAGAATGGAGCAAGTTGTGATGCAGCAACAGGCTATTGTAATTGTACTTCTGGCTGGATAGGAGATAAGTAAGTCCTGGACTGGTGAGAGGGTGCAGCGTTTCATGTGGAGCAGTGTCACAGTGTAGTCATGGAAACAGTATAGCCATTCCGCTTCTGTCCTCGAAATCAGGGGAGAAAGGGAAGCAGGGGTGCAAAGCAGCAATATGTCGTGTTGTGCATTGGTATTTACATGGGCAAGCATGGCCTGATTGCAAGAGCAACTAGCTGTCCAGTGTGGAAGCTATGTGGTCAATGTAATTTATTGTTACAGCTGTAGTTGGTAAGCAACTTTGTTTTATGAGAAATTCTAGAGCATGATATTTTGATAAAGGCTTCTATACCATGGGTAATAGGAGGGGCATTGGGATGGTATGGGGTGGTCAGTGGATACCTGGGAGGTCGGGGGGGGGGGGGGGGAGCATATCACCATACCCCCTCCCCCAGAAATTTGGGTAAGGTTCAGACCAATACTGTAGAAATTGTTGGAGATGTAGAAGATGGACCGTGCTGTGCGTGTGGTGATTGCCATACTACGCTACCCGAGCTCGGTGGCCTTAGCCAGGTCATATGGCAGTCTGTGGCGATGTACATATACATCAGTCTGTTCACGTCACACATTGTAATCATCGGTTGCATGGATGTTGCTTGCCGCTCTCTGAACTGATACTTCCTGCATAGATGTGAGGTGGCATGCACGGCTGGTAAGTGGGGCCTTGGCTGTACATCACACTGCCCTTGTCTCAACAATGCTACCTGCTACCCTGACACTGGCCTATGTCGATGCACACCCGGCTACGTGGGGAAAAGGTGAGACTGATATTACAGGTATATCAGCATAGGCTGGGTCAAGGTATTAGTTGATACGATCCTCTTCTAATACACAGGATTCTAGCCGGGGCAAGACAAAAGGGTGCATGTCTCTTCCACACTGGTTCTGCGCCTTCCTGGGGAAAGGCCTGCTACCCTACTGGTTGTGTAGTACAATAGACGAGAACACAATGAGCCTGCTGCACTGGTTGTGTAGTACAATAGACGAGAACACAATTAGCCTGCTGCCCTACTGGTTGTGTAGTACAATAGACGAGAACACAATGAGCCTATGCCTTTGAACAAAGTACATGCTAGGGAGTTCAGTAAGTCAGAAATAGCATGAGCACTTTGGGTCCAAGAATATGGTGTTAGATGATCTGGTCTGCCCCCCCCCCCCATCCCCTCTATAGAGCTCCTTTCTGCAGATTTTCCCTAGCTAGAACTCTGTGTACTGCTTGATTACAACTGTCATGCTGCACCACTCATCCCTGCTTGTTAAGCTGCAAATGATACGGTAGCACCATCTGAATCCCGTACTACACTGCCTGTACCATGACCATACGTAACGAAATATACAGCTCTTGGTGCTATCGGCCGACTCACTCACATGTGCACACACACATGAACACCTCACAAACACCGGTGCCCGGTGCATTGAAGTCCATCTTGGCCAGCAGTCGGGGAGGGGGGGGGGGAGGGGGAATGGGGATTCCTGCCCCCCCCTCCCCCCCCCCCTTCGACCAGTGTACACATAGTGTCGAGGATCACAGTCACACACCAATAGCCTACTTACCAGTCACCTTACACAAGCATGGTTGGAACCCCACAGGTACATACACCATAGTCTATGTGTTCATGTGACCCTCTGTCACGGGCAATTCACATGATGATATTTAACCGCTCTTCTTTCCTCAACCTGCCTTTCAGCTGTCAGGCTGAGTGCGCTGCTGGAACGTACGGCCTGGACTGCTCACTAAACTGTACATGCCGGAACAATGCCAGCTGTAATCACCGGGATGGACGTTGCTCCTGCACTAGCGGATACACAGGGATAAGGTATGGTTGGTAGCTACCATGACTGTGCCAGGGACGTCGGAACCGGTGCCGCAGGTGCGGCCAAAACCACACCAATAATGCTATCCTGTGATTTTGAAGCAATGAAATGTGGGCTAATTGAGCCAAAGTTTCCTAAAACAATCTCCCTGGGGGAGGTCCCCGGACCCCCCCCCCCCCCCCCACTTTTTCATAGTCTCAACAATGTAGGACAACTTCTGACGTCCCTGCATGCACATTTTTAACAGCACTCTCTCCATTCTATTTGTATCTACTTGTGAAATACATTACAAGCTTTGTAAGGTGCTTGTTTTCTCTTTATCTATGTTGTGTTCTGCTCATTGAACAGCTGCGAGCGCAAATGTCCAGTCGGCACTCATGGCCTAGGTTGCACTGGAATCTGTTCCTGCAATCATGGTCAATGTCACCATGAGGATGGGTCATGTGACTGTTACCTAGGTTACACTGGGTCTGAGTAAGTATCATGGGTGGCATGAAGAGAGAGAGAGAGAGAGAGAGAGAGATAGATAGAGAGAGAGAGAGAGAGAGAGAGAGAGAGAGAGAGAGAGAGCGAGAGAGAGAGAGAGAGAGCGAGAGAGAGAGAGAGCGAGAGAGAGAGAGAGCGAGAGAGAGAGAGAGAGAGAGAGCGAGAGAGAGAGAGCGAGAGAGAGAGAGAGAGAGAGAGAGAGATAGAGAGAGAGAGAGAGGAAGAGGAGGAGGAGGAGGAGGAGGAGGAGGAAGAAGAGGAGGGCGAGGGAGGTGGGGGAGGGGCGGGGGGGGGGGGGGAGCTCAAGTTTTCGTTTACTGTCCCTACAGGAGTCATGCTCACAGCACTGGTATGTCTTCACCACTTGTGCAGGGCATGTTCGCTCAGCAAGCCGTAGAACACGGATATAGTGTCCGACGTAACTGTCAAGTCACAGTGGTGATTGCGATGCGCTTTACTTTCTTTAGTGAATCACCAATCTGCGTATGTATCCTGATCCTATTGTTATTCATGTCTGCTGTTTTGTCATAAATGCAGTTGTTCTGTGTCATGTCTGGCTGGTACATATGGATACTATTGCTCAAAGTTCTGCACTTGTCAAAACCAAGCGCTGTGCTCTCCCAGTAACGGGACATGTTTCTGTCAGCCTGGTTACATAGGCATCAAGTAAGTCCAAACTCGCAGTGGTGCTGGGATAGTGTCATGAAGATGGCTCCTCAGACATTGGCCTGCTGTGAACCTCATAAAGATGCATTGTAATGAGCATTGTCAACCATGAAATCCATTATATTGTTCTGGTGACTTTGAAATGTTTATTAAACCATGATGGTTGATTAGCGTTTGTATGGTTTGGTATTCTGCCGTGTTGATGTGTCTTTAGCTGTGAGGATGAGTGTGCCGTCGACACGTATGGTGCTAGTTGTGCTAATGTGTGCCAGTGCCAGAACAGTGGAGATTGTCACCACATGACCGGAGAATGTACATGTACTGCAGGCTACACTGGTGCTGAGTGAGTTTTTTTTAACTAGTTGATAGCTGAGAAGCATGTGCAAGAAAATGATCAATCTGTGATACGTTGAGCCAGTGTGAAGCGACTAGTAAGGCTTTGGCCGTACCACTTTTCAATGAAGCAATCATGTTGTTATAACAATGAGCTCCTACCGAACTTTCTGGGGTCAGAGCTGCACTTATTACTCAATAACAAGACTGCGGAAAACATGGATGCATTTAATGGGATTTTTGGTCTTTGACCACTTGCTGGTGAGCTGATCTACTCACCGCCCAGCGCTATAGGAGCTCCATCTGCGCCTTGATCCTTGAAGGGTGGTGGCGTTCCTATTGATGCGGAAAATTCAGCCTCCAGCCGAGTCTGACGCGAACCGTGGACTGTGTGGACTGGACCCATGTCAGCTGGCCAGAGCAGTTCTAAAAGGAGGGGGGGGCATGTGTGAGCTGAAACATACTGGTACTACTAGGCTAAGTTGCTGACTCCCATCAGCTTCCCTTTACTCCCATCAGCTTCCCTTTACTCCCATCAGCTTCCCTTTACTCCCATCAGCTTCCCTTTACTCCCATCAGCTTCCCTTTACTCCCATCAGCTTCCCTTTACTCCCATCAGCTTCCCTTTACTCCCATCAGCTTCCCTTTACTCCCATCAGCTTCCCTTTACTCCCATCAGCTTCCCTTTCGGTATAGTGGGTGCATGCCCTCTGCAACATGTTAGCACTGTGTGATTGCATCATCCTTTATGCAACCCACAAGTCAATAAGTCCTGTGTTTGCTATGCCTCTTATAGCACTGCGGCATATGCACACTTGGTCTTGCTGTTCCATACATGTACAGTTGTTCACTACGATGCTCCAACGGGTCCTATGGCTTTGGCTGTCAAGAGGTATGCATGTGCCTTCATGGTGACTGCCGGCATGTGGACGGGACATGTCTCTGCCATCCAGGTAAAGTTGGACGGTATTCTCATGGCTGTCTACTGTCGTTGAACTTGCCAATGATTTCACCTCCATATTCCTTCTTTGCTGATGGTCTGTCTCCCTTGCAAGGAGTAAACACTGTGATGACTTGTGAGCACCAGTAGTGGCTCTGTGTTGTACTGTGCTAGTAGCGTGAAGAAGCAAAAGGGATCCTGTCAGCCACGGACAGTGTTTCGCTGGTGAGGGAAGATTTAGATTGAGTTTGGGTTGACGGAAAATGCGGATGGAAACAGTGGAGGCGTTAGCCATGGCTTCATGGTGCGTCAACAGACGATATACAGGCCAAGCTAGCAGCAGATGAAAGTTCTGAGGAAAGATGTGGACAGGAACTCGTTCAGATGGGCACTGGCCTTCATTCTCTTATTTCAATACGGATTCTCTTTCAATACGGATTCTCTTTCAATACGGATTCTCTTTCAATACGGATTCTCTTTCAATACGGATTCTCTTGCACATTGATCTGTCTCCTGTCTATGACTGCAGGCTGGACTGGGATGGATTGCAGTCAGCAATGTGCCAGTGGATCATACGGTACAGACTGTGCAAACGCGTGTCAATGTCGTAATGGAGCGGCATGCAGTCATGTGGATGGTAGTTGTAACTGTACTGCTGGATACACTGGAGTCACGTGCAGTCAAGAATGCCCGCCTGGTTACCATGGCATCAACTGTTCCATGTCATGTGATTGTCGTAATGGTGCACACTGTAACAAGGTTGATGGAACGTGTATATGCAAGCCTGGATGGAGAGGTAAATGAGTGCGAGTTCCACAATGACTGTCTCATTACCAGTCATTCAGTTGTACATGTACTCACTGTCTTGATCACCTTGTCACATCAGCCTGGACTGCACAGTGTGTACATTTTCTGCATGCAATTGCATTGTCTGTATGCAACTGCATTGTCTATGTTCAAATACACACACACACACACACACACACACACACACACACACACACAAAGCTCAGGCATGAACAAGTAGAATGTGTGCTCTGTGCTGAAGAAACATACAGTCTACATGTAGTTATGAACTGCACCACTTCCAATGGGTACCCTGTTGAACTGCACCACTTCCAATGGGTACCCTGTTGAACTGCACACACAATGTGACATCACTTTGGGAAATACACACACACCATTCGACAGCACAACGGAGCAAGGCAGCGGTGGGACACATAGAGTGGAAATAGTGGGGAGAGGCGGGGGCAGCTTTGCCGACCATAGGGTCTCGGCTGCAGTACAAGCTTTCTTGTGCATCTTCCATTGTCTTGTTTTCAGGGGAGCGTTGTGATAGGCCGTGTCCCGACGGGACTTTCGGAGAGGCCTGTACCAGCACCTGCACGTGTAGGAACAATGGCAGCTGCAACAAGGCTGATGGGAAGTGCAACTGTACAGATGGATGGACCGGACCGATCTGTTCTGATGTGTGCCCTGAAGGTAACTACATTTGTATACACAGCACATGCTAAGATAACTTGTGTTGTGTTTGCATGCGTTCATTGTATATTGTAGTATCTGTAACAAGACTAGATTGCTAGAATGTTCTAGTGCTTGTTCTGGTATAAGGAACTTCAACCAATTAAACAACCATGATGTGCCTGTTGATACTACACCTTAAAGAGTACTTGAAGTAGACTACACCAAGGCTATCTCTGCGTGATTGTCTCGGTTTGCTCCTTGGCATGATTTGTGGCGCAGGATTCTTCGGTGCAGGCTGCCAGCAAGAGTGCCTGTGCAACCTGGACACATCGGAATGTGACCGGTTCACTGGCCATTGTACGTGCACTGTGCCGGGACTCACTGGGACTTTCTGTCGTCAGACGTGCAACCACACAGTAAGCATGTGTGCGTGTGTGTACTGTAGCGCATGCGTTTGTGACACCACTGATGATAAGGTCCCAGCGCAGTATCTTCCTACGCCCACCTTCTAGAACAGGCAAATGCAAGGATTAAAATCTTAGACATGTGCATGCTGTTTGATCACATCCATGGACGGGCTTATCACATCCATGGACGGGCTTACCAAGATCTGAGCTGATTCTATGATATGCATGCTTAATCCGTTACCAATGTCTGGCCAAGACAGCAGCTGTACATGCACAACACGTGAAAACTCAGTAGGTTTTGGATTTTGAATTTTGGTGATACATGATTGCCGCCTTTCTCTCCGTGTGTCTGTGTCTGTACCTGTCTCTCTCTCTCTCTCTCTCTCTCTCTCTCTCTCTCTCTCTCTCTCTCTCTCTCTCTCTCTCGTTGTGTCCTGTTAGAGATGGGGATACCTGTGTGAGAATGATTGTCACTGTCTCAATGATGGACAGTGTCAGAATGGCAATGGTGAATGCTGGTGTAAAGGGAATTCTGCATACCACGGTAAGTCAGTCCAACTACTTGAACTAACCTCACTACGATGTACTGTTTAGAAAGTCCACAAACAAGATCAGGGCACATTACATCAGACTGAACTGTACAGCTATAATTGCATCTGCTCACTCCAGGTGCTGATGACCTACCTCCCCCCCCCCCCCCCCTCAGGTGTAAAAGGCGTGTGTTCACAGTTCACATTCCACTTTCCTTAGCAAGTATTTCCTTTGGGTTTGTGATACATGTGCTATGTATTATGGTATATATGTGTTGGTTGCTACTGTTAACCCCCTGCCGGTATGGACCGGGACTTGGTGTGCTGGTTGTGTTCAGGCACGCTATGCAACAGCACCTGCCATGATGGCACCTGGTCACCGGCCTTCAAGTGCAGGTTACGGTGCCAATGTGCCAACAACGCTAGCTGTGATGCGTACACCGGAGCTTGCTTATGCGCGCCGGGCTGGACTGGCAAGACCTGTGAAGAACGTATGTCTTTGAACAGTGGCTCAGTGTCGTGCCGCATCACTGTCCAGTGCTGTTTGATCAGTGTCGAGCCTGAATTGAAGGGCATTTTGAAATTGATACAACTATGCTGCGCTTCGAATCATAGGGAACTCCAGCACCTAACCTCTGGTTATCTACCTTCAGCAATAAAAGTTGTATAAATTCGCATACAATGTAGTTGCTGTCACTGACTATCAATTCACATTCAATGTAGTTGCTGTCACTGACAATGTAGTTGCTGTCACTGACTATCAATTGATGTATGTACTGGTACTTGACTTGTGAGTTTAACCTGTAAGAAGATGCAGTGCAATATCTTCTTTTGAAGACTGGACCATATCATCTCTCTTCTTCTCACTATGTTCTCAAATAGCCTGCCAACAAGGCAGGTTTGGAGCTGGCTGCATGGGACAGTGTCCAGTGGCATGCACGACCACACACAACAAGCAATGCCATCATGTGACAGGCCAATGCACTTGTCTGCCTGGATATACGTACAGATCGGACTGCCAGAAAGGTGAGCAATAGAATCTTGCAGTGGTGCCGTATACAGTTGTGGACATTCAACTACATCTCAATGACTGTGCTCGTGCAATACTTAGTCTTCTTCCATCATTGCGAATGGGCAAAGCATGATCAATGGTGGGAGGAAGATTGACCTGTAAAATGCTAATTCCCTGAGCAAGGTGCATAGAACGAGTTTTGAAGCACATTTCGGCTGGCTTGGCGTATGCTTTTTGCTTTGTCATGAATCTACACAATCAGTTCACTACTCTCTAAGTGTGTATGTCGTTGTGCATGAAAGCATGTACTGACATCTGTGTGATGTGTGTGTGTGTGTGTGTGCACGCGTGCATGTGTGAATGCATGTGCTGTGTGAACAGACTGTGAGAACTACAGATATGGCGAGGACTGTCGGCTGTCATGTGACTATTGTCATGACAACAACACCACCACCGCTGGACCATGTGACAAGAGCACAGGAGCGTGTCCTTGTCGCGCAGGATATGCATCGCGCTACTGCAACATGACTGAAGGTGAGGTATAGAGTTTGCAGTGAGTGCCGCTGGTTTTTCCTGCATCTTGTTATGTAATTTTTAAAGCAATAGTAGCAGCTGTGCCTTGCGCCAGAGTGAAAATGAACAGTGACATGATTTGATGCATTGCTTTGTGTTCATGTAGATGTGTGTAGACAGTAGCAATAATTCAGGGGCGTGCTCGGCCCCCCAACTAGGGGGGTGCACGGGAGCCGAGGGAGCCCCCCCCCCGGCAATTTTCTGCAATTTGTTTGCAACCTTTCTTGAATTTTAGAGCATATTTGCATACATTACAATTGCCTTGGATCAGATTGAAAAATTTGGGGGGGGGGGGGGTGCACGTGCCCCCCGTGCCCATCGCCGAGCACGCGCCTGCAATTCACTGGTTTCACTGCCACATCACTCGACATAGGGTCTTACATGTACATGTATGTGCATGTCATTGTACTTAGTATGTGAGCCTCTATTTGGAGTCTCGGCAATGAACGGTGCTTGTTGGTGTTGGGTTACCAGTATCAGTGTATGTGCTGGACAACAGTATCAGTATATGTACTGCACAGCACTGCTGTACACAACACTGCAATCCTTGGTGTTGGGTCTGTTCTGCTCTGAATGTGACTTGAATTATAACTGCAGAGAAATACGCTGATGAGCTGGCTGGGCTGACCACTACATCACCACCACCGCCGCATGTCACCATCCTAGTCCAGCCTGGTAGTAGTAGTAGTAGTAGTCGCAGGGCCATCGCAAAGAAATGGTTTTCACTGAAACGCATCATCTGGATAAGCTCATCCAGTGCCGTTCTCATTGCCGGAATTCTTGTGATGGCGCTTGTCGGCTACAGGCGCTGCTGTGGCCAGCGTGGCAAGTACACTCCCGGACCTCTGGACGACTCACTGGCCTTGGACTCAAGTACTGCAATACTGAGCGGGGAGACACTGGATGCAGCTAGCCTGAACGCGGACCAGCAGATCGGCGGGGAACTCACCACCACATGCCTCGCTGGCGATGATTGTGCCAGTTCTTGTGCAGAACGTAGGACATGTGCACAAGTGGCTGAGGGAACTGACGATGTCTTTGCCAACGAAAACCACTACACTCTGGACCCAACCATCGCCATGTCAGAAGTGTATACAAACAACCAGGCCCAGAAAGATACACTCTAGGACCCAAGTGAGTGCTGCTTTCAAGGATATCATGTATCAAACTACCCATCAGAGCGTATCCTCTCCAGATGTTCATACTACCCCTGCACATACACAGTGCACATGTACTATCCATGTCATGGTTAAAAATTGTTTTCATAGCCTAATGTAAGAAGCCACCTTGATGGCATTGGACTGCTGCGCATTATCCTGTTTATTTTTTAAACTGTCTCAAAAGCATGCCGCTGCTGAGAACTTGCATGATTTCAATTTTTGTTATTTTCTCTGATTGCTTCTGGATCGGTGTACCATGGTGTACGAGTTTCTCCTTTTCTCCTTTCTTATACACAGTGTTGCTATCCGTTGAATTATTTAAAAAGAAATTGTTTGTACTTGCAGTCATGCATGTAATATTTTCTCTGCGCAGAAGACTTCACTGTAGCCCTCCATCCATTAATAATACTCCATCCATTATGACTTTTAAAACACCCTCACAACACTCCTTTTGTAAAAAGTGGAGTCACTGAGACAGAGACCATTTTTTAAAGAAGGTTGTGAGGTAGTAGGTTGTGAGGACCAGTCACCTGGTCACCGTGCCTGCAGGGTACAAGTTCTACTACAACTTACTAGCCTGTTTTACCTTTTTTGGGTGCAGTCCTGTCACTCGAGTTGAACCTTGGTGTTAAAGTTGTCGCCTGCTGGCGTGGTGACCAGGTGATTTGGGCACCCAGGAGCACGTGACCGCTTGTTCAACCATGTTCGATTGGGAATAAAGGAGGAACGCTGCATCGCAGCCTTTTCGGACCAAAACCAGTCGACTCAGCGTCCAAAAGACTACAACATATGGGCCAATCGCGGTCATCCGTGCTTTTATAAGAACGAAATGGCGCTTTTAGTGACATTTTGCATACAAATCCCCATCTAGTAGGGCGCAGTCACCCAGTTTCGGTGGAAGTGCGCGAGTTCGATTGGGATTCAAGTAGGAAGGGAGCGTCTCAGCTTTCTCGGACAAGACCATTCGACTCAGCACCCCGAAGACTACAACTGGTGAAATTTTAATTTTTGCCTTAAAGGGGAAGTTAAGGCAAAAATTAAAATTTCACCAGTTGTAGTCTTTGGGGTGCTGAGTCGAATGGTCGTGGTCCGAGGAAGCTGAGACGCTCCCTTCCTACTTGAATCCCAATCGAACTCGCGCACTTCCACCGAAACTGGGTGACTGCGCCCTACTAGATGGGGATTTGTATGCAAAATGTCACTAAAACTAAGTAAAAGCGCCATTTCGTTCTTATAAAAGTATGGATGACCGCGATTGGCCCATATGTTGTAGTCTTTTGGACGCTGAGTCGATTGGTTTTGGTCCGAAAAGGCTGCGATGCAGCGTTCCTCCTTTATTCCCAATCGAACATGGTTGAACAAGGGGTCACGTGCTCCTGCGTACACCAGTCACCTGGTCACCGTGCCTGCAGGGTACAACTTACTAGCGTGTTTGACCTTTTTTGGGTGCAGTCCTGTCACTCGAGTTGAACCTTGGTGTCAAAGTAACGTTGTACCCTGCTGGCGTGGTGACCAGGTGATTTGGGCACCCAGGAGCACGTGACCGCTTGTTCAACCCTGTTCGATTGGGAATAAAGGAGGAACGCTGCATCGCAGCCTTTTCGGACCAAAATCAGTCGACTCAGCGTCCAAAAGAGTACAACATATGGGCCAATCGCGGTCACCGGTGCTTTTATAAGAACGAAATGGCGCTTTTAGTGACATTTTGCATACAAATCCCCATCTAGTAGGGCGCAGTCACCCAGTTTCGGTGGAAGTGCGCGAGTTCGATTGGGATTCAAGTAGGAAGGGAGCGTCTCAGCTTTCTCGGACCAAGACCATTCGACTCAGCACCCCGAAGACTACAACTGGTGAAATTTTAATTTTTGCCTTAACTTCCCCTTTAATGCTGCCTGGGCCCGGGCCAAGGTCAGCCTGAAGCAAGTGCAGTGCCTACTACTATAGTAGTAAGTTAGTAACCACTTCTGAAGTTCATCATGATCATGGGGGCCATCGTGATCATGGGGGCCATCGTGATCATGGGGGCCATCGTGATCATCCGTGACTTGTTTGGGGGAAACACTAACTTGATCATCCCTGACTTGTTTGGGGGAAACACTAAAACTTGATCATCCACACAATGGCAAAACCCCAGAAGAAGATTCAAAACTTAGTACAGCAAATGTAGGCAGCCGAATTACACAACACGTCTTGCGGCAGTGTTGATATACAATCATGTACATGTACATGTAGATGAAAAGAAGTCTATGAATACCCACCATGTAAATTGTGATGCCCTCACGTACCCGACCGGCGGTTATCTGCCGGCTCGCCATAATGAGCTTCGGGACCTTCTGCGTAAGTTCTGGCCGGCGTACTGCAGTGCAGGAGCTAGGTACTGCCCAATGTCGAGATTGAGCCACGTTTGCTCCCACTACATAGTGAGCACATCTCTGCCGCCTCGGCTAATCGTTAGCCAGAGCAGAGGCACGCCTAGACTATGTCATACAGGCTAGGGTATTCTGGTCGCAGCAGCCTTTTTTGATGTAAAAGTCACTGACCTTGAGCCGTCCTTGCTGTCTCGTCCCGAAATCCTTAGCCACCTGAGGACAAACGAGAGAATGAAGAAGGCGGCGTTTGATGCCCGAGTGGAGAGAGCATCACTTTTAACATTCCGTCAGCAAGTCGATGCACTCCGGAAGAAGGTCAGTGCACAGGTGAATTCATTTCGGCGCTGCCGCACCATGTTGACCAATGCAACCAGGCGCACATTTTATCTCTCTTTTGTCCAGTCTACACTGGAATACCGGTATGCAAGCAAAGCTTATGTACAAGCAATGCTTATGAAGTTATGTACACAGTCTGCGACAACATGAACATGATTCTCTCAGTCACCGTTCATTGCGTACTGTATTTGGCTACCCGCCCACCGCAGATGTTCAGTGTATTCTGTCTCGAGAGTCGAAACGACCTGACACCGTGCACTTCTATGCCGCCTTTTCTGCCTTGAAGCGCGTAGCCGCACCTGCACAAGGTCTCAAGACTCTCTTGGACTTGTACTCCCACGAGCCTTCTCTCGATTTGGTTATTCCTCTCTTTCTTTTTTAGAACGCTGGAACTCAGTTCCGGCATCCGTCCGCCTTGCTGCTTCACCAATGATAAATCCGCCTCGGGGTCGGGAGCCCTTTTTCAGCACATTGCCGCCGTCGGCTGTGTTGACTCGGGCAGAGGAGTGAGTGCCTTCGCCTTTGCATGCCAGTAGGCCATTTGCCATTTGGGTAACAGTTTCTTGTCACGCTTTTGTGTTCAACTTTAATACACCTAAGTGATAGTTAGATCTACTTCGAAGTACATTGTACATCTGCTGCGTAGACCTACAAAACGTAGATCAACAAGACTACATGCGCCAGATGCGAAACCTATGCCTAGGCTATGGCTATGGTCACGCCTATGCTCGAGACTGTAGTGTTGATCCCCTGAGCTGAGTCTCCGGGGAATGGGCCCAAACCAAGACTAGGCAAGAGGCAGGACTAGATAACGGGTCTTTGCCCATAGTGCCATACTACATGATTGTACAATGAGTATGACTGTAGTACAATGATTATGTAGATCTACTACTACCCGGTACTACATGTACTGGCACTGCAGTGTACTGAAGCCTAGCGCCTGTGAAGGCAGTGAACAATTTACATGGTGAAGAGTGATGATGTACACCCGACCTATGTACCAGATGTATAAGGCTATAGGCTATACTAGTAGATCTACGCCTTGGCCTGGGCCATCCATGCTCCCCCCCCCCCCCCCCCCCCCAGTAGACCTGCCTGCCACCAGCACCAGGCCATGAATCATGTCATTGTCATGATCCACACTCCCACTCTTTATGCTCGGAGTCCTGTGTAGTTCATGACATAATACATACCGGTACTCCTACGATCGCATTTGTCTAATGCAGCTCAAGTAGCAAACCATTCACTGAGTCTGTAACTGGCCTCTTGCCAGCCATAAGAAAATAAAAATACTACAACTTAAGTCATGTAGTACACTGTAGTACCCAATGCTGTAGTAGTACTCAGTAGTGACCAGGTACTAGGTGACAAGTAGTGGAAATACATCGGAAGACCGAAGCTGAAGAGATGCCTGTCCTTGCGTGACGCCGTGAGATCATCGCATACTTGAATAAGTCTTTACTGGAGACGATTATGGTCATTCACGGTCAAAGCCAAAACTGCCAAAATGTAAAGCATCACCAGTCCTTGACGTGATAACACACAACGCAGCGACGCCCATTCTCAAACTCGAAGTCGTCCACGTAGTGTTGTTTGGTCGTGACTTCAACTAAGGGGACCTCATTACTTCAGGCTCATAAGTCTCTCGAACCCCGTGGTCGTGGCAGTGAGCCGTACATCTGAGCACCAACTCCAAGCACCTGACTCCTGAGACACTGAGCCTAGACTCTAGTCTGTACTGACTACAGACACAGCAGTGTCAAGAAGTGCATGACATTGTGTTTAGATCTACATGTGGACTGCATCAAAAATTGTTGTGCTTCTATTTCTAATGATTCGTAGATCGATCACTATTGTCTGTCATGTACCTTGTGTACTTCATAGCGCTGGGCTAATGAGTATGATCATGATGATAGGCGACTTTCCGACTCCGTTGATCCATTTTCTGTAGAATATTTCTTTGCAATCATTGGATGTGGCGGTGTTGCAATCATCGATGCGGCGCATCCATGTAGCTAAGCTGGCCTAAGCGAAAGCAAGAACTACAGCAAGATTAGCGTAGTAAAAAGCCGACAACCGTTTGGCGACTGACAGCGCTCAATCTGAGACGAGCAGAGCTCGAGCTATCTAGGGCTGTCATCGTCGCGGTCTGTTGTGTGACTGGCACCTCCGCAACAGTCAACTCCCTGCCATCGTAGCGTCCGCTCCGTCTTCCTCCGGGTAGCTAACGTTACTTTCCGGTGGCGAGACTTTCGATCCCGCGCGCGTGAGTGGATATCCCCCGACGTAGATCTAGTCGTTGTCCGACCGTGCTCGATCCGGGTTGACGGTCTGACTGGCACTACTGGCTAGTAGTACAGTACTACTACTATTGGGTTGTGTATCTGGGCGATCATCGTCAGGTAACCTATCCGTGTTACCAGTGTTACAAGTAACAGTTAGTTGCTTATGATATCACCGCGTCACCTCTGAGGCTCTGTGTTACAGACCCGTACTGCCGTAGTTCTGGCCGTGTAACGGTGTAAACCCCGTGTATGTGCAGTGACATGGCTGGTTGTGGTGCAGCAACTGCAAGTGCGAACAGACCGCCGCTGAGATCGCTGCTGCTGGCCTTGGCCTGGTTTTGCAGCGCCTGTCAGTTCTCTTTACTGCTCCATGGGCATGGAGCTCGCGGTCAATCGCTGGATGCGAATGGTGCGAATGTGTGTGGCCAAACTGCAACGTGAGTTGGACAGAAGTACTACTACTACGGAGTAAAAGTCTGTAATACCATCACCATGGCATGGGGCATGGTATGATCCCTCGGCACCAGTGTGGCAGTTGCTAAAATTTCGTACTCACCTAATCCTGCATGAGTGATGAACATGGGTGTTCCGGTGATGAACTGACTGAGTAGATGACAGGAAGGGCTTGAAGTAGGGCAATCAAGTTTTAAAACGAAGAATCGGGATGCTGTGGGCAATGTGGTAAAGTGCACTAGTGTTGCACGCACACACGCACACGCACACACACACACACACACACACACACACGCACACACACACACACACACACACACACACGCACACACACACATACACAAACTTGATCCCTTCTTGCTCCATAACTACAGGTATGACGCAATGCCGGACTGAACCTGCACTCAGTTACCACTGGCACGGAAGGGAGTATGGGATTGATCTCTGTGACCGCTTATCCCACGTCCCACATTGGACTAAAACACCTCTGCTGAGTCCGTATATACATTACATATGGGAATTGCCTTTAGTTATTATACAGTATGCAGTGTGATATTGCATGCCATGCTAGTGTGTAGCTCTGTTCTTTTTGTCAGCACTCCATTGCATTTCATTGCATTTCATTGCATTTCATTGCATTTCATTGCATTTCATTGCATTTCATTGCATGTACTAAACATAGCAGGTTAGTTTTAAAAGTGAGGGTGAATCCAATAGAGAATACATGTTGTAAAGTGAGGGTGAATCCAATAGAGAATACATGTTGTAAAGTGAGGGTGAATCCAATAGAGAATACATGTTGCGCGGGGAAGCACATCACAGTATCACACAAGCCTGGTGCCGTCACAATGTCATTCGTGCGTACAACAGTGGAGACCAGGGAGTGGTAAAATAGACGTACCGGGGTATTTCACTACTATTCGCTGGTCTCCAGTGTGTAGGCATCGTGAGTAGAAGTAACGTGTTAACGATGCTGCAGGTGTGACATGTTGTGCATTTCTGCAGGTCCACTGTCAGCGTGAGGTCTTCATACGCTCAACCGTTCACAGTCCGGTACACCACGTGGTGCAGTTCGATTTTCAGCGGCTTTCGCTGCACACGATACAGGTGAGATGCATGCAATACCGGCAGCAGAAAGCTGTCCACTCCTTCCCCTGACAGTCTTCATCATGTTACATGATTTAGTTCAGAGCACGAGATAAAATAAAAATGTGAGTGACTGCATCATTGCCCTGCCATTCCGGCACAACAGTGTATCTCACACCACCATACAGTGACTAAGCTTCTCACTCACCACCACCACCACCAGTGACTCTGAGAAGGTGAGAACTCACCTAGCAAAGTTGTCAGTTGTCACGTCACTGGGGAAAGGCTCCCATATCCATGGCACACGGGGGAAAGATTGGCGTGCCAGCAGCAAGGTTTGTACATCGGCAAGGGCGTCAAGTTTGGCACAGCACTCCATGTATTACAGCTAAAATCTGTCGCTTATAAGAACCCAATGTTCCGTATATTTATCATCACTTGCCTGCACTGCTCCTTCAAGAGAAAGCAGCTTCTCCAGATTCATGGTTTTTTCTCTATAAGTACTGCTGAAGAGATCTTGGTGTTCTGTCTGCTTTGCCGATCTCTCTCTCTCTCTTCAAAATTCCATGTTGCTGTGACCTTGGAAGTCCCGCAGTAGACCCTGTATTGTCGGTCTGTGTTGAGCAGTGGACCTGGCATATTATACTTCGAAGTACTATGTTGAGCAGTGTCCGAACTTGTGTTCTTCCCCACTTTGCCCTTCCGGTGTCTTGTTGGCATAGACACCTGAAAATGGCATTGGACTTGCATTTCCTAAAGTTTGTCGTTGATCTGTGATACGATGATCTCCGGTCTCGTGCCAGATGTAACTGCTCTTTGTCTTACATGCAAGTACTTGATTGCAATATGCATATGTGTGTGTGTGTGTGTGTGTATTTGTGTATGGATTGTATGTGTGTGTGTGTGTGTGTACGCTCCGTGAACATAGGACGGAATATCGAGTAGCGTACAGAACCACCACGCACTTGCAGACAGTCACGATACCTGTGTGCTGTGCTGGCTGGCAACAGAGTGGCTCCAGTTGTACTATACGTAAGTAGGCGTGTGTTGCTTGGACGCTTTTTTAAACTCTACTCTCATACCTTGGTTATCCGGACCCCGAAGTTACGGGCACTTCGGTCTACCAGGCACCCTTTGGACGAGTTTTAGTGTAAATATTGATCTGCTACGGGCACTGAGTGCCCAGTCCTGGACCGCCCGGATAAACGAGGTATGAGTGTACATGTACTAGTGTTTCTTCTGGATTTATCAGTTGTGCTATGGTAATGTGACACTCGATGATAATGACCAACCGGGAGCCCAGTTAGCTCACGGCAAAACTCATACGACAACGTTGATCTCTTCTTGCTGATTTCAACTAACTTTAATAACTGGTCGCAAAAGCAGAGAAAATGCAAACTACTCACAGCTGAGGTAAAATAGAACTTGGGGGGCATCACAGGGCAGTGAGGAGGGGTACGACGGGGGGGGGGGGGGGTAGGGGGTGTCCCCAAGGGAAAAATCTGACTTTTCGGCCAACAGGGTTGATTTTAGCGCTCTTTTATTGCTCTTTTGGATGAATTGTGCGGACCATCAATGCATCCTGGACGAAAAGTGGTACGACCATGGTCATACTGGTTGTACCGTGTGTGTGACGCCCCTGCAACTAAACTAAAACTCTCTACTATGTTTCCATAAGCTCGGGGTCCGTATACGACAGCGTGGTTGGTAACTTTATACGCTGCGCTACAGAGGGTAAAGGAGCCGCAGCTATCGCTATCGGTAAATGTATTTACGCTTTCCAACGGCCGTAAGAGAGTTGGAAAGCTTCGACATTGCCAGCCAGTGGCTATTCAACTCTGTTGTTGTTTGCTGTGTTGTACGGGCGGAGCACAAAGACGCAACAATACCGAGCAGCGCGGCACAAAGCTTGCAATACGGACATAATACACATGCAACTGTTGCATAGTAGAACAGTGTGCGTCAAGCACCAAAAGAGGCAGAACTAATGCTGAATGGAGATGCGGCAAGAGCATTGAGAAGCACCACAGTGCTATCATCCAAGCGAAACTAATAGTGAAAAGGAACAAACGGCAACTACCGTTTGGTATATGGCTATTCACTAGTTCTGGAGCCAATACAACAAAAGCCCTCCTTATCAATTCTCCCCTTCCTCGATATCTTATATCGAAAGTGTACCATAAAGGAGATCTAGGCATTAAAAGATTCCATTGTTGTAATAATAATAAGAAGAACTACAAGTAGTATCACACAGATAACTAATGTCATGTAACAATATAACTCAGGATATACTGAATGGCAATTATGTGTCACTGCGATGACTTCACTTGCATTTGTCGCATACTACAGTTCACAGTGTCACTCACTCTGGTGTGGCTTCCAATGGACACAACCTTGCAATAGGTCGCACGAATGTCTTCCTCACCAACCTTCACCTTCGCTACTCTTCCGTGTCCGTCTCAGCCAGGATAGCACTCGTGCCAATGGTTAGTGCTCTCGCGGAGTGTCGGGTGACAGAAGTAGCATGACATCACCGACTTGAACTTCATTCTTGGGCTTCTTCCACTTCTGTCTAGTGCTTAGACTTGGTAGCCACTCCTTGATCCATCTCTCCCAGAAGTGACGTAGTAGTTATTGTACTCGCCGCCACCGTCGTTGAGGATTGAAGCTGGTATGGGCGACTGCCAATGGAGCAAACACACTATATGGCCAAACAAGAAATTATTGGGCGTGAGTGGTGTCTCATCGAGTTGATGGCTTGACTAATGAGTCAGGGGCCTTGAGTTGATTAAGCTTTCTGCGCCAACAAATGCTCTTGTCAATTCCTCTTCTGTTGTCTCGGCATTTGGATTTATGGCGTAGATGGCACGTTTAGCGGCTCGCACCATCACCTCAAAGGATCCTCCAAAGTGTGGAGTAGCTGGTGAATTAAACTGTCAATGAACCCCTAACTGGCGGTCGTCCGTGCTGTACTGTTTTGATCCAAAGTGTCGCGTAACTCCCGAAGCTCTCTTTGCGCGGCAACAAAGTTGATTCCGTCTGATTAACGCACTCTCCACATGTAGGCATGCAACCAGCTCAGAACACATTGTTTTCTGGTTGGCATATCAGGGATATTGGGCGGAGCAGCTGGCGTACATGAGAAAGACAGGTCGACCTGCTCTGCGCAAGAGCTGTGACCTGGAGCACACATAGTGTGAACGAGAGACGGTCGGCCGGAGCTGCGACCGGTAGTGATTGAAATGAGCCAGCTGCGGAGATAGACTGCCCTCATCCGATATAAGTATATTGACAAGAGTTGTACTGACACTGTGATTGAGGAAATTATGTGGTGACAGTGACGGAGTGGAGGGATGACGGGGAGTCCTGGAGAGCCGGTCAAGCAAGCCAAGTGCATCGGCGTAGTTTGCCCCAGCGCAGAGGAGCTGATGCTGGTGCTGGTGATGGAGCTATGGGCTAGGTGGTTGGCGCGACGACGTTGGATTCCAAGCGCTCCACGCGCTCCAGGAGGGGCTGGATAACACCAATCAGGTCGTTCAAGGTGAGAGGAGCTGGTTGTGGCGGCGCTGTAGAAGTCACCTGGTCCGCTTTGGCAGAGCTGTGCCCATGGGCATGGCTCACACGGGACCTCGCTTTCCGATGTTCTTGAGAATTCGCAGAATTCACAGCCCGCGGCGGATACGAGTAGAGAGCTGGGGGACCGTCAGCTTCAGTTCCATCAGCGCTTGCACCATAACATAATACTCTGGTAGACCACGGCGTCTGACGAATCTGTAGAAGGCGGTGAGGAATGAGCGAGTGTCGAGTCCATAGGCGAGCTGCAAATGCACTGTGCGTGTAGCGAGACAGGTGAACAGACATAGATAGCGCTTCTGCCTCTTTCTGCCGTGCCCTTGGACTGTGCAAATGGACCGGCGAAATCTACTCAGGTTCTGGCAAATGCTCGGAAGGATGGTGTGATCCTTGTACGTGGAAGTGGAGCCATTATCTGTTGTGCAGGCTTGGTCTTCAGCAGCTTGCATCTTGGACACTGTCGTTCCATCTCACACAAATTGCTTCCTGGCGGCATTGATCCAGAATCGTGCACTGATCTTAGCGAGGATATGATTAGTGCCTCCGACATGACGAGCCAACTCGTGGTAGTGCCTAATGATGAGGTGGGTGACGGGATGATGACATGGTAAGATGATTGGGTGCACTGTATCCTCTGGACGATACTCTGCGTGTGCCAGTCTTCCTTGACAGCGCAGTACACCGTTGCCGTCGATCACTGGGTTCATGGGGATTAATTAATTCGCTTCTTGTTTTCTGCTTGCCACTCCAAGTTAATTTGTGAATTGAGGTGATTTTTCTGTTGTTCCTGTATTCGTTTACCTAGCAATCTGCCATCAGGCGTGTCTGCAAGGCTCGACATGTGTGCAGCCGAATACCTGCCAATGTGCACCGGGTTATACTGGCAACCAATGTGCAACAGGTATGTGCGTGTGTAGAGATGTATGTGTTAAGTGCAGTGCTGTATGAGATGTATGTGTTAAGTGCAGTGCTGTATGAGATGTATGTGTTAAGTGCAGTGCTGTATGAGATGTATGTGTTAAGTGCAGTGCTGTATGAGATGTATGTGTTAAGTGCAGTGCTGTATGAGATGTATGTGTTAAGTGCAGTGCTGTATGAGATGTATGTGTTAAGTGCAGTGCTGTATGAGATGTATGTGTTAAGTGCAGTGCTGTATGAGATGTATGTGTTAAGTGCAGTGCTGTATGAGATGTATGTGTTAAGTGCAGTGCTGTATGAGATGTATGTGTTAAGTGCAGTGCTGTATGAGATGTATGTGTTAAGTGCAGTGCTGTATGAGATGTATGTGTTAAGTGCAGTGCTGTATGAGATGTATGTGTTAAGTGCAGTGCTGTATGAGATGTATGTGTTAAGTGCAGTGCTGTATGAGATGTATGTGTTAAGTGCAGTGCTGTATGAGATGTATGTGTTAAGTGCAGTGCTGTATGAGATGTATGTGTTAAGTGCAGTGCTGTATGAGATGTATGTGTTAAGTGCAGTGCTGTATGAGATGTATGTGTTAAGTGCAGTGCTGTATGAGATGTATGTGTTAAGTGCAGTGCTGTATGAGATGTATGTGTTAAGTGCAGTGCTGTATGAGATGTATGTGTTAAGTGCAGTGCTGTATGAGATGTATGTGTTAAGTGCAGTGCTGTATGAGATGTATGTGTTAAGTGCAGTGCTGTATGAGATGTATGTGTTAAGTGCAGTGCTGTATGAGATGTATGTGTTAAGTGCAGTGCTGTATGAGATGTATGTGTTAAGTGCAGTGCTGTATGAGATGTATGTGTTAAGTGCAGTGCTGTATGAGATGTATGTGTTAAGTGCAGTGCTGTATGAGATGTATGTGTTAAGTGCAGTGCTGTATGAGATGTATGTGTTAAGTGCAGTGCTGTATGAGATGTATGTGTTAAGTGCAGTGCTGTATGAGATGTATGTGTTAAGTGCAGTGCTGTATGAGATGTATGTGTTAAGTGCAGTGCTGTATGAGATGTATGTGTTAAGTGCAGTGCTGTATGAGATGTATGTGTTAAGTGCAGTGCTGTATGAGATGTATGTGTTAAGTGCAGTGCTGTATGAGATGTATGTGTTAAGTGCAGTGCTGTATGAGATGTATGTGTTAAGTGCAGTGCTGTATGAGATGTATGTGTTAAGTGCAGTGCTGTATGAGATGTATGTGTTAAGTGCAGTGCTGTATGAGATGTATGTGTTAAGTGCAGTGCTGTATGAGATGTATGTGTTAAGTGCAGTGCTGTATGAGATGTATGTGTTAAGTGCAGTGCTGTATGAGATGTATGTGTTAAGTGCAGTGCTGTATGAGATGTATGTGTTAAGTGCAGTGCTGTATGAGATGTATGTGTTAAGTGCAGTGCTGTATGAGATGTATGTGTTAAGTGCAGTGCTGTATGAGATGTATGTGTTAAGTGCAGTGCTGTATGAGATGTATGTGTTAAGTGCAGTGCTGTATGAGATGTATGTGTTAAGTGCAGTGCTGTATGAGATGTATGTGTTAAGTGCAGTGCTGTATGAGATGTATGTGTTAAGTGCAGTGCTGTATGAGATGTATGTGTTAAGTGCAGTGCTGTATGAGATGTATGTGTTAAGTGCAGTGCTGTATGAGATGTATGTGTTAAGTGCAGTGCTGTATGAGATGTATGTGTTAAGTGCAGTGCTGTATGAGATGTATGTGTTAAGTGCAGTGCTGTATGAGATGTATGTGTTAAGTGCAGTGCTGTATGAGATGTATGTGTTAAGTGCAGTGCTGTATGAGATGTATGTGTTAAGTGCAGTGCTGTATGAGATGTATGTGTTAAGTGCAGTGCTGTATGAGATGTATGTGTTAAGTGCAGTGCTGTATGAGATGTATGTGTTAAGTGCAGTGCTGTATGAGATGTATGTGTTAAGTGCAGTGCTGTATGAGATGTATGTGTTAAGTGCAGTGCTGTATGAGATGTATGTGTTAAGTGCAGTGCTGTATGAGATGTATGTGTTAAGTGCAGTGCTGTATGAGATGTATGTGTTAAGTGCAGTGCTGTATGAGATGTATGTGTTAAGTGCAGTGCTGTATGAGATGTATGTGTTAAGTGCAGTGATGTATGAGATGTATGTGTTAAGTGCAGTGCTGTATGAGATGTATGTGTTAAGTGCAGTGCTGTATGAGATGTATGTGTTAAGTGCAGTGATGTATGAGATGTATGTGTTAAGGGGGGAATGACCCTTCAGATACTCAAAAATTGAAAGTTTCAATTCTGGCTGTTTTGGGTATCCAACTAGGCCAGCGGACCCTATAGGGTGTAGAAACAAAATTTTTGGTGAAACGGACTATTGGTTCCAAAGTTACGACCGTTTCAAATTCAACAATTCAAATGAAAATGAGTACGCACGGAACGAAAATTTGTACAATTTTGCACTCCATGCAGTCGGTGATTTTCACTGAAACCGCGTACTACTAGCGAGTTTTTGACTTGAAATCGTTGCTACTGGATACCATGGCGTACAAGGAGAAGCGCTGAACAGCTTCCTGCCTTGAGAACAAAAAATAATAATTATTATTTGAAATTTGAACAATGGGGAACCGAAGAACGAGCTCGAGTGGACGTTCTAGACGACAGAAAAGGAAATATTTTGGTCCAAAGCCAGCTGCTGCTGAAGTCGACGATGTCGTTGAGGTTCCTGAGGTCGCCAGTGATGTTGAAGTGACTGAGAAGAGCGCGTCCACGCGAAAGTTGAGCAGGAAGCCGGCCTATTTAGCTGATGAAAGCTTTGACAGCAGCGACGGCTCAGATGTGAACTCGAACCCAGACAGTTCTGAGGACGACGATACTGAGGCGTCTGAGGGATCTGGAGAAGAGATAGAAGAGGATTGCTTGCGGAGCAACAGAATTGTGTACCTGAAATGTCTTCAGGAGCTTCTGGACGTGGCCACTGTGTGTAGCGAGTGCAAATCTGGAAAAATAAATATTGTTGACTGCTGCGCTGTTGGCCTCGCATCGGTGGTGCACGTGCAGTGCGACAATGTCTTATGCAGTCACAGTTGGAGATTTAACCTATGCCTGAAAGAGAAGCGGTTCTTTGACGTCAACCGGCGATCAGTGTTAGCCATGCGGAGAATTGGCAAGGGACGTGCCGCTCTGAATAAGTTCTGCGGAACCATGGACATGCCCAGCCCTGTGAACACACATGCCTACACCCGTCACCAGGAAGCACTCGTGATCGCTGCAGCCACTGTGGCTCATAAGAGCATGGTCAATGCTGCTGATGAGGTGAAGGTGCTGAATGGTTGCGACACCGTGGCGGTAACTTGCGATGGCACCTGGATGAGGCGCGGCTATACGTCTCTCTACGGTGTCTTTGCCTGTATATCGTGGAGAACAGGCCGTGTACTGGACATACACGTGAGCAGCAAGTACTGCCAGGAATGTGTTGTGTGGAACGACCGGAAGGAGTCCGGGAGAATTAGTGCAGCTGATTTCACTGCCTGGAAAGGTACCCACACCTGTGGAGTGAATACAGCGCGATCTGCACCAGCCATGGAGAGCGAGGCAGCTGTCATCATATGGAGTCGCTCTGTTGCTGATCGTGGTCTCCGGTATACAACGTACATCGGAGATGGCGACAGTAAGGCATTCAATTCTGTCGTTGAAGCTGACCCGTACAATGGTGTAGCCATTGAAAAGGAGGAGTGCATTGGACATGTACAGAAACGCATCGGCACGGGCTTGCGGGAGCTGAAGAAGACGATGAAGGGTACGAAATTGTCAGACGGCAAGGCGTTGTCTGGGAAAGGCCGGCTCACCGACAAAGCCATTGACACTCTCCAGACGTACTATGGATGGGCAGTGAGGGAGCACAGCCAAGACATCCAAGGCATGGCCCGGGCTATCTGGAGTGGCCTTATGCACCGGTGTTCGTCAGACGACAATCCCCAGCACCAGTTTTGCCCGACCGGTCCTGACAGTTGGTGCAAGTGGCAGTTGGTGCAGGCTGGAGTCAGGGATGAGTACACCCATCGCCACATTCTCCCCAAGGCCGTGTTTGACGTCGTCAAGCCACTGTATCTCCGCTTGACAGAGCGCAAGCTTCTCGAGAGATGCCTCCTCGGAGCCACGCAGAATGCGAATGAAAGCTTCAACGGCGTCATCTGGGGTATGTGCCAGAAGGAAAGCTTCTGTGGCGCTGATGTTGTCCGGTTCGCTGCCAGCCTTGCAGTTGCCCACTTCAATGATGGTGCACTGGCTGTGGAGAGTGTGCTTCTGGAAGCAGACTGTGTACCTGGCGTGCTGACCCACAAAGCATGCCAAGATGAGGATTTCACCCGCATCAGCAAAGCCGATCGCAAAGGTTCAGCAGAAGAGAAGGAGAAGAGAAAGAAGAGAAGAAGGCGAAAGAAGGGCTGGGAGGAGACCACTATTGAAGAGGAAGGAGATACTTATGGACCGGGCAAGTTTTAGTGCAGCTATCTGCCTGCATCGTGATGGTGCTGTATGAAAAGTGCTGAACATACCCTGAATATAGACCTAAATATACCCTGAATTTTCGCCATTTTTAGTGGTTTGTTGACACTCCGCGCAGTTTCCTGGCTCACTTGTACAGAATGGACATGCAAAAGTATACATTTTTGAAATCTGTGTGATGTCAGCTTGTGCGTTTGCCTATGGGCAGGAGATTTCTTCAATCCTGTGTGCATATTCTGCCCATTCCATCCATGAGGAAACTGCGCATGTGCGGTAGTGCAGCATGTGAGAGCTGTACCACTGCCACTGATGTTTAGGACTGTGTGATATTAGGCAAACGCACTGCGTGTACCTGTAATCTAAATATCTATGGCTGAAAGAGATGATTCTGATGAACTACATTCTGATAAAATTGCGCACCGTTTAGCTTTTGTCCGTTGTGCGATAATTATCCTTTTGTTGTCAAATCTTCCAACTTTCTTTAGTTTATTTTCATTCAGAGTGCCATTGATCTGTTGTATGTTATTCCATCAAGACATGGTGAAAATTTCTTCAAGAAATATTGAAGGAAACAGAAGTTGTGGTCGTTTGGACATGTACGGTCCAGTATGGCGTGCGCGAAGGGTCATTCCCCCCTTAAGTGCAGTGCTGTATGAGATGTATGTGTTAAGTGCAGTGCTGTATGAGATGTATGTGTTAAGTGCAGTGCTGTATGAGATGTATGTGTTAAGTGCAGTGCTGTATGAGATGTATGTGTTAAGTGCAGTGATGTATGAGATGTATGTGTTAAGTGCAGTGCTGTATGAGATGTATGTGTTAAGTGCAGTGCTGTATGAGATGTATGTGTTAAGTGCAGTGATGTATGAGATGTATGTGTTAAGTGCAGTGCTGTATGAGATGTATGTGTTAAGTGCAGTGCTGTATGAGATGTATGTGTTAAGTGCAGTGCTGTATGAGATGTATGTGTTAAGTGCAGTGCTGTATGAGATGTATGTGTTAAGTGCAGTGATGTATGAGATGTATGTGTTAAGTGCAGTGCTGTATGAGATGTATGTGTTAAGTGCAGTGCTGTATGAGATGTATGTGTTAAGTGCAGTGCTGTATGAGATGTATGTGTTAAGTGCAGTGCTGTATGAGATGTATGTGTTAAGTGCAGTGATGTATGAGATGTATGTGTTAAGTGCAGTGCTGTATGAGATGTATGTGTTAAGTGCAGTGCTGTATGAGATGTATGTGTTAAGTGCAGTGATGTATGAGATGTATGTGTTAAGTGCAGTGATGTATGAGATGTATGTGTTAAGTGCAGTGCTGTATGAGATGTATGTGTTAAGTGCAGTGATGTATGAGATGTATGTGTTAAGTGCAGTGCTGTATGAGATGTATGTGTTAAGTGCAGTGCTGTATGAGATGTATGTGTTAAGTGCAGTGCTGTATGAGATGTATGTGTTAAGTGCAGTGCTGTATGAGATGTATGTGTTAAGTGCAGTGATGTATGAGATGTATGTGTTAAGTGCAGTGCTGTATGAGATGTATGTGTTAAGTGCAGTGCTGTATGAGATGTATGTGTTAAGTGCAGTGATGTATGAGATGTATGTGTTAAGTGCAGTGCTGTATGAGATGTATGTGTTAAGTGCAGTGCTGTATGAGATGTATGTGTTAAGTGCAGTGCTGTATGAGATGTATGTGTTAAGTGCAGTGCTGTATGAGATGTATGTGTTAAGTGCAGTGCTGTATGAGATGTATGTGTTAAGTGCAGTGCTGTATGAGATGTATGTGTTAAGTGCAGTGCTGTATGAGATGTATGTGTTAAGTGCAGTGCTGTATGAGATGTATGTGTTAAGTGCAGTGCTGTATGAGATGTATGTGTTAAGTGCAGTGCTGTATGAGATGTATGTGTTAAGTGCAGTGCTGTATGAGATGTATGTGTTAAGTGCAGTGATGTATGAGATGTATGTGTTAAGTGCAGTGCTGTATGAGATGTATGTGTTAAGTGCAGTGCTGTATGAGATGTATGTGTTAAGTGCAGTGCTGTATGAGATGTATGTGTTAAGTGCAGTGCTGTATGAGATGTATGTGTTAAGTGCAGTGATGTATGAGATGTATGTGTTAAGTGCAGTGCTGTATGAGATGTATGTGTTAAGTGCAGTGCTGTATGAGATGTATGTGTTAAGTGCAGTGATGTATGAGATGTATGTGTTAAGTGCAGTGATGTATGAGATGTATGTGTTAAGTGCAGTGCTGTATGAGATGTATGTGTTAAGTGCAGTGATGTATGAGATGTATGTGTTAAGTGCAGTGCTGTATGAGATGTATGTGTTAAGTGCAGTGCTGTATGAGATGTATGTGTTAAGTGCAGTGCTGTATGAGATGTATGTGTTAAGTGCAGTGCTGTATGAGATGTATGTGTTAAGTGCAGTGATGTATGAGATGTATGTGTTAAGTGCAGTGCTGTATGAGATGTATGTGTTAAGTGCAGTGCTGTATGAGATGTATGTGTTAAGTGCAGTGATGTATGAGATGTATGTGTTAAGTGCAGTGATGTATGAGATGTATGTGTTAAGTGCAGTGCTGTATGAGATGTATGTGTTAAGTGCAGTGATGTATGAGATGTATGTGTTAAGTGCAGTGCTGTATGAGATGTATGTGTTAAGTGCAGTGCTGTATGAGATGTATGTGTTAAGTGCAGTGCTGTATGAGATGTATGTGTTAAGTGCAGTGCTGTATGAGATGTATGTGTTAAGTGCAGTGATGTATGAGATGTATGTGTTAAGTGCAGTGCTGTATGAGATGTATGTGTTAAGTGCAGTGCTGTATGAGATGTATGTGTTAAGTGCAGTGATGTATGAGATGTATGTGTTAAGTGCAGTGCTGTATGAGATGTATGTGTTAAGTGCAGTGCTGTATGAGATGTATGTGTTAAGTGCAGTGCTGTATGAGATGTATGTGTTAAGTGCAGTGCTGTATGAGATGTATGTGTTAAGTGCAGTGCTGTATGAGATGTATGTGTTAAGTGCAGTGCTGTATGAGATGTATGTGTTAAGTGCAGTGCTGTATGAGATGTATGTGTTAAGTGCAGTGCTGTATGAGATGTATGTGTTAAGTGCAGTGCTGTATGAGATGTATGTGTTAAGTGCAGTGCTGTATGAGATGTATGTGTTAAGTGCAGTGCTGTATGAGATGTATGTGTTAAGTGCAGTGCTGTATGAGATGTATGTGTTAAGTGCAGTGCTGTATGAGATGTATGTGTTAAGTGCAGTGCTGTATGAGATGTATGTGTTAAGTGCAGTGCTGTATGAGATG